ACCATGGAGTTCCGAGACCTGAACCAGGCAACAGCCTCTGAAACACTCCATTTAGAAGAGGATATTCAGTCCAGACAGTCCGGCCAGTCCCAAGTGTCTATAACCCCATTCTATCAGACTCAATTCAAGCTTTTTGTTCCGAAAGAATATGGGAGAAGCGAGAGAGTGGAAACACAAAGCCCCGCATTCCAATGCGTCATGTCTCGACTCTACACATAACTTGAAGGCAGAGATGTCAACCCCGGGTATACGATATGATGCAATCCACGCAAGGAGATGGTTTGAAACCACGCCGGGAGACGTTGATGGTACGCGCAAGGGATGGGTACATGTCCTTCCAGTTCTCATCGCCTGTTCGTCTCTCAAGGTATACTGTAACTAGACGACGTCGTTTGGACATATCACTGCCAATCTCGAGATTTGCAGTTGTCATCAGCCCTGCCAAGTTTCCACGCATCGGCATGAGCGGATGAACCGAGAGGTTCGCGCGGTAGGAGCTGTGGAACCTAGTAGAAACCCATTAGTAGTCAATGGGGAGCAATGGAGAGTAGTCATGAGAAACCGGAAGTCATTGAGTAGTATATAAGCCTGAGCAGAGGGATGTAGTGTAGTTGAGATCGTTCTAAGCTCAACTTAGAGATCGTAGAGACACGTTAGTTCTGGTCATTGGCTAGGAATGTCGTGCCTGAGGCCGCAACTTCGCTTTCGCGTTCAAAGCTCCTTGACTTGCCGCAACGGCTACTTTTCATCTCTCGCTCACGATTGTGTAGCTTCAAACCACGATCACCAACGACAATATACAAATTTACATTCCCATCCGAGCAAAATCTATCGCGTGCGCGTCCCGCCCGCGTCCGATGTTTAAACGGCCATCCTAAACTGTGCGCTACCGGCATCAGCAATATGACCGACATGATGGAAGAGGACCCATCGTCTGGGATGCAGTCTTCCGAGGAGGAGGTATCCGTGGAGTCCCTAGTCAGAGGGCGAGCGAAACGAAGCACCGCGGGACTACACATGTCCGCTCTCCTTGAAGCCGCCGCAGACGACGACCTGGCACTACTATTTGAGGAAGTCGAAGATGACAACGAATTCGCGGACGAGGTAGATCCTGAAGTAGAGGAGGACGAAGGACTTGAATCGTCGGACGACGATGACGACCAAGGACCCAACGCGACGAACGACTACGAGGGTGAACAGCAACTACAAAAAGAGGAGCGCAAGAAACGAAAACAGCAGAATGACCTTCGGTTCCAGACCCTACGCAAGCGAGTCAAGATTGATCCGACCGCCGTCAACGCCGTGCCCGCTGCTCCTCCTCGTCCAAAGAAAAAGTCGGAGCGTATCTCATGGATTCCCACAGTGGAGGATGGGCCTACACGGCAGTCTTCGCGTCGTCAGACGATGGTGAACAAGGAAATGACGCACGCACGTCTCAAAGACAGCCAGGAGAAGCGGGTGCGCATTATCGCTACCATGAGGGAAGCTGAGAAGCGCAAGGCCCATCTGAAACCGAAGAAGATGACACAGGAGGATCACCTGGCGGAGGCCGCCAGAGTGGAACGGCTCAACAGCAAGAGTTTGAACCGCTGGGAGCAGACAGAACGAAGAAAGGCAGATGAAAGACGAGCGAGGATCGAGGCACTCCAAAACCGCCGTCTGGATGGTCCGGTTATATCCTATTGGAGTGGTATGGCTACCTGGACCAATGGGCGTCTCACGCGGCTCGGCAAGATCGATATTAAACCGAAGACAGACAAAGAAGAGGCCAAGAAGAAAAAGAAGGAGAAGGAGGACAGAGAGAAGGCGGCGGCGGATCAGTTGGCCTTGCAGTCTATTCCTGTCTTCGGGCCTGCACCTTTCGCGGATCCAACACAACCACTACCAAACCCCAACCTTCCCATTGCAAGTACTGTTACACCTGTTACACCGGGGATACCAGCTCAATCACTTCCGACTCCTACGGATCAAAGACCGCCTGGGGACAAGCCGCCAGAAATCATCACAACCCCGACTCCTGAAAACAAAGAAACACCTGTCGCGTCTGCTGGGACGACTGGCAATGTTGATACATCATTAGAGACGCAGACGAGTGCAGCCATACCTTCCAATAATGATAAGAGCATCGCGGTGGAAGAGCAAACTCCAGAAAAGGAGGCAAATGCAACGGAGCCTTCAGAGAAGAAGAATGAAAAAGCCACAGAATCCGCGAAACAGTCAGATAAGAGGCTCTTTGCTGTGGAAGTCCCAGCATCTCGCCGTTTATCGGGATCTCAAAACAATGGCTCTGCTCAAACAATGCCGGAGCCAACCTCTGCCAAGAATGACGATGCTATGGATGTTGACCAACCTCCAGCGCTTGCAGATGTTCCCAAGGACAACCAAGCGCAAGACCCTGTCACAGCAAACTTAACGCCTTCCGATAATGCAGGTGCCCAACCAGTTTCGGCACTGGAACCCAAAGCAGATGCACCCGGGCCGACTCCTGAAGGACAACCGCCGGCGGGCGCCTCACAGCCTGTGAAATCTGCCACTCACGTCGGCTCAGGAGTTGCACTGGCCCCTCACATCTCGGCAACCGCAGCAGTTAGTTCAACCACGGTGCCCGAGAACGCCTTCCTCCAAACCCAAACCCAACAAACATGGAATTCCGGAATACAACCTCCAAATGGGATGGGACCAGTACAGCCAGCGATCCAACCATCCCCTCCAGTAATCGAACACACCGGACGCACATTGACCATCCTCGAGAACTTCGACCATGCGACCGCTCACAGTCGCAAATTCAGCATGTACTTTAACGCCAAAAAGCCACCCCGTTTGACAAGTACGTTGCACCACATACTACACATCACATAACACTTGGAACCATAGGGCTAACCTCAGACAGAAATCTCGTCATCTCTGTGCGTCATCACCTCCATGCCATCACGATACCGCGACTCGGAAACTGGCCTCCCATACGCCAACTCCTACGCCTATGGTCAAATCCGCCGCCTCTTATCCGAAGGGTGCATCTGGAGCTCGATGCTAGGCTGTTTCGTAGGCCCAGCCGACGGTGCCGCGCGCGGCGTGCCCGAGCGATTTTCCGGCAAACCAGGTCCAGTCTCCGTTCCAGTTCCAGGCCCAGGCACCGTTAAAACGCCAGCCCTAGAGGGAGAGGGCCAGGCCAAGTCGATTCCAAACAAGCCCGCTGCCGCGAATGGCGATCTCCCTTCAACCCCCACAGCCCAGGCTCCAGCGCCTGAGCCAATGGACGTGCACAAATAGTCCATTATTGTATGATTTACGAGATACCCACTCAGGATCGAGACCAGAATAAACACAAAGACATTCAAAACGTGAACATCATTCTTGCTCCACTTCGGATCATAGACTTTTTTTTTAGCATGGGATTTGTGTGTGTATGATGTGTTGACAGATGTCATCGACCCGACCCACACCTATAATGTCTGCCTATACGGCAATTCCAGGGGTGGAACTCGGCCGTGATCCAAAGAACATGAGGAATACAGTAAGTCATTTAGGTTAGGTTTGAAAGGGAGAGTTATCGTCTGACGTCTAAACAATGCAACCTGAAAAGCACCTGAAGACTCTGCATTTATGTAATGAACTATGTAATCCTGAAGCCCTAACCCACCGACTGGAGACTGGAGTGTCCACGTACATCTACATAGCCAACATTCTCGAACAAGTCCCCGGTCTTTTCCCCATAGACCCGAAACAGAAACACGGAAGATCGACAATTAGCATTTGGCCAGAACAGATTGTCCTCGCAACGTGTCAGTGTGGTGTGTGGTGTGTGTGTGTGTGTGTGTGTGTGGCACTTAATCTCTTATCCACGCTTGGCCGATCCATTTTCGTGATAGTCGCCTTTGCCGGCAATTATTCCTTTCTCTATTCTTTATTCGATGATAGTCTATTTTCTATTTTATTGAAATCGATTACAGGAATCCCCGGGTGGGTAGTGTGTTTTGATTTTTTAATTAAATCTCTGTCTCGATGATGTATGTTTATCCACAAGTTTGCCTCTGGTTACACGTACGACTCGCGGCCTTATGGCGTCACTTATTAGGGTTATAATGTAGGTTATCCATGGTCTGCCGCAATAACCTTGAATATTATTCTATTCTGTGGGTTTGGGGTAATAGAATCGAACATGATCGAATGAATAATATTGGGTGGTCAATCACGCCAGATCCGACCCCCTCCGGAGATATGCTCCCTGCGCTACTGCACCTCATCTGCAGGTAAACCTGGCAGAGAGGGCACATTGCAGAATCTGTGCGTTTCAGGTGATCAGAGGGTAGGGTCCGGGATTTTATGATATGGGTCCAAAGATTATACAGATATTCTCGAAGCGGACAATAGAGACAATAGAGAGGAATAACGAAACAACCCAAAACGGAAATATAATTATAGAACTGACCATTGCGTGGATTGGGTCTTTGTACCCACGAGGTACTCTTTGGGCGGGTGATCGTACCAAGAGTGACTTCCAGGGTACCCGGGTCCGTTGGAAGTTCTAGATCTGATCGTCTCATCCTACCGCAACAGCACGTTCTCCATCTCATCCCACCATATCTTTCTCCAGTTCTAGTTCCCTCTTATATATAGACCCTTCTTCCCCTTTTCCTAGTTCACACTAAACACACTAAACACAAAACTATAGACTACATCACTACATCATACAGTGTCAGGTATGTCAAGTGTTCAGATTCCCGATCCGGCCTTATCTCCCCCCACTCATAACACAAAGATAACCCTCCGGCCCCTTCACTCTAGCTAAACTGACCTTATCATAGTCATTCTTCGCCACGTTTAACATACATACCTCGGAGTCCCCTTGTATTCCCCCAGGCTTCCATTCCGGCCAAAATCAAGACTTGCAGACACAAATCCCTCAGTCTGTGCTCCCTTAAGGGGTTCATTTCGAGATTGTGATCCACACCGTCTCGCATGATAAGATAGTGAGGCATTTGAAAGAAAGTCTCACCGCTATGACTCAAACTCCTGTCCACCGCCGTTCTCCTTCTTCTCCTCATGCCTCAAAGCCCAGATCTCGTCCAGTCTTGCATCGACGGGGAACATCTGGTGCCAACGTCTCCATTACCAAACTAGGCTCCGGAAGGGGAACGAGCAAGCCCACCGACGACGAAGACATGGCCAGCTTCTTGAACTTCTGGTATGTTTATGTCTATTTTCCCTTATCTCCAAGGACGACCCTCACATGCCGTCATCCTTGTGTACATATACACACCGACCTTTAAATAAAAGATAAAAAAGAAACAAACTAACAGCGACCAGCGCCATGTGCGAAAGACAAATTACCGTACCAAACAACACCCTATTATACTGCAGCGAAAGGTATGTGGCGAAAAATCACTCCTATTCCTATATTTAGGGTTATCCCAGCCCCATCCTTATCTACAACCTATTTTGGGACCTGCATGTGAAACAAACATATAATAAGATACATATATACTTATACTTTTCTCTCTCCAGCTGCCGCCGCAAAGACTCCTGCAAACCACTCTCAGCATCCCTCCCCTCAATGTCAATGTCGACCTCCTCAAAAATGACCACAACACCACCAACCTCACCACCTCTCTCTCCACGCACAATCGTGCCCCAAATGACTCCTACCCGCATCCCCTCAATCAGGATACCAACCACATCCCACACCGCCAAATCAGATCTCGACCCAACAGAATGGAAGCCAGTATTACTCCGCTCAAGCTCATCCCTCGCCTCCTCCGAGGCCTGGTCGTATCTCTCCCAATTCCACGGCGAGTCTGCGTCTGCGTCCGCAACCGGCACTGGCATTGCCAACCGCCCTGCCAACAACCGCAGCGCTGCAAGCCTCCCCGCCCTGGTCGGCGGTGCTCCCATTGTCGATGGCCACAGCCACGTCCCATCTTTGACAGACACCCCCTCAACCGTCTCCTCCTCCTACAGCAGCACGGCCTCAGATTCCCTCGGCAGTATGTACATGTACGAGTCGCAGCGTCCCCTTCCACCCAGACATAACCCCTATTTCGCGGGTACGAGCGTGTCCAAGGGCGTCGAGCTTGTCGTGCCGCGCATCGCGTCTGCGGATTTCGATGCTGATGCCGGTGATGTTGATGCCGATGCTGGTTCTATTTTCCCTGCTAGCAGTGCTGTGTGGGGAGAGGGTCAGGTACAGGGTGCTTTTGAGAAGCTGTCTGCTCCTATTTCTATGAAGAGGGGTGTTGTTTAATTTGGGGAGGGAGATATGAGCTGAAATGGCTTGGACTTTGAGAGATTTCGGGTTTCGGGTTTCATTCTTTGGCTTGTCTTTGCTGTGCTTTTCTCTTTTGACTTCGATTGCCATTGGTTCATGTTCGAGTCGAGCGATTTCTGACTCCAGCGGAAAATATACGATGTGATGGATTTATTTCTTTTCTTGAGTGTTCCTGGTAGCGAATATATAGTTTTCTAATACCGGTTATTGTCATGTTTTTTAGATCATTGAATTGAAAGCATTTCTTCATTACTCTTCTGTTTCTGTTAGCAGTAATATCCCGGTAAGTAAGACTGGATACATGTCCATGTAGATTGGGTATGAGTCCACGGGTTGTAGTTGTAGACCTAGACATAGGTACAGTAGATATAGCCAGGTAATTAATCTATTAGACTATTACTCTAATTCATGCTTAAATTTAGGAGGATTATGTGATTCCACTGAGTTTCTATCTGATACATAGTCTGTTAGGCATGTGAGTTGTGGGGGTTACATACATCTCCTTTTGTACTATAACTTAACTTATATATTTTACGTCAGTGTCTCGGCGGATTATGTATAATGTAGAGCTTTATTTGCGCTGCAAGATTATTTTTCTACTCACTAATTTAACATTCATTGGAATACTTGGAATCATAACAGAGTAGGGAAATATATATATCACCATATTATCGAGAAAAAGGAGAAGCATCTAACCTCAGAGGATAGATCCCAATTCTTCCACTTTAGACAGAATACTTGCGCACCATTATAATTCATTGCCGATCCCTGTTCACTTCATATACGAGTATCCTAGGCTGTTGATACACTACCGGTTCGGCGATCACTTATACACCGAGATTTCAAAGCTTTATTGCCCTACGCTCTATATATATATATATCAAACTAGCTATGATCCCTTTTGTCGGAAAAGACAAAGGTAGTGCCTAGTAAGCGAATGGTGGGAGGGAAACCCTACCATTAAACTGAACAGGTGGAGATGAGATCTTCATTTCTTGCATACGATTTCGTAATTGTCACAGCTGCCGCTGCATACTGTAGATATCTCGGTGACAGGGCATGTGCCTCGATATCCTTCGAGACGTTGACCAAGGGGCGCAGCTGCTTTCCTCTCTTGGTTTCTTTCTTCTTTTTTTTTTTTGGTTTCTTTTAGGAATCAAATAACTAAATGCCAATTGAAATATTAAATTGTAACAAAGCATTATTGTACTCTTGGTTTTAACAAGAACCTCACTCAGGATCGGCACGATCTGTACCGAGCAAAAGTACTACATGATGTTTGATGTATGATGCATGCTACGCCACTAACGCAGACATTTCAGCTCAGCTCAGCTTCCTTTTTCTTTCTTTTTCTTGCAGAGTCTGCTAGGCCGCACCTAGGCTACTTCTACCTTCAAGTTACCTAGTATGACATTTTATATTCTGAAAGGGTCCCATTTACAATAGCCGCACCACCCGAGCCAATGTCGATGGAAATTACAGGGTGACCTATCACTGCGAGTCAGAGGGGCCCCTGCCAGATACGTTCCATCTGGCCGGCGCAGGAGTTACCACCGCGGAAGGCTGTGCTCGACTGTGCCGGGACGATTCGAGCGGCTGCCGAGGTGCTGTTTGGGGCTACAGGCAGGCCGAGTGCTGGACCTCAAACACTGATGAAGGGGGAAAGATCATTCCTGCCGCCGGAATGCTCTACATCGACCCCAATGACCATGCCGCAGGTCTGGAACAGTGTAAGAGCGAGAACGCCCAGCTCCAGGCTCAGCTTGATGAGTGCAAGAAGAGAGGTGGCGGTGATGGCTCAGGAGAGAAGTGTATGTTTGGAAAATGTCTTTGGATCTGTGTCGTATAGGACGATCCCGCTAATCTGACCAGCCTAACCACAGGCCCATACAATGATCTCAGCAGCGTCACTGAGAACAACAAGACCTTCAAAGTATACTGCAAGAGATGTGAGTTAGAGAGCCAATCTGATAGATCTGTTTTGCTCTCCCTTTGTCCTTAACTGAAGCTAATCTATGCCCAGTGGATGATTGGGGCGCTGCGAACATTCGCATTCTGAATGCTGCCAATGCCCAAGCCTGTATTCAGGCTTGCTCGAACACTGAAGGTTGCACTCGAGCAATCTGGGAAACCAAAGCAACCTTGAAGGAGCCGATTACATGCTGGCTCCGCAGCTGGCTGACTGTCGACAAGGTCCCAACCAATTTTAGTGCTGCATTCAGCAGTGCCCATCTTCAGTAGTTGGCAGTACCTTGAAGTGTGAGGTAACCTAGTCTTGAGGTACTGGATCAAATTTCAGTGTCTCCAGCCCTGGAGGATTCAGCATGGGGGTTCATTGTGATTGTGGCTCTTTATCTTAACCCAAACCCCGAGATATTTGACTTGGTGGAAATTGTCAGGTTAACAATACTATTTCGGTTTGTTATACTATTTGCAATGACTCTTGTAAGGTACCATCGCTTAAGTCTTTATATCATCATGTAACAGGCGAGTATCCTTGAAAAGGAGATATTCGGTGCAGCTAACTCAAATATAGATTAAAGCGTGTCAAGGTTAGGTCTAGAAGATAATCCTCAAGTGCTTAAAAACCAGCACATAGAACCAGAAATAACTAGTACATATATCCCACCAACTGAAGAAGATGAAAAAGAAGGCAAGGTCCACACTCCCAAATTTAGTCAAGAAACCATAAAAAAACCGAATAAACATCACTCCAACAGCTGGATAATAGCCTAAAAGTCTCCAGCAGTAAAGCAACACATATAGCACCCCTTAGAACTCTTATAAACAGGCGAAGACTAGAAGAAAGAAGAAAGCCATTAGCAAACCAGATCGTAGACATTTAAAACACATATCTCAAGGAGATAAATGGGAAGATATACTCACATAAGGCGGCGGACAGTTCGCATCAGCTTCATTCTCATAACACATACCCGAGCAGAAAGCATTACCCATATCCTTGCCGTGTTTTGCGGTATCACCCAAGGTAACAGGTGCTACGTTCGACCCTGGCTGCATTGGGTCGACGGGGGCTACCTCGCTGGCTGGGACATCGTTTGCTGGGAGGTTTGTGTCTTGGCCCTGGGTAGCGGGATTAGGAGCAGGAGCCGGGGCCTGCTGAACAGGAGGCACCTTAGGCTGAGCCTGAGCCTGAGGAACCTGATACTGAGAAACAGGCACATGAGTAGGCTTCGGGGTCCCAAACGCAACAGGAACCTTGGAAACACTCGGGCTAGGGTACGCATAAGCATAACCAGGAGCGGGAGCCTGTGTCTGAGAGTCTGCATGGGAATGCGCGTGCGAGTGCACGTGTGGCTTGGAACTAGGTGCAACAGGCGCATAGGAGGAAGCCATTGGCACGTAGGATGAGGCTGCCGGTGCATGGGCGTGCGAGGGCGCCAATGATGCGCTGTGGATCATAGGTGTCGGGGCTTGGGCCGGGCCACCTGGGGCTTCTTGGGCTTGAGGCTGGTTGTAGTGGTCGTTTGAGCCTGGGCTGTTGCCGTAGCCGTTTGAGTTGGGGTTGTTGTCATAGTCACTATGATAGTCGTCGCCGTAGTTGTCGCCGTAGTTGTCGTCGTAGTTACCATAGTTCTGGCCCTGGTTCTGGTTCTGGCCCTGGTCCTGTCCGATATGCGCCAAGTAGTCCAGTTGTTCGGGGCCTGGTCCGAACTGTTCGCGGGCTGAGGCGATGGTGCTGCCCAGCAGGAGGAGGGTTGTGAAGTGCATTTTAAATGCCGTTACCGTCTAGTCCTAGTCCTCGCTTTTGTTGTCGGTGTCGATATAGATTGGTGCGCGATTGGCGATTGGTCGCAGTTGTCGTGCTAGTCGTTGTTGTCGAAGGCCGATCGATTGGACGGATGGGGCGTGAAGCTTATATTAGTATTCTACGCGTTTGATTGGAATCTCGGTTTTCATTAGTTGCCTTGCGTGAAACGGGCTGTGTTTGGGGGTTGTGGCATTCTCGTGCGCGTGTGGAATGTAAGAGTTTTATACTGGTCTGACGTAACAGAATAAACACAATCCTCCATTAAAGAAGACATAGTGTCTTCATGGATTGAGTGATGTTTGACTGAAAGGGTCCTCAATTAGATTAGTGTAGTTAGTTTATACTTAGCACGCTTTTGCATTTGATACCGATTTGTATAGGGGTATTGCCGAGGCTCTAGATCTGCATACCAGCCTTTGCCAAGTTGTTAGCTCATAAACAGACATCACTGAGGCATAATTCGCAACTTTGGTATGTGCAAGTCAATGCACATGTGTAAGTAGTAGTGTGTAGATGATTACCCATGGTACCATGTGTCGTCGCTACAGTCTCGGAGAATCGTGAGCGTAACCAATTTGGCTATGCATCAAATTGATATACGCGTCCTATTCTCAAATGAAGAAAAGAACGGGTGCGTTGAACGGTTCATATTGATTGCGCTTTCTCGCTCTTAGACCAGACCTGGTTAGGTGTGGCGCATGGGGCCCCAGTTGTCGGCTTAAGCCAGGTGATTAGTATAGAACAAACCCCACATATACACCTACATGCATAGCTTGAGGATGAAGACGATCTAGAATTATCAACCAGATCCCGGTGAGAACCATACATTGTTCTTATTTATACTTTGTTGTTTGGGTTAGCCACGGTACTCCAAATCTAGAATCCATGTTGAGCTCTGCGACTCTATGCGTCATTTTCACGTAAACCCGGCACGAACTAGCAATTATAGAATCGTCAAGATGATCGAGATGCTAGAATAGATGATATTGCAGATTTTTTGTTGAAATTAGAGTGGCTGCTCTGTCGATCGTTCTGTCAACGATACGAACATTGATGGCAATCACCCTTAAGAGGCTCAAATATGGTTAATGTTAGCCACCGACTCTGGCTCCACTGCCCAGACTTACGGAACAGTTTGTATTCGACCCTGGTTGATAAGGCTAGGCTTGTAGAAATATCAACTAGGCTGCAAGTCCCGCCAATATCTATTTCCGCCTTGAAGTCACGAATGAGAACGATCCACGACCTGTAGATTTCTACAAGCTCTGATGTGGCCTGTAACTATCACCAGTGATCGAAGTAGAAAGCCAGGCCCAAGTCCAATATCACAAGCTCTTGTAATGCTCATTGTTTGCCACTAAGGCGATATTTAAAGATAAAATTAAGTCTGAAGCCACTGACGCGTGGATTGACACCAGGGATTCCCGGTAAGGTTCTGTACGCTGTATACAGTACAGGATCCACGTACCAAGCTCAAAGGTTTCTTAGGTGCTTCGTTTCCTGCAGATGACAGTGTTGGATCCTGTCAGAAATTCCGCCACAGTAATCTTGCTTGTATTTGGGTATTTGAATGTTTGGTCCGTATGAAAAAATATCATGCTTCATAAGCGGGCCATCGTCATGCCCCTTACACCAATCACTTAAGTAATGAGCTCGTCTTCTGGAAACCATCTTTTCCACTTGGGTGTTGTATTAACATCTGAGCATATTTATCAGCGAAAAAGCTCCAAGATTCTTGTTCCATTAGACTTCGGGCGAAGCAACTGACGCCAGTTTGCGTTATTTGGGCGTTAGGTGGACCCCCAATGGACTCGCCAGGAACACTTTTCCTATGGCGAGTGGATCCAATTGCCAACACAGGGTGAATAATAGGGCTTTCTCTTCTGTTATGTCTTCTCTGTGACAGACATGGCCAGTTATATCGACATAAAGTCGGCAGCTGGCGAGCCTGTGAAGAGTCTGCTACCATCGAACCTCTGGCATCACGAGATGTCGGACGCGGTCCATGCCCAATACTCTTAAGGGGTCACTCAGGCCCGGGGTCGGGTTCATACCGTGCAGTGGACAGTGACCCTACTCCAGTCTGTCGTTTCAACGATAATGCATCAACGTCACCGTTGAAAGGAGTCTGTCAAAGGATACCCCGCTAAAGGGTTCCCATGCCACCCTCTAGGATGACCACAACACATGCGAATCAAGTTGCTGACGTGCTGTGCACCCCCAAATGACTGACTTGTTGTCACAGACCATACCTCCGAGCTGCAGCGAGCAACAATCACGAGACTGGGACCCAGTGGCTCTCAGAGCAGATGCCAATCCCCGTTCAGGAAACGTTGCCACCGCGCGGCAGAGGTGCTAGATCGCTTGCCTATTACGGGCCCGAGAACCCAAGACAAACGACAATGTATCTGCGTGTGGATCCGTATGGAGGCTGAAGTCGCTCATGGAGGCCCGGTGCAACGCGTCTGGTCCGATGCATCCTTGCTGTGTGACCATGGACTGATCAGGCCACGCTGACTTCCAGCTCAAGGGACATGATTGAATCTGATCTCGAGTCAGCATTTGGGGTTACCAAACATCATAACCTTTGAATGAAGCAACATGAAGCTGGAGTTACCACACCAAAGCACAGCCGCCAGCATCGAAACACCTACGCGGATAACTTGAACGAAGAAACTGGTGGAACATGCAACACCACCAGGAACATGGTGTATTCGAAGATCCCAGCAGCTATCTCGCGAATATCGGATACGAAACGAAGGCCACCCAGGACATTCCGAAGCGCCCGGGGTTGCTCACGCCGAGGGCTGGATGGCCCATTGATCCCAAAGCTCCAAAACCGCTTCAGACCCTCCACGAACTCCATACTTTGCATTATCGTCCATCAGAGGAATCGTTTTCGAATCATCATTGCATTCAACACAGACCCGGACACCTTCATGTTGAACACATCCCGAACAGGTTGTCGATAGGCCATTCGGTCTCATGGCTATACCCGAGGTTCACGTGAAGTCGTAAATTGCAATATGATTGAAATGGAACAGCTGGTTCTTCCACAGGCAGCCACCACAGCATGGTGATTGAAACTCGAAGGCTCGGGACGCGTCGCCATTGCTTGAAAGCGAAGCCGTCACGGCCAGGAGATCTGTCGAACAAAACACCAAAACATCAAACCGTACCCTGGGCGACGACTGCCATCGTAATGGTTGCAGAGTATCCATGAAACAAGGTCGAAGCTGTTGCTAATGACTGTTCACTCAATCGGTTCATAACCCACAATAACGTCGATGTGGCGGAGCTTGAACGTGGACAAAAAGATCATGTCTCCAACATGGACGCCATTTTCATCGTTTCAAACGTCGTAAATTGAATCGCATACTTGGAAAGCTTCGCATTGGAAAAGTGAAGGCCGCAGTCAATGCCAACAGGGTCGGAAAGGGGTGAGGAAAGGGTATCGAGTCGTCGACATTCACAAGAGGTTCTGGCACTGTTTACAGAGAAAGGACGAGTCAGTGAGTTTCTCAAAGATTGAGGACAGTGCTATGCAGTGCTTGTCGAACCTGTCCCGTTGTGACAATGAAGGCCATAACTTCCGAGCATAACTACCGGTTTCTCGGTTGTTCGTGTCCATCCATATCTATTATTGGATCTCTCTTTGACTATCAAGCATCGAAATGAACGGTCGTCATCGTCGTTAAGGTCGCGTTCTGTCGGGGCTAAGGTATCGGGCTCAAGGGTTCAAGGTAAGATCAACGGTTCGAAGTACTATCAAGCTCAGCATCATTGCATGGTAGCTGCAGACGGAGTCCGGATACTCCGTGGTGAGTTCAAGTATCCAGTCCCGCAACTGGAGACTGTTGAGTCGTCCCAGCTGGCTCCTGATGTTGGTTGAAGAAGTGGCCAACAAAACAGGGATGCCCCGTTCGCTCCATGCCAACTCCATCGTGTGTTGTTTACCGAGTCCACAGATGTGAACCAGCAGTCAGAACACCAGATAGTAAATTCCTTGTCTCCGATTCGGGGTTCAGTGCATCCCAAAGGAGACCCCGGAGCCAACACAAGCGTTGTGATCCGCCAACGTCACATTTTTGAGCTGAATCTCGCAAATGAGAGCGAGATGGCAAGGCTATCGGCACTCGCTTCCAGGAATCGTGCGAAGTCTCGGTTCGAATATGGAATGAAGTTGGAAAGATGTCTCTGTGGAGAACTTGACACATCCACGATTGGCTGGCACTTTTCTCCGGAGCGGATTCGAGCTCTGCGATTTGTGAATAACTACCAACATAACATAGCTTCGCCTTCTCGATTCCTCGCCTTCTATGCCAATTATCATGCTAAGTTCCCGTGTATTAGAGACATGGCAAATGTTACGCCTCTCCCGAGCCAGATCGAGTACCTGAAAGGGTTGGAACCTTGAGATTTACCTGTTTCATTGCAGAGTAACTTAAACTGGCGGCAAATCAATAAATATCCGGCTCAAACTCTGCTCCCTTCTTTCTTCCATCCGTATCGAATCTATATCTCTCTACGGGTTCGTTATTTTCCCTATTCGGACACGCTAGCTCGTGCACTCTCAACATGGCCGACCGCTCCGTCTCCCAGCCCCAACACCCTTTCCTTATGCTCAGCCTGTCCATCATACGGAGGGGTCCTTGTTGACCCCTCCCCGTTACCTTTGAGCCCACCCATTCTTCTTTCTCATGCAGGGTTACTAACCCTTCAGCGGGTTCATACACTGCCCTAGAATACCAGTACCAGTCCCCGATCCGCCAGCATCGAGTATCTCGAAAGCTACCCTCGAACGACCCGTAGACTCGAAGCTCACCGTTCTCCCGATCCCAGCGAAGATGACAGCCGGCATCGCAACCACCGACAACGCCCCGGGCCAAGAATCTCTAGCTGGAACTCACAACCAGCTTCAACCCTCGAGGACCGAGGACCCATCGAGGTGAGCAGCCTGTCTTCTTCCATGCTGGTTTGCCCATTTGCCTGATATCCCTCGCCTATCCCAATCCACTCATCCCCTTCTGTATCTGCATCTGCGTCTGCATCTGCGTTTGCGTTTGCGTATCCCCTTCCGATAGTTGCCTGAACGACCACAGACTGAACCTCCCCTCTTCACGTAGCAATGCCAGCAGCCATCTCGTCCAAGAGCCACCCAAGAGCCACCGCACTGTCGGGGAAGAGCTCGACTATTACCGCAACTTCCTGGATGACCTGGTCACCGTCATGCGCGACGGCAACCAAGCAGCGGTCGCCCACCTGGTAGATCTCATCCGCTCGGGCGTTTCAAAGGTCCAGATTCACCACGCTATTCAGCAACTCAAGAGCGACGGCTACAATGCGCCTGCCCCGCGCGCCTAGAGGTACTGATCATTGCCTTGAGGCTTAGTCCTGGTAGCACTGTGGCTGGTTGTCCTGTCGTGACTGGTTTTGCATCTGCTGGGATTGTTTGGGTTGAGTCCCGAGAAGATGGGATTGAGGTTGAGGCACTTGTTGATCAGTCACGATGTCCAACGGCCATGAGCCCTTCTTTTTGTTTGTTCTTGATTTGCGTTGGTCGTTTTAGTGCTCAGGCTAGTGCTGAGATCCCTTGGGAATTTGAGAAAAAAAAAAAACAAAAAAAAACAAAAAAGGACCGAATGCTGTCAAGTGGTAGATCGATGCAACCTGTGACACACATATTTGGTCACATTTCTTTCCTTGGGATGATTATTCGCGGTGCCGGATTTGCATTTCCGGCCATCGAGGTTGGTTGTGTCGATATTGACAAACCATATATGAGTGTCAAGTGGCCAAACATACCCGCTTGGCCTGCACCAGGATAGGAAAATACAGCAGAAAAGACAGATATCACACCGTCAAAACCAATTGTACGTGGTGGTGACGACAAGCGCATGTGAACCAAACGTATTCGGTATCGCCATCGATAAAGCTTCAAATCCCAGGAAGGCAAGAGACCAAGGCCTGCGTGTACCAGGGACCGGGCCAAACCAATTGAAATGCACACGCACTATCATATCTCCGCCACTACCTACGTGCGGATCGAACCGAAGTCCGGCCAGAGGGTCATGGAACGTCATGTCGAGACTGTGCCAATCAAACAGGGATGGAAAAAGGAACCAGACATGAGATCGGCGGTTCGCGTGAATGAAGAATGGACATTGTAATGGCCACGTCCTGTAAGGGGGTTAGTTGCCCTCATCTGTGGATGGAGAGAGCACATATTATAGCAACACTAACACCAACAATATTAACACTGACACCGACCTAGCGTGTGTTCACCCTGGAACAACCGCTGTTCATGTCCAGAAAGATGATCCTGCTGTTTCTCAAAGGGGTCAAGTGGAATGGAAGAGAGTGGGACTTACGGGTTCTATCTCCGTGTCGGCTCGAGCAATAGCAAGCCAGGCCTTGTGGATCGTGTGTGCCTCCTTTCCTGTGAGACGTAGACTCTCCCTCTCTCCATCTGAGAGACATTCGTTCATCACTTGATAAAGGACAGTGTCGATGCTGTGCGATGGAGATGTGGAGCAGGGATTGAATACTGACTAGGGCCACAGAGTTCTTCCCCGTGACTTCGAGAGACCCTGACAGTCCAGACGCGCACACCTGACTTGCTTCACTTCAAGTTGAACATCCTTCTGTCTTCCTCTCCTATTCGATGACATTCCTGTCTACCAGTCTCCCTGTTTGATTCGAGATGGATAACAGCTCGGAGCCGGGATTGGAATCCGGCTGACCAGCACTAACACAAACAGACACAGGCACAACACTAAACGAAGCGAGACAGACCGAACAAAGCCATCTTGATGCTCATCACAATACTCGCGTGTCGAATACTATCTCAACCTCGAACTCGGACACGACTCACTACACCAGCCACAGCCAGAGCTGACCAAACAGAGCTGACCACACGAACCAGTTCCACGGGCAGAGGGATGGAGGAAATGGAACGAATAAAACAACAATTGTTGAGAACCTTCTTTTCCTTTCGTCTCTTCACTACCCATCCCTATCCAGCTCCCAGAACCACACTACCCACACACAACAACAGACACCTCAAGCCTCGCACCAAGCAAACTCCACACCCATAAACGTACAGATCTCACCATCCTATCCAACAAACATAACCATAACCATAACAGTTCCGTTGCAGACCAGTCCAGATACATGTGCACATCCAGCGGGGAGTTTGGGTTTGGTCTCGGTCTGCTGTGCCCGACAGGTGCACATGACATGCATGATCCCGTAGATGATTCTTTAATCCCGGGTCCCTGGTGCTGGGGTTTTGAGCTGGACTGGAGTAGACTAGATTGACACGGGACTGGATCTGGATCGGGATCTAAGATTGGACTGGGGGTTTGATGGTCGTGATGGATACTGGGTACGGTGTATTATTGAGGTTGTCTACATTGGAGAAGGCTGTGGGTAGGGGAGGGAGTCGGCATCGATATTGATATTGATCTATCTGGCTAGGTAGCAAGTGGTATTGCAGGGTTGGAGGGGACGTAGATGTAAGTGTCATGCTAACGTTCAGTAGAAATTCTTGTAGTAGATAGTCCCGCTAATAATTCACACATTCGAGGGCAATGAGAAATTATCAGTCTATTTATTCGAAATCGCGGTATCAGAAAACAAGATAAAGGAAAAGTTTATCCTCATACATGAGCAACCATATTTCGTTCTACCAATGCCTAACCCTATCATGATCATGCTTATTTTTGTGCTTTATTTAAGGTGTGCAACGGCCAGTGTAGCGAGGGTACAAGGAGCAATCACGGACGGTGTAGCGAGCGCACAACCACGCGAGGAAACGCTCCAGACCGAGACCGTAGCCACCGTGGGGGAGGTACCGTACCTATAATGAGATATTAGTATTGGGACCGGTATGGAAGCCGGGAAGCTGGAATAAACTTACTTGCGCTGGTCAGTGTACCAGTAATAGGGCTTGGGGTCCATGCCCTCGTGCTTGTAGGCGTTCATCAACTCATCCCAGTCGTCCATGCGCATACTTCCGCCGACGATCTCACCAACACCGGGCATGAGCACGTCGACACTCTCGGTGACGCGGCGGTCCTCGGGGTCCTTCTTCATGTAGAAAGCTTTGATCTCGGCAGGGAAGTGGGTCAGGAAGATGGGCTGGTTAATGATGTCGGTCATGCGACGCTCAGCAGCCTCGGCAATATCATCACCGAACTTGTGGGGCTGTCCCTCCTCGTTGGGGATTTCGTGCTCGATCAACCACTGGATAGCATCGTCATACTTCATGCGACGGAAGGGACGGGATGGGGGCTTGAAATCGGGGTTGAGCTGCTTGATGTAGCCGGCGATCTCGGGCTCGGCGAGAACGTGGTCAATGACACTGCAGATCATCTCCTCGAGATGGTCGAGCAGATCGGTGAAGGTGATGAAGTCCAGCTCGGCTTCGATGTGAGTGTACTCTGACAGGTGACGGCGGGTCAGGGACTTCTCGGCACGGAACGATGGGCACACGCAGAACACGTCGCCCAGAGATGGGAGACAAGTCTCCAGGTACAGCTGGGAAGACTGTGTCAGGTAGGCATTCTCGCCGTAGTAGTCGAAGCCGAAGAGAGTGCTACCGCCCTCGACCTGGGTCTGCACCATGGCGGGAGGAGACACCTCCAGCATGCGGTGGCCCTCAAAGGCCTTGCGGAAGGCGCGCAGAGTGGCGGCGCGCACCTTCATGACGGAAGACGAGGTCTCACCACGCAGCACGAGGTGACGGTTGTCATACAGAGTCTGCGGGTCGGCGTCCGGCGCCACGCGCGTGGTGATGGCTTCCTTGTCACCGGCGGCGCGGCCGATGATGGTGAAGTAGTCGGCGTGCAGCTCACGGTCGTTGGGGGCGTGCTGCTTGGCGGGCACGGCGCGCATCTCACCGTGGATGGCCATGGAGGTTTCGAGGGTGAGGGTCATGATGTCGAAGGTCTTGACCATATCGCCGGTCAGGATACACTGGAGGTATCCGTAGCCGTCGGTCAGAGTGATGAAGACGTAGTCCTTCTGGGCGCGCATGCGGTGGACGCGACCCAGGACGCGGACGCGGGTGCCAGGCTCATCGGACTCGGGGGAGCGCAACTTGACAGTGGCAGGGTCGGTGTCATCCAGGCGAATGCGGACGGGCTTGGGCAGGGAGGTGTCCTCCTTGATGATGATCTTCTTGGCCTCCTCCAGGACCTTCTGGCGCTTGTCGGCCTCGGCCTTCTCACGGATGGCCAATTCGTGCTCCTTGGCAGCCTTCTTCTTGCGCTGCTCACACAGGGTGTTGGCCTTCTTCATGGCTGACTTGGTGGCGGGCTTCCACTCCAACTTGGCGGCGGGGTCGACATCCTCGCCGGCGGCATCGGTCTGGGACTTGCGCGTGAGGTACTGGATGCCCTCAGTGGTGGGAGCGTGTTCCAAGAAGGCGTGGACGAGGGTCTTGTAGGGAGCGGCCTCGGTACCGTTGCCGGGAGATTCGTCTCTTCCGACGTCCTCGTCGATGTAGATGGTGGTGGACGCCATTGCGCTTTATCCTTGCAATGCTAGGTTGGGAACGAGTTCTGTGAGTCGCGAATTAATAGTGTCCGGTATGTGAGTCATAGATTCAGGGACCAGGACAGATCAGAATACTCACCTGATAAGACGCAGCAAAGAGGCCTCTTATCTCCCAATTGCAAAGTGTTCAACGCAAGGAGAATCACACATTGTGGAGGGGTAAATTTCCGATCTGCGGGATTCCCCACGGGTGCCTGAGGCGACAATTCGATATGACTCAACTTGGTTCAAACTTTCCTAATTGTATAGTTAGTTAGTATATCATCTATAGCATCTGATATTTAGTAGGATTCATCTATACTACCTAGAATCTTACTGATTGGTGTATTGTATTGAAGACATATCACTTTTAGTTCGTACACATGTAAGGTATCTCGTATCCCGGGACAGAGGTAAACACCGCATTTCGAGTACGTGTCAAAGTCGAGATCAGCATAACTTATAACTTAGCAGATATCCGTCCACCTCTGTCAACTGTCTCAACTGACATAATTTGAAGGTCACGGGACTCCGCTCTTGGCATGCAGGGAGCCTACGGAGAACATTAAGGAGGCTAACTTACAGTGACTTTGCAGGTTCCAAGGTTGGTCTTTCTCATATACTTGCCAGGGGTAAATTGTGGCTGGGTCTCTCTGCAGAACTGGGGAAAATACACTACTGTAGCAAAAATAAGAAATGGAGTTGTAGTTCGGCCCCCTTAATCCACTCCTCCGTATAATGACTTGCCCCTTTTATGTTTTTTCCTCTCTCATACCTTACCTGGATTCACTTCCTTACCTTTCATTCTTTCTCTCTTTAACCCTGCATTTTTTTTTCTTTTCGATTTCTTAATTTTTAGTCAAGGTAAGCCTTTCTCCATAGCCCCCTTTTTTTGGCCTTCTTCTTCTGCTCCCACTTATCCCCTTTCAGCTAACTGTTTGTAGCCTCTCTCTCTCCCCTTTTCTCTTCGCATGGCCAACTGAACATACGCATTCCCGGAGAAACGGTTGGTCTTCCCCATTCCCTTCTTGACATTCCATTCATTTAGACACGTCTCGTCTTTTGCCCACTTTATCCTCATTTTCTTCTTTCTCCACCTATATTTATATTCTCCCCTTTTCTCGTGACCCGTGTGGAGTGGCCTCCTGAATGGTGATCTGATAATTCCTTTCTTTTTCTTCTCAGAGCCTCCTTAGTCTGGTAGTCGCTTCGACTTCCTCAGGACTCGACCTCGCCATGCAAACCTCGGATATATCAAGCATCCCGAACAACTCGCGTCTAATCCCTCCCGGGTCCAAATACGCGCTCAACGGCGACACTGGATTTTCCCACGGAGCATACAACAATAACCATCCACACTCTCAAGGATTCTCGGATCGAAACGCTCGTCGCGCCAATATACCCGCTATAAACACAAATCCAGGACAACAATCCGATATGGCTTCGGGTTTCGATATGAACTTCACCCCCCTTTTACCCTCCCAGCTGCTGGTGGGCAGTCCGTTCCAACCTGGAACTCCCTCGGCCTTCCAATCGCCTCAGTTCGCCAATTTCGGTAGCTTCTCTCAGGCCAATGGCAATGGACACGCTCAGAACAACCAGAACCACATGCACAGCCCGACTCAAGGAATGCAGAACCAGGGTCTATATGGAATGATGTCGCCCGACGGCATGGGTGCTTCTCAGATGATGGGCCCTCAGTCGCCTATCAATGGTCTTGGAGGTATGGGCAATGCGGCTCTGGGGAGCCCGCAGGCTTCAGTGGCCCCCGGCATGCTGTCGGGGACCAGCCGCACTGTTTACTTAGGAAACATCCCAGCTGAAACATCTGCTGAGGAGATCCTTAATCATGTGCGTAGCGGCCAAATTGAGTCTGTTCGCCTGCTCCCCGATAAGAACTGCGCGTTTATCTCCTTTTTGGACAGCAGCTCTGCCACTCATTTCCACTCTGATGCCATCTTGAAGAAGCTGGCCATCAAGGGAAATGATATCAAGGTTGGCTGGGGCAAGCCTTCTCAGGTTCCGACCTCCGTCGCCCTGGCAGTCCAACAGTCGGGCGCGTCGCGTAATGTTTACCTCGGAAATCTGCCCGAGGAAACATCCGAAGATGACCTCCGGGAGGAATTGGGCAAGTTCGGACCCATTGACACCGTGAAGATTGTCAAGGAGAAGGCTATTGGATTTGTACACTTCCTGTCCATCAGTAATGCGATGAAGGCCGTCACCCAGCTCCCTCAGGAGCAGCAATGGCAAGCGCCAAAGCGGGTGTTCTACGGCAAGGACCGTTGTGCATATGTGTCCAAGACTCAGCAGCAAAATGCTGCTCAGTTCTTGGGAATCGCCCCAGGATACGCGCACGTGCTCAACACGGCGGATCGTGACTTGATTTCCAATGCGCTTGCGCAACAGTCTGTGGCTGCGGCCGCCGTGGCCACGACAGCGGGCGGTGTCAACAACCTTGGCAACCGAACTATCTACCTTGGAAACATTCACCCTGAAACCACCATTGAAGAGATCTGCAATGTTGTGCGTGGAGGCCTGTTGCACCACGTCCGGTATATTCCTGACAAGCACATTTGCTTCGTTACATTCATCGATCCTACCTCGGCTGCCTCATTCTATGCCTTGAGCAACCTTCAGGGTCTGATGATCCACAATCGACGACTCAAGATTGGCTGGGGCAAGCACTCAGGCCCTCTCCCGCCAGCCATTGCGCTGGCAGTCAGCGGAGGCGCGTCGCGTAACGTGTATATCGGTAACTTGGACGAGGCCTGGACGGAGGAACGCCTCCGCCAGGACTTCTCGGAGTATGGTGAGATCGAGTTGGTGAACACCCTGCGCGAGAAGAGCTGTGCGTTTGTCAACTTCACCAACATCGCCAATGCCATCAAGGCCATCGAGGGTATGCGCAACCGTGAGGACTACCGCCGGTTCAAGATCAATTTTGGTAAAGACCGCTGTGGAAACCCTCCCCGTCAGGCTGGAAACAACCAGAATGGCCAGGGCCGCAATGGATCCGGCATGGAAGGCCCTCAGTCTCCTACCCCCCGCTCTCAACGGATTTCAGCAGAACCTCAGCCAGTCCGGCTCCCAGTCCAGTCCGACTCGTCCCGCTCTCTCCCCAGCACCCGGATCCACTGGCTCTCAGAATGGACAGCAGCGCCACCCTCTGCAGACAGTCTCCTCACCCTCTGGCGTCCTCAACGTCGGATCTAGCAATCCTCTCACCATGTACCTAAATCAGATGTCTGCCCACCAGACACAGGACCAGGAGAACGGACTCAGAGACCCTATGGCCCTAGGCGGCCTGCAGGCACAGTCCCAGGCCCCGCCCCAGCAGTCGCTATACAACGGCGCCACCAACGGCGAGCTCTCCAACGGAAGCATGGACCCACCAATGCACCCGCACAAGTCCTCAAACAACAGCTACCTGAGCGTGGGTAACGGCTCCGGCCACGGTCACCACGCCAGCACCAGCAGCCTGAGCGTTCCCCGTGCCTCGCACTCTCGAGAGCCGTCAGCCTGCCCTCCTTCTCCCAAGAGCCCTTTGGTCCTGTCTCTGGCCAACCTGGCCACACCCGCACAGGAGCCGCCCACCAGCCCCAGAGCAGCTTCTCCAGCTTCACCTCTGCGCTCGGCGGCCTCAACCACCCCGGATTCGGACTGGCTATTCAAAACGAAAACTCCCTGCCCGGCTGGGCTGAAGAGGAGATCGGGGCCAAATAATCATTTGCATCAAAGTATGCATACCCGGGGATGCATAATTGACTCATTGTCCTCTGTGAATCTAATGCCATTTCTTCTTATTTCATACATATAGTCCCTTGTTGATTGTCACGTCCTTTTTACTTTCCCCCATTTTGATTCTGATTCGTTTCTTGTATTGGTCATAATTTCTTTTTTCTATTACCTTTCTAACTCTTTGCCATTCACTTCAACCCCCTTTTTCTTTTCTTTTCTACTTTGGCATTTTTGGATTTCCTCCCCCATTTTGTCCGGACATATTCAGTTCGCCGCCAATGATTTATATTCCCCTATTAATTTCATTTTCATGCCATCTTCCCCTTCTTTTATCACCATGTATTGCTAGCTGGCTATGAGTCTTTTCCTTCTTTTTATCTTCCATTTTATCATTTTATTCCTTTATGTTGGTCTAGGGACTGAGCACACCGCATGTTTCGCTGGATCATGAACCACAGGGAGAGTGGTGCACCACACTCGGGCCCTGGGTGCTCTTTCTTATGGTCTTTTGGTTAGAGATTTTACATTATCATATCCTTGGGCAGGATGCATACCGGTGGTATGATCTAGTGGAAATACCGGCCCTGCCCCGCTTGTCTGTCGTGGATATTTCGGTTGCAAAAAGCAAGCAGGTCAGGGCTGCAGATGTGTACCTAGTGGAGAGTTCCCGGGAAAGCATGGAAATGAGTCGATGACAATACCCATAGCGAGAAGAGAACCAGTGATACCTTCATCAAACGTGTAGTCCTCGTACAGTTCAGTAGAGCGACCGATGTGTAGTCTTTGGCCTTCTCGATATAGATATCACGTGAAGCACTAGTCTAAATCAGGAACGGATCAGATACATCAAACTGGATGATTCCAATCACCAACTCGGCCTCCCATCCCTCCATCCCAACATCAGTCTACTCATCGCATGATCAACTGAAGACATCACAACATGGCGCTTCCCCCAGAGCAAATCAACATCAAGCGAAGGCGCGAAGAAGAACCTGTGGAAACCCTCTGTAAGAAAAAATGCTCCCCTTGTTTTTCCCCGCGATGTACCCCCTCCAAAAAATGCATGAAAGTCTATTACATACCCCTTGCCCTAAATTTCCTGTCAACGATTGAAAATACCCACTAACTAGAACCCCAGATATCCAATCGGCACTCCATCAAACCAAAAGACGATTCACAGACTTCGTCTTCCACAGAGTAACACTGAAGGCCAGCGAAAGTTCAGATACATCTCCAAGCCCACCATCAACAGCGCACCCAGCAGCCCAGCGGCTCCTGCGCAGCCCGCGCTCAGTAAGCAGTCTGCACGTCTCTCGCCGAGCACCAGCATCCTCAAATGGGAATGGCAATGTCGTCCCGACAGTCCGAGCTACCTCACCAGGCGCGGAATTCCGTGAAGTACAGCGTCTCGCAGCCGCACGCAAAGAGCTTGAGGAAAAGCGCCGGCAACTCATTTACTCGGGTCAAGCACCGCCTTCTCCATCACAGACCAGCCCTGCGTCTGCACCTGCACCTATATCTGGATCTGTATCCGGGTCAGGGTCTAGACCCAGCACTCCCGACGCAGCAGCAAAAGGAGAGACCAAGCAATCATCTAGAACAGCATCACCTAGCCGCGCACAATCCCTCCGTCGCTTCCAGATCTCCAGATCAAACCTCGGTTCTCTCCGGAGTCCAGGCGGAATCCAAAAACGTCGCGCTGATGGTCCGGCACCGGGTGTCGCCGTGCTAGTTGAACAACTGCATCGGCGCACCCATTCGCGCAAGACGTCCATGGTCTCTGATATGGTTGCGCAGGCGCAGCTTGGGGATCGGGTTATTTCACTTCCGCCGAAGGAAGTCGTGGAGGGTTCGGCTCCGGCTTCGCCTGTGAAACCGCGGAAGCGGCCTGTTGTTAATCAGGCTGAACGGCGGTGGAGGGAGGAGCGGAAGGGGTCGATTTCTGCGGCGAAGAATCGGCTTAGTGAGACTTTGGAGAAATCTGCGCAGCAGACCCAGCAGAGGAATTGGGATGAGGAGTCTGAGCGGCTTGCTAGGGATTTTGAGCAGGTTGCTCTTGAGCTTCAGGTGGATGATGGTAATGATGGAGATGAGCAGAAGCATGTTATGGATCTTGATACGCGCATTGCTGGGAATGGGAATGTGTCGGCCGTTCAGCCTGTGAGTTCCACGCGTAAGCCGCCATTGAAATATCAGCCGAGGCAGCCGAAGGAACCTAGAATCGCTCCTGTTCAATCTCAGTCTGGGTCTCAGTCCCCGCTGAAGAATGAGGAGGCTGTGGATGACATGCCTGAAGCGGAAGATGATGATGGTGACTATGTCTACGATGTCTATATTCGGCGCCCGCTGTCGGAAAGTGAGATGCTCAGGAACCCTCTCTCTGAGTATGAATCCGAACAGCAGCAGAAGAATGCTACCAAGGCTCAGTCTGGTGTTGGTGTTATTGTCATTACAGAAGAGGATGAGCAGTATTGGGAGCATTTCGTTGAAGATGACGAGGAGGAGTGGGATAGTGAGGACGCGGATTCGAATGGTAAGTTTCCCTTTGGTCCTCGAATTGCGATGTATGGACTCTCACTAACCCAACCTTCCAATTTAGCTGAGAACAATCCCGCCAATGACTACCCCGATGAGGAGATTTCATCTGACGATGATGGCTTTGACTTTGATGATTCTGCCAGTGAGGATGGGTTTAACTCTGGTTTTGGGTATAACTCGCGTTATGGTGGTCAGGGCTCGGATTCTGATGATTACTGATTTTCTACTTGCGTTGATGGACGCTTTGTTCTACTGCCATCGAAAGTCATGTTCCTCTTGCTTGCTCGTATTGGGTCGGTGGTTGGCCAATGTCTCTTTTACCTAGTTCACGCATAGGATACCCCATGCATTGTTTCTGTTAATCTCTTTGCTTCTAGCCTCTCAACCTTGTCGCGACCCTAGGAGAACAACTGACAAAATTGACATCTCACAAGTGACCACCGAGCAATTGCTCCATTGAAATCATCCTTACACTTGACATACCGTAGCCCTGTGCATTACACTACCAAGGTTAGTAGATATCTAGATCGTGCCCCGTTGCGCCTACTGCAGAACGAATGTAACCTGACATCGACCATGGATAAGAACATACCCACAGCAGGCTATCCTGTAACACGCCTACGACCATAAACCAGGATAGATGCACATATATACACAGCATTTCACTCTCTCCATTCTTCCACATACACAAGTCGACCGACAATACGACCCCTAAGCACACACATAACCTACTGTGTCCGTACAACCACAATCCCTGCCCGCCCAACCTAACACAAACCTCAATCCTCACCTTTCTCGATATAAAATGACATGATATGGTAATCGTCAAGCATGCTATACAGTACACGATCATATACATGTATTTACATACGAATACGAGGAGTGTAAATGCAAATCCACACAAAACCCACATTCCACTTTCGGATCGCTTAATTCGCTTACACGGGAATCAGCAGCCCGCAATTGGTGGAGATAGATTAAACAAGCACAAATCATATTGTCCTTCACGGCGCCCCTCTTGCCTATTTCAGATTAGTGCTGATGAGATTCGACAGCGATAGGGGGATCGGGTGGATTGGGGCCTGTTAGGGCGAACTATGGCGCCGGGAAGTTCGTGCCGAGTTGGGGATGGAGTATTTGTTGTTTACTTTGTTTTTTGGTCCTTACTATACTATACATGTAAGTATAAGTGTAAGCGTATGGTATCTGTATTCTGGGAATGATTTGCTTTTTTGGGCTGTTTTATGGAATACGAAATTGATGTATGATGTGCCGCACGGAGTACCAGACGTTGAAACGTCCAAGCCTACCTGGGCAGTGGCATATGTGGCATGTGTCATGCAGTGACATTCAAATCCCGAGTCATTTCTGCACGAGTATTAGCCTTTGAAGAATTAGAGATTGGCTTTTTCTGTCTGACTGTTGTGCACTCTATACATCGCCATTCTAGACCATGTTATAGTATACCCATGCCATTCTTAAGCTGTTAAACACGTATGTGTGCCGCAATTTAGATTGCCCCACTGATAGAGTACACATTGGCCCCTGACTATTTCGACATTGGGGCCTTAATTTACGTTATAGTATGCCGATCAACATTCTCTCTTCACTCCACTGTACATGTACTAGGCTAGTCCCTTACGATGCATCTTAGCAGTATGCGCCCCACATCCTCCCGATTCCCCGAATGTCCTTCTCCAATCCCCGAATTTCGAGGTTGAGGCTGAGACATTGGGCACAGTGATCGTCCCTCTGTCATGGAATGAAAACTTTGAGGCACCTACGGGATGGTTCCCCGATCCCGACGCTACACCAATTTGGTCATCATTTTAGATGGGATCTTAATGCGATCTAATTAATTATCATTCCTGTTCCTGTCTCCTGCTCCAGTTCTAACTACTATATAACGAGTAATTAACAATAAGAAAGTCCAATTGCAAACACATGTGCTCACCTACCAACTTGGTACCTATAAGTCTCCATCCAAAATCTAGAAACAGCACCACATACGTCCATACAGTAAGCAAATCATATGCCCATCTACCCAATTCGATCGAACTCGTAGATCCCAATTATCAAAGACCACAAGCATACATGCAAAACAAAAGCTAGAGCGAGCCATCAGAAAAGAGAAAAAGCAAAAGAAAGTAAAGAAACGTAGATCCATACTAACGTGAGCGCTTGCGCGCGACACATCCAATGCACACCCCATACCCGACCCCCGTCTCACCTCCTATACATGTACTGTACTTACGACCGCGCACTGGTTACTGCCTCCCACCTCTGCGCTCAGAGCTGCGCTTGACCCCTCACTTCTGCCAGACCTCCCTTTCCTCAGATGGTATCTCATATCTCATATCTCATATTAAACGCGTCTATTCTACCGCCGATCAACGGTGGCTATGCAGCTAGTTTACTGCACTGCGAAAATCAAGCGCATTGTTATTGTTTCGGGCTATGCTTTGACCGACTGTATGTACACAGTCACTATTGTTGATGATGGCTTGCTTTATGTTGTATTGCATTTCAGTGACGCGGTCTCGTACGTAGATGTCGTTGTCGATCTCCGATAGATTTTAAGATCCATTTTGAGGGCCATTTTTGTTTCGTGTTCTTTTTTTGTTCCACACTGCACGGGTTGGACTTGCAGCCACCGGTGACTTATTGAAGGTGCATCCTTCCAGGATTGATCCTTCTTAGAATTTGGAATCGGGGGCTGTGGGTTACATTTGCAGGGGGCGATGTGTCCGGTTTTAGTAATTATAGCGATGGATCCGTAGTAGGCTGAGGATGTTGTGTCTTGCCCTTGTCCTTGCTTGTGCTTGCACTGCCATATCGTCTTGTTGGGGCTAGAATTGAAGGATTGGACCCCACGATTGACGAGTCAGCCTGCTTTTCGGCCCATTGCATTTGCTGTGGTATTTACGCTTCTATCAATTAGAAAGAGTCAATCGTTAGTACTGTAGCCACTCGCAAGTCTCCGACAGGGTTCGGCTAACGGAGAAACTGGACTAACTATAGGAATATTGATAGCGGGGATTACAGATGCAGAATGGCCTACGAGTGGTGTCATGCAGAAGAATAAATCTGAATCTGAATCTCATTTGAGCTGTTGATAGCTGTGTCCGACCGGATTGCTCCAAGTCAAGATGGTATAGTATAGTGTAGTGTAGACGTCAAGAAAAGTCAGGGAGTGAACATCCTGGCGCGGCCCAAAAAAAAGAAAACACCCTGCCAAACGACAGGAGTCCACAAATAGACCTCCCACGCTGAAAAAAGGAACTCCAGTGAGGTATCTTGAGTAAAAAAGACAAAAAAGTAACCCAAAGCAAAAGTGCAAAGAAAAAGACGCAAAAACGAGAGTACCTCCCAGCCCAGAAAAAAACAAAGAAACCACCCATAAAGAAAACGCAATTAAACAACAACAAAGAAATCACAACCTCAAAACCTCCGCCCTACTTTCCCTCATCCAAGGATACCAAACCTTCCCCCATTCAATAACACCAAACCGGGGCGCCCCAGACTCAGTCCCACCCTGAACACTAGTCCCCTCCCTCAAAAACTCGCCATCACGCATCCGCCGCTGCTCCCGCAAAGTAGGACACTTCTTCTCTTTAATAAAGCGATAGAACTTGCACTGAATACCCTGAAAGCCACGTCTCTGGCGATCTGGAAACTGCCGATTGAACGCCTCGCGCACCTCCTTCCACTCCTGGCACAGATCAACGCGATGGTACCAGATAAAGTACATCTCCTCCTCCTCATACTTGGGGCGCGGCGGCCGGCGACGATCTGCGTTTGCGCTGGAGCTGCTTGAGACGCTGTCGTAGCGTTCGCGGCTCTGCGGGTGATAGGGGTCTGGGGAAGAGTTTGTTGAGCGTGAGCCTGGGCCGGACACCGACCCTTGGTTGCTGGTGCTGTTGTGTCTGGCGCTGTTTGGGTTTGTGCTCATTTGGTTTGAGGGGCGGTATGTTAGGAACATGTGGTGGGATTGGCTTTGGCTTTGGTGGTGAGCTGTTGGGCCTGCGTGGTTGTGACTTTGGCTTTCGCTATGGCTATGGCTGCTGCTGTGGGTTGCGCTGGATAGTGCACCCGGGCTGGTGTCGTGGTATCGTCCATACCAGTAGTTTGGACTTGGGGGAAACTTGGCGAGTGTTGGTAGCTGTGGATGGATGGGATTGAGGCGTGTTGGGAGCGAGGTGAGTCTGAGTAGCTGTCTCCTTCGCCCGGATTTAAGAGGGCGTCGATTTTCATGCGGCTTTGTCGTGTTGAGGGCCGCTGCGCGTATTCTGTGCGTGTTTCCATTATGATGTGTGCCTTGTTGTGGTGTAGAAGTACAGGCGAGTAGGTTTTGTGGTTCATAGATCTGAATAGATCTGAATCCGGGGTGAAAAGCCGAGCTTCACTTTTTTTTTTTGGGTCCCAAGCGGTTGCACAGACCAAATTAATTTTAGTGGGGAGGATGTAGGAGAAGCGGCGTATATCAGATCCAACGATCAATGGGGGATATTTGGAATGAACGTGTGTAAAAGTAAGGGAGGTGGGATGAAGTATAGCTGGGGTAACAGGCCAAGGTTTATAGATCAAAAAAAAAAAAAAAAAAAGACTTAAGGAAAAAGCAGATCAGAGCCTTAAATGAGAAACAGAATCGAACAAGCTAACTGTCTGCTCCTTTTGGCCCCCTGTATAGCTGTGTACCGCGGATACACAAGGCTACAGGGGTGGTTTGGTTCCACCCCCAGAGAATAAAAAATAATTAATCGGTGAACCGGACAGGGTGCTCCGTGTCCGGTGGAGAAGGGCTTTTAATTATTATTATTTTTCGCCACTATTTAAATCGATATCTTTGAAGAAAAGTGGCGATCAAAGTCTCTGTGTCCCTTTCCGCGGCAATTCCGTGTGGATTTACACCTTTACCCTTTTACACTCTTAGCGCAAATGTCAATTACAAATTTTAGTAGCAGCTATAGACAGCCCTGAAGATGGAAGCATTTTCTGTTTTGGTACATGTTTCAGTTCTTCTCAGATACAGTGAAATTAAAAACCAACACAAACGCGCGGCGTCTATTGGTAGACGCAAGAGTCATCTGTTGCGACATACGCCATGGCCTTGGGACACCACAACGAATGAACGTGTCGAGCTAATGCGGGCTCAATTTGGCCTCGAACTGCCAACACATTCCAAGGCTAGATGTCCGAGGGATGTGGCACAAGCTCTTCTCTATCCTCATCAGGCTCGGCTCGCTTTCCGGCCTTGATATCTGTATATAGTTGGAAAGCGGATTTCCCGCGCAGTCAAGTTGCATCCCGGAATCTCCTTTTCAGACGATCCAGCCGAGCTGCATGATTGGCCTCCACTTTCGGATATCCTTGTAATTTTCGTTCTTTTGCGCCATTTTCTCCCTAGATCTGCGCCTTGACCAAGATCGTCGGTCATCTGCATTTGCCGCCAACGGTTTTTGGGATTTTCGTCAGCCGGTGCCAAAAGAGATGAGTATGGTCATAACTAAGCGCCCACGTACACACACACTCTCTCTCTCTCTCTCACTCTCTCTCTCTCACTCACTCTCTCTCTCTCTCTTTTCAATATTAAACGCGAATAGAAATGTGAACGCCAAAATTCCGAAACCCGAAACAGTAAATGTGACGGAACCAGAACCAAAACCAGAAACAGCTGCCTATCTGCGGCGCAGTCAACTTGCGCAAGCGCCGTCTCCCTAGCCCAACGGGGGACGTCATCTGTCGACGCTGTATGGCCCGTTGCTTCCGAGATCCCTGACAAGCCTCCTACTCAGGCGCTGAACAGACTGTACAGGTCCCTGAAGCCCCCGATTCCGTGCAGATTAGATCAACACGGGGCTAAACCAGCCTGCTCCCCCCGCTCCTCTTTGTTTCTGCTCCACCAGATCCAATCACGGAGAGGGTTGGGGTTCATCAATCGCGTAGCCGCAGACGAGGACAATCACGTGAGGCCTTAGCCTGATGTGGATAATATAGTCGATAGTACGGACTCCGTAGAACAGTCTGTGGTTAATGATTTAATCAAAAGTACCAAAGTACCTGACCCGCTCGAACCAAAGTGAGACTTCCTTCCTGAAAAGATAGCTGTTGTGACTTCGTGGTGCATGTCAATGTATTCAAACCCTAGACAATTTTACGAGTCATGCTGTGCATACTTAGCTCCTAGCCAAAAATAAATTCCAATACAGTCAACTCTCGCTTATACCACAGCATACTATCCAAGCCAAACTACGTGGTATAATTGAGTTGTGTTTTGGTGAGAGGATGACATAATATTTGACAAGCTAACTCTAAGCCCTAATACCTATTTAGTCTTCCATCCCATCATCTGATCCAAAGTCACCTGACGTTTCTCATCAATCTGAATCCTGCCAAAGTCGCTGATTAAGCTCTCAATTTGTCTAATATGGTCCGAGGTACCCTTTTCTTTGCTACAAACCCATAGTAGGATATCCTGGAGGCTGTCCAATATAGCAGAATTAGACAGAAGCTCAGGTGGGGGCCCATCAATGTCAATATCCTGAATTTCTGAGGTTGTTGGGGCAATATATATATCTTGCTCATTGGTCTCATCTCGCCCTTCAGTCCCATCTTCTAACATGTCTTCGTCCGAAGGGTTCAAAAACTCGTCAAATGGCACAATATCTTTATCACCAAGCTTATCAATTGCTTGATTATATAGACTTTCAATCTCATCACTCAATCCGGGCTCGGAAAATAGTGCAGACTCAGGTGCGGACTCGGGCGCGGACTCAGGTATAGGTATAGACTTTGGACTAATCAAAGTACTTTGTTTAAAGCAATTGATAATCGTTTGGTCTGATACACTTGTTCTCCAAACTTGCGTTACCCAGGTAACAGTATAATAAATGCTCATTCTTTGTTTTGGGTCTATCCCACGATCAAGAAAAGCAATCATATAGCGCATCCATTTCTTCCGATAATGGTGCTTCAAGTTTTGGATAATACCTTGGTCCAAGGGTTGATAAATTGAAGTTGCGTTTGCTGGCAAAAAAACAACCGTAATCCGGGGTGGTGGTGGCGCTCGCTGGAGTCCAATAACATGTGGTGAAGCATTGTCTAAAAGGAGCAAAGCTTTCTTATCTAAGGGAATACGCCCATAGAAAGATCGCAACCAGTCCTCCATAATGTCATGACGCATCCATGCTGCCTTGTTGTGACGCCAAACACATCCCAGAGCTCGGAAATTAACCCCCGGAGTGCGCGAGGGGTTTTTGCTGTGCCAATCAACCATAAAGGGACTCGATCGGAACCATCCGCATTTGATGCAACAACAATAGTGATTCGTGTTTTATCAAGCTTTTTGCCAGCAATTTTTCCCTTTGAAAGACCACCATTTGGCATACGTCGCCAAAATAGGCCAGTTTCATCCATATTGTAGATTTCGGACGGTTTGAATTGATTGCAAATCGATTTGGTGCTTTTGATCTGATCATGTACCGAGGATGGGACTGAGGCAGCTTCTCCGTGGAAAGTATGATATTGAAGAGAGTGGCGTTGTTTGAAGCGAGTTAACCAACCCTCAGAGAATTGAGGTTTGGTCCGATCTTTGTATTCCGGTATTTGTCTCCAAAGCTCAGCTGCTTTAGTTTGGATCAAAGGGCCATTTATTGGTATTCCATTGCCAATATGGTTATCTGCCCAGTCATATAGCTTTTGGTCCAATAATGGCCAACGAGAGGATGAAGATCGTTTGTTTGCCCCTGCAGGGCCCGTATCAAGATAATTGTATTTGGATGAAAGGATCCTTGATATGGTTGACCGGTCAATCACTTGTTTGAATTGGTCCTCAAACCACTTAGCACATGCAGTCTGCGTGGGCTTTGGGCTAGTATTAGACCAAAATGCCCGTAGTGCCTGTTTCTGCGCGTCTGATATACCCAATTTGGTACGCTTTGGTCCCATTCTGACGCGCTTGGGTGGGGTCGGGAGGGTAGGAGAGCTTGTAGATTGAGGCATTCTGATTGGTTGATTGCGCTGACTAAGCAGATTTGAGAGGAAGAAAGTGTGGTAAAACAAAATGTGTTATATTCTGTCAATTTATATGGAAAAAACTGGAATGAAGGGGCCATCCAAGCAAGGGATGTGTTATTATCAAGAATGTGCAATATCCCACCGTGGTATAAGCGAGAGTTGACTGTAAAGACAAAAAATGATAAATTGGTCCATAATTGATGCTATACTGGCCAATTGATTTCTTAATAATTTTGTCTCTTTTTCTTTTTCTTTGTTTGCAGATCGGATGTGTCGAAACTCCTGGGTTTGACTGTCAGTCAGGGCTAGATTTCAAATCTCTGCCATGGAGCCACAACGCTTTGTCCTGGTGCTAGGCGTTAGCGATAGCCGCCAACCGAGCACATAATAATTATTAATCTCGGGGGGTCCGAACATGCACATACAAAACATCTGAACATTCTAGACTTCATCCTGTACCCGCATTAGAAACGGGAATTTTCCGTCTAATAATTGACTATTCCAGTATTTTAGGTAGACACATGCAGGGCAAAAGCCGAAAAAGAGGACCCCACGGAGATCAGAGACCAACTAGGCAAAAGAACAACTGAATCATGTATGAGAATCAAGTCATTGAACCATTGAACCGTGGATCTCCAATTGAGGCTCAGGATGTGTCTAACCTTGGATCGGAGTCGATCCCCCGAACTGCGCCGAACTGTCAGATCGTGGCATGATGTATTTGGAATACCCATATTTCTGCATTGAGCACCTGACAGTATACATCTGCATGCAAGATGTAACAGTCCTCACCCTGGGGAGTTGGCTGTTGGCTGTTGGCTGTTGGGAGGCGCAAAGCCCAGCGCCAACGTGCACACGTTTGCACACATCGTAAGTTCCAGAACAAAAGAAGAGACTTTTATTTTCTTGGTATCTTGGTAATCCTCCAAGCTATTCCTCTATCGGGAGTAAAAGTGAGAGGAACAAAGAAAAGCCCCCTCTCTCTCGTTGCCTCCGCCGACTCAATCTCCGATCGTCGGATCCGACTCCCATCCATATACATACCCTTGGAATTACGAGCAGAGAGAAAATAAACCCCCTTCCCGCCTCGAGATGTATGTTTCAGCCGCATGGTGGTAATCGTGCAGATATTATCCGCACTAGACACGACACTTACATTAGTAGCAAGCACTCTGCTTCGCATACGTTGTGACTAGCGCCGTGATATACAAAGACACACGTAGCCCGGCTCCGCTTCTTGGACCCCACACCATCGGTATTCTACACGAGTCTCGGGGTATATCCTTATCGTGATTGGCCGTGCACTTCGCAATACGGAGTACTACTTCTCCTCCTCCTAGTTTGATGTACATGGGTTTTCCGCGCTGCAGTGAACCGGGAACGCCGCTTTGGGAGTGGCCCAACGGCGGCAGAGAACACGTACTGTAACATATAGCCGAGGCCGAGATGACCTCACAACGACAGGGAACAGAACAGGCGTCGCTGCCAAGGAGAGCCCAATATACAATACCTACTAGCGTGCTCGCTGCTTTTCCTGGATTCAGCCTAGGGCTGTCACGTTGAAGGAGATGTGACCTTGAGGATTACTACAGGCTCAATCGGGCAATAAATGAGAGTCTCGGTGTTCTGGCGCAGTTCTGGAATGGAGACAGAACAAAGAAATGATAAGCGAAGCAGCGAATGAGAATTGGAAATCCTTTATATTGGTATTGTCATATGGATACGTCTTTACACGCCTAAATGACTGGCAGGGCTGGATACGCATATACTGTACAGCTGGTAAATACAATACATAAAATACGAATCAGGCCATGGAGTATGGAGAGTACGTAGTACTCCGTTTGGACATCGCACTCCAAACTCCGTACTCCGTATCTGAAATGATTTCACTCCGAGTCTCACCCCCACTTGTGGACGCCTATTTACTATATGTCTTTGCGGATCATCTTCACGACTCGGCTAGTGATCGGTAGAGATCAGGTCGACTTGGAGCAAAAGATGTGGATGTGTCATCCTGCTCTCGCGGATTACCTTCCAGACGGGTTAGACTTGAAGGGTGGCTGACGCTATGTCGGCTCATCAGAGCCGCTAGATCCTTTAGCCACGCAGATGCGCCGGTCTAGCAGGGGCCTCTTCGCACTAGGGACACGTGGTTTTCGTGCCGATTACGCTTTACTGCCGAAGCTTGCTTATTTTCTGACTCGGTCGATCGTTCAGTCTCGTTTGATTACTTGGGTCTTACAATAGTAATAAATAAATAAAAGTAAAGTACTCCGACAGGTCTAGCTTTGCTTGTTTCGTGCCTCTCGAGAGACAATATATCTGAATAGATAGTCGCACAGCGTTTACATTTACATTAACATACACATCAACTTTGAAGATATCACATAGCCTGCAGATACCTCTTCAGCTTCACCTCGCCGAACCTGATTTGCCCGGCTTACTAGGTCCGTGCAGTACATAGCCCCGGGGTCTTAACCCCATTACCCATTACCTACTTATATACCGGTACTCCGAACAGACCTTAATTTAATTAAAAGAAGACCCACTAACTGCCCGGTTACTGTATACACGGATGTGATAGGCCACGGCGTATCAACACTACCAAATCACATCTCTGAAAAAAAATAGTGGATCACTATATGCAGGGCAGTGTAAGTTGAAATTGTTCGACTATACGCTATACATGAAGTAGGGCGATAGAGCGCTTGACTAGTACTACATGAATACTACATGTACATGTACATACGGTGTAACTTAACTTTATGGAAGGATCGGGTTACACGGCAGGCGATCGGTAGGTACAAGGTACGATGTATGGGTGAGAGGTGAGAGTGAAAAGTGGAACTATGGATGTCGCCACACCGACAAAGTACTTAGATTTGCAACTTTGATTATGCGACATGAAGGATTTGCACTGCAAGGTTGGGTGTTGGGGCTGGAGGATTGCAGGCGTTGAAGGATTGCAGGATGTATTGTGTAGGCAGTGGGATGTGACATGAAGATTCCTTCGAAAAGAAAGGACCAAGAACCAACAGGAAAAGGGTAGGAGAGAGAATTCTGATTCGTCAGAAGCGATGAGAAGGGGGCGAAAAAGGGAAGAAACAGCCATCATCCCTGGATTACTGCAGTAGTTTCATGCTACATAGTCCACGGCTACATTCTGTACGTTGATGATCATTAGCGACCGGGCTGGTGATAATCATGATCATGAGATGCATGGTACGCCTAGTTGATCTCATATCTCATACTGATATACACCATCATTCTCACCTCTCCTCCACTAGGATATCTCATAACTATCGGTGAGCGAGCGATCAGGTCAAGGCCCACACGTGCACATTCCTTTCTTCCTTCATTTTAAACCAATCAAACTCCGGGCATTGACGACAGAGGCAAGGACTAGTGCTCCGTCATCACACCGAAGCCAGAGCCTTGGGTCCTTCGCCCAGGATCGGGCCTTGTAACGTGGACTATCTCATTGTTATGGTGTTTCACTTCGGCCGATGACTGGTTGAGACCTGTCTTGGATGTCCAAACATAAATCTCAATGTCGGACGTGTGAGTGGCCACTCTCTGAGAGAATGGTGTGTAGGATTTCGGAGCTAGAGGTCGTATTCACACGTACGTTGACGGGTCTGACACTCCAGGGCTATGCCTAGTTCAGTAAGTGGTTCGGATGTTCTTTTCTTCACGGGAGGGAATATCTCCGAGGTTTGGCCTTGGAATTAGAACACCCGAAGTCTAAGCCCTGAAACTCAGAGACACTGGACGATTTTAGTTTCAGTCGAATGATAATCTGATCCGCTTTTCGCCTATTTCGGCAGGTGTTCTTTTTTCACTTTGCTGCCAAAAGTATAAAACCGGCACTATCGTATAGGGTCTTGGCATTCTTCAGGTTATGGAGTATATGATTTTCTACTATCGACTCTTGATCCTCTGGATCCGCTCTATCCTAGCTTTATTCGAATCCATACGTTGAAAAACTGCGCATTTCTTTGTTCGGTGATATTTGTGACCACTCTTAGCTCGGACTGACTTAGAGCCCGACCGCATCCGACGACAGCTCGCGCATCTTGACTCAGTTGGGCCACTCTTCCGGCCACCGGTCTTCTTATTGGGAGAGCACACAGCCCTGGATGAACAGGATGGCTCGCGTATATGCGAAGGTGACGTCGGCCCTGAGTAGTTCGCGAGTCAGACCGTTGCATCAGTTCAGTTCGCGGAATCTAGGAAGTACATATCACAGCCCTAAGTCCGAGGGTGAAAGTGGCTGAAGGATCCGAGTCAGAGTATCCGTAAGCAAGGGGAAAAAAAAAACTTAAAATTACAATGTTTCAATACACGCATGTATTGTCACGGTTCAAAAAATTACAAGCGCGTCTGCAGAGCCTCACCTATAGACCTCTGAATCTCCTCGCGTGCAAACTCCAATCAGCGTTGAGCTATTTGATTCCAAATAGGTCAACCATGGATTAAACCCACTTCGGGGTAGCCGGATCAAGTGGAGCAACGGAGAACACGGAGACATGATAAGGGGAATGAATTTCTTCATTATTTGCTGCATTTGCTTTTACTTACTACAGTATGTTGGTGAATACCAGTCAGGAAAGAGTCGATGATCGCGTGTGATCATCCCAATTTCCCGTATCCATGAATTCAACCTTCTATTCCGATCCTCGCTATGTCAAACTATCCTAAGTGGGGTAGTGGGTCCTTTGTGCATATACGGTGTGGGTAGCCATGTCTTGGACGCCTTGACGCACACTGTAGCATCTAGTGGTATATAGCCTTGCATTAGACATTCGTAGCTGTAATAAAGAAAAACCGTGGCTATCAAAACCCGAGAATATGGAATATGTACGGTATTGTACATTCTATGGTTGCATAATGTATCCCGAGAGCAAAGCCTCAGCCCGTTATTCGGATGTGAATGCGACTATCAGATTGGTTGCTGCCAGATCGGCGAGCATACCGCAGTGCAGTAGTAGCAGTATAGCGTCAAGTTAACCACCGCTATAGGATCGATCTCCTGCAGGATGCCTGCAGAGCAAACTGTTTCAGGGTATGCAACTAGACTGATTCGACATGATGTTGGGAAAATGCGGGATATTGTCGTGATGGTTCTTACGTAGTATCGACCTTTCGTATATACATGGTGCTAGGCTATACAAAGCAGCTGCCCAAATTAGATCTCTGGGATTCTACTGTGGGAATGAATGAGCAATGGTATTCTTGCAGGTTATCCATTTAGTGTAGATATCAGATCGACATTCACCGACGTCTTGTATATCCCCAAGACACATGACCAACATCCAATATCCAACATCGTCACAGCCAACGTTTCACTTAATTTGGGATAGTGTCTCTTCCATTCAGAACCCAACAAAACAAAACTACCGAAACTACCCGATCCTGCACAAATCCCCAAAACGACCAAAATGACTTCATTTGCATTCTTACCCCGCATCATATCCCCTCCCCCAACCTCCCATCAATGCACACCAAGAAAAGAGACAAATCACCACGTGGCGAAGTCACTTCTCTTTCCTGTTTTGTGTCAATGCCAAACCCTAAGTATGCAGGGCATGGAACGCCTTGAGGTTGGTTGGCTTGACCGGGGTTGATCGGAGGAATTTGGGGCGTCATGTAAACCTTGCCAAGCCACTCTTCCTCTTTTACGTGCTTGGTTTATCGTTTATCCTTACCACCTTCCTTGAATGGAGAAGTCCCGGCTATTGCTGCATTCTCCGGATCTGGTGTTCAAGGCGCCTGGTAGGTTGGGGGGTGACGCGGTGTTGGGGCTGGTAACATGGTTATTGCTGTGGTTTGGCGCTGTTGGTTGCGGCTTTTTCTTCTACTGGCTGCTGTGGTGCCGTCATACGTAGATGATATATCCACGAAGTGGATTTTGATCTTGGGATCGGCAGTGGATTGGGAGTGGAGGTTTTCCTATTCATGTCAGCTGATACAGACCGGTGGAAGGGGTCTATGGAGAGCTGAGTCCTTAGGATAAGGGCAAGAGTAGGAGTTACAGATTGAAGTAATGTCTGAAGCGATATTCCATTAGAAAACTTGTGATATCGGGGTGTTGACAAAAGGAGAAAACCTAAATGGAATTCCCCTGCAAAGCAAAGAGAGAAAAAGAAAAAAACAAAGTATCACTCCCTGCAATATTTGAAGTTGGATAGCGCTGATGTCTGAACAATATGGCCGACATACCGGCATGGTACTGTCGAAGCAGTAGCTGTCGAAGTGTTCTCGGTTAATGGTTATTCTCAAGCTACTCAGACATGACGGCGGCGAGTGCTCTGAACATCGGGTTTCTCACATCGAAGAAGTGAAACTCTTGCGCCAGGGCACAACTAATCATTCAACTGTTAGCAAATGGGTTACTTTAAAAGGAACAAGCGCGAGAAATCAGGCAACTCACGGGTCAGCCTCAAACTTGGAAATGCAATCGTAAGTGCCTTCCTTGATGCCTTGGTAAAAGTCCCAGCCGTCGTGCAGGCTGAAGAAAGAGACATGGATATCGAGAATTCCCTTCAATAAGTCAGTGGGCGTTTCAACATCAACAGAGTCAACGCTCGGGAGACTTACTTCTTCGCCATTCGTGATCAGAACCTGCTCAAGCGCCTTGCTCTCCCAGTTGGGCTGAGAAGCAATACCCAGAATGTTCTCGTCGTTCTTGCCCATCAGCGAGGTTGGCAGACCAGAAAGGCACACGACGCGAGAAGCATCGGCCCTAAGGCGGCGTGCAAGCTCGGGATGTTCGTTGTCATTGTCCATCAGCTCAATGGAAATGTTGATCACATCGTCGCCGACTTTGAGGGGGATACTCTCGGGATGCATTTCGAGATATCTGTTGCAGTCATCGGCATCGGTAAACTGCACATTGACCTCGCCAGAGGTCTCACTCCAGGCCCGCTCGATAACACCACCGTAGACTAGGTGCAGAACGTGGGATACTGTCACCCACTTGGGAAGGTTCTTGAAAAGCAAGCGGCGAGGGGGACTAGGCTCGGCAGCGGCGGCAGCAGCAACGGCGGCATTGGCCAGTCGCAAGGCTCGAAAAGAACTCATGAAGACCTTGGCAGACGCGGGAGGGCGGAAGCCCTCATCTCCCTGAGTGTTGCCATCGGTGCTGGTCTTATCAATCTTGCCAGGCTCTTCATCATGTCCGGGGTTCTCGGTGGTGTCAGCGTCGACAGCTGCAGCTGCATCGGAGTAACGGGCAGTGGCGAGCATAGAAGCAGCGTGAGGTTCGGTCTGTGAATATCAACATAAGACATGCACTTATGGGGCCAGCGGTGAGAGGGCAAGGGAAGGGAAGGGCAAGAAGGGGTAAGGTGGGCATAGGAGCAAATATGGTCAGAACATACCTTGTTGCTAGAGACAACAGAGCGATGAATCACCTCGGTGCGAGACTCGGAAGCTAGAGGGGAAATGTAGGACTGATAAGCCTCTTTCCACCTCATCTGGGCCTGTAACTGGGATTTGGGGGTAGCATGAATGCTGTCGTCCAAAGTCTTCTCACCTGTCACTCTAGCCCAAATGATGGCAGTCTCATAGAAGCTCTCCTGCATGGCGTTAAGCTCACTGGTGCGAGCATCGCTGACCTGCTTCCAAGGAGCGGCGTTGCCAATGATCTTGGGCGTCATGGCGCTGTAAGGCATCAAGGAAGAATGGAAGAGATGCTAGGGACCAGAAAGAGGGGAAGGGAGGTGAACGAGAGAAGAAGAGAAGAGAAGAAGAAAAGAAGAAAAGAAGAGAAGAAGAAAGAAGTGAAGAAGTGAAGAAGTGAAAAGAAAACAAAACAACAAATACGCGTCCACAAGTTGGGATGTCCTGGGGAAGGTGCGATGGTGGTACCTGCCTACTTGGGAGTTCCCAGGCCTGACATCGGCTTTGGCTACATACGGCTACAGTATACACCTTTGAGCATTATAAGTCTATTTGGTTGCCTGCAAGACCGCCTTCACGAGCTTATTGTATGAAGACCTTCTATATTTGGTATTCGGCCTCAAGTTTCATACCAGTTTCTATGCAAAAAGAACCATAAGCTGATAGGACTCACAGGCAGAGGAACACGTGTGGTAGGCGATAAGTATCAGCCACTACACCATGCGGACGACGAGAAACTTGACTACAGTCTCCTAAGATGCCGCCCCTGCGTCTAGCACAACAAAGACATAGACCGGGGCCGAACAGACAATGGGACATCGAAGATATCGGCGACGCAGTGGGTGAAAGATGAAGTGAGACACAAGTGACGGAATGCAAAGGTGCATTGCGCGCTGTTGCATGTCTTACTTGCGCGTGCGTTTTAATATAACCCGGCTGCTTTCTTTGTGAATGGCCTCGATTCCCAGCTCGAGTGGCTTTAAATAGTATCTGGATTATCTATCGATTCTACGCTTGGATAGATTGCATCAATTTGCTAGAACATTGATTGATCAATGTTCATGTATAATCCCACATGCAAAAAGAACCCTTCCCTTTGATAGTTGAATGCAATATATCAAAGTACACAAGAATAATCCTTCACTGACACATACATATACATCCCCCACACCTACGGCATTCATAACATCGAAATTAATGACAATAGTTAATAAGAAAATAGATTGTGAGGGTATCCAGCGTAATTAAGTTAATCCATTACATCCATCCAAATGACCAATAGTATATGTACAGTCTGTCAATAATCCGTAGTTGGAAATTCTCCATTGGAGCCAAGAGCCGAGTAATTTATACACAAGCCGAGCTCCCACCCTCCAACGAGCCATACTCATTTCATATACCACGAAGCAAATTAAACCTCCATACTGACGTCCAAAGTATCAAAGGACCCAACCGAACCCCTGCGATCCTTGATGAACTTGGGCCACGTGTTGGTGAGCACGAGGTACTTGATAGACGCCTCGGCAGCATCGAAGATAGAAGCATCGAAATCCGCCGGGATGTCACCCCAGTACTGCACGCGATCCTTGATGGCATCGGTCAAGGAGCTCTTGATCGAGGACTTCATCGGCTTCTCAGAGCTATCCGACTGAGTGGGCGATGGCAGGTCGAAGGTGAACTTGTCGAAGGGGCTGGTGGGGTCGACGCACTCGCGCTCCTCGCCGTAGATGAGACGTGTGGGGTGCTCGAAAATGCTTTCGAGCTTGCGCAGTTCCTGGGACGAGATGTTCACGGGGAACTCGGCGTGGCGGACGCTGATGAATTCGGCATAAATGTGCAGGGCGCGGTTGAAGTGGTCGCGGATCACATCTCTGCTGTTACTGTCACGGGGGAGGGTGCGGTCACGCAGAGTTGCAGGCAGCGAGTTCTTCCACTCGGCGAGGCTGGTCAGGAAGACGATGTTCTCGCCGGAGAATTCGCGGAGGGCAGAGAATTCCTGGAGAGGGGCGGGGTTGCGCTCGAGGACATGCTCGAGGGCGCTCATTGTCATGATGCTGTCGCGTTGGCTGTTCTCAGTCTTGACGGACCCGTTGGCGGACTTCCAGCCGGAAATTCTGGAGTCGACCATGGTGCTCTCGGAATTGAGGGACTTGGCCTCGGAGCCCGTTGACTTGACCTTCAACTCCCAGCGCGCAATTGAGTCGAGAGTCTCTTGACGGAGGGACTGGTGACGCATCACCTCCCAGCAGGGGAGGAAGACGGTAAAGATTTCGATAAACATAATAGAAAGACAGATCCACTGGGGTGGAACCCAGACAGTGTTGACCGGGGCCATAGCAGGAACATAGAGACCGATGAGCCACATCGGGGTGGCGTGGAGGTTGGCGATAGCGCAGCCGATAGTCTGGACTCGCCAGCCGTGGGTGTCGTGGATGTTGCGAGACTTCCAAAGAACGATAGGGGCGACGATCCAGGACCAGGCCAATTGCCAGGCCACTCCAGGCCACCATTCCCATCCCGCGCCCTGTGCCATCTTCTGTTCCATGATAGTTCCGTGGACCTCGGTGCCAGGGATTCCCCAGGAGCTGTGCCATTTGCGGGAAATGAGCCACATAAGGATAGTGAGGAAGATCTGAAGGAACATTCCGATGCCAACAATAGTAAGCATTTTGGTGGAATAGCTAAGACGGTGGAAGCGGGCGATCAGGCCCTTAGGCTTCTCTTCGGGGGTGGGGGATAAGAAAAGGCGCTCGCCGTATTGAGCGTATTTCCTTTGGAGTTTGGCGACGTGCAGGAACCGAGCATTGGAGGCGTGGAATAAGGCGACACCACAGGGCAGCAGGGTGCCCATCATCCAGTACTGGCAGTCTCCTGGCAGCAGAGGGCCGACCATAGTTGCGAATTGGACCGGTGCCCAGTATAAATGAAGAAGAACGATTGCAGATAACGATAGACCGAGGCCTCGAATTCGGAGAGTAGGCATATTGCGATGGACGATGAGATAGGCCATGCCGAGGACGACGGCGATGGTCCAGACACATGCCCAGACAGCCCACCAGATGGTGACAGGGCTGAGATCGATATCAGCCTTGGAGTCGGCAGTGACACCGAGTTCGGACCCCATAATGGCTTTGAGTGCTTAAGGAATGTGAGTGAAGTTGGATAGCGCTTACTAGTCCCATTCCTTGGGTCAGGGACGCTTTTAAGTAAATCGAACCACAGTCACGATCAGATTCAGGCCCCAGCACTAGGGGAGTGGACCCTTGTCCCGAGTTCAAGTTTTAGCCCTCTGTAGATCATACTGAGAACTGACTTAGAACTGATAGTTTCTAAGTTAGGGTTGATTGTGGACCCGTGACCGCTCGATCGGAGCTTCACATTGGCCCCGTCGTTTGGCCCTCTCAAGTATTTGTCAAACTCCGTATACCATGATTGGTTGAGAATGGGGCTCGTAAGATTAAGATCTCTTGGCAAAGGAAACTGCCCGAACCACAAACGTTTACGATCAGCTAAACTAGTGATTTTGTGAAACTTTCATATTTTCAACCCTGTAGGAAGATCCCAACCTCAAAAGGAAGGTTAACTGTGCTGTAGCATTAGAACATAAGAATGCTGTCTATGAGAGTAGAGGCTGTGTAACCATGCTTTTGCACGGTGGATGTACAATGTATGCCCAGAAGTTTATACAATCCTTGTTATTCTTTATGCCTCAAGGATTCAGGGGGAAATACAATACATTTACATGTACAGTAAAGTAGCCTAAAAACAAGGCAATCGTTTCACTTTGTCCTTTCTCTGGTTCCAAAACAATAGTCTGGATGTGATACTGCAGGGTATCACATCCAGATATTCACAGTTCTCCGGATAGCCGCCTCACACCACTTCCTTATGTGTGCCCATCTAACGCCCACGAGCTTCCACAGTGGACCTCGGTGAGGGTCGCAAAGTCCGACCCCGACTCCACCTGAAGTGGCCCCGATCATTTCGTCACTCCTTTTGCGCGTTCCACTGCGGCCCATATCTCGATTTTTCTATCCCGCTTCTACGCCCCAGAGCCAATGACTAGGATGATGCTCCCTGATCGAGTTAGACCTTGATACCACGCGCTGATGTAATGCATGCTCGGGATCTGATATCCTTCTGGCTCAGGGGGAACACATCGAGATTCTCCATGTTACATGTAGCTATTGAATCTTCTTTGCCTTCCTGTTCCTGAATTCTCTGCAGCGCATTGGCTACCCAAAGGCCAATGCGGCTATCCGGATATCCGGTTCTGGGACATGAACGTGCCGATCGTGTCTGATATCATTTTAGATCGAAGTCAGAGCGAGGAGAGTAAGTCATTCGCGAGATAATGTACAGCCAGAGCCAATGTGCCCCTTAGTGAGATCTTTGAGATAATTGAATATTGGCTAGCGGAGGGGATTATTGATGTCGGGGTTTGAAGACATCCCAATGTCTCAATAACTGGTCTCACTAAGTGGTCAACGTGTGGATGTGGGACCGTCAACGAGGGGACGCGTGAATGTCATAGATGTGCTAGGGTATTTCAATGAGAAGAAATGCTCTTTCGGATCGAACACCGAGTGCAAAGCATTCCTTTCAAAGCATTTGATATCAGGATCTTCGTGTACCTGATCTATCCCTGTCGCCGAGTCAGAGCCCGATTGGACAACCATGTTTTCCGTCGCTTCCGCGTCTACCTATCCCAGCCCTATTGGCCCTTTTGTGAAAGGATCACCGGCTTTTACCTTTGGATGGAATATGGCCAAGTACTAGCCAATTTGAACTATCGATAACCTCGTTCCGAACATTAGCCATGTAGCCATGTAGCCATGAAGGGCTTGTTTTTGCAAGCATCGCCATCCGCTGTCTATAGTGCGCCACAAGCCCCGACGCGACCAAACCCCGGCGCTACCAAATCCCTAAAACCGAGGCTCTTGGATCTTCTCTCTTGGTCTGATTCACAAGAAGGGCCCCAGATTGAGGGATGCAATATATTGCTACTTGTCTGGACCACCCCGTACATGTACTGTAGATCGTACGTGTATACCCCACCCCGACTCGGACCGCGCTCCTTTTGAGGTACTCGCCGAAGCGCCTATATGGCTACGCCGAACCCTTCCCCAGCCTGACATTACACTACGAGAGCAAGACTCGAGAGATTTGAAGCGTAGTTCCTTCCACAGAGGGGTGAGGTATAACAGCCTTCCCCTACATACGTAAAGTAGTACCCTATCAAGGAGATGAACCCCATGACCAGACAAACACTGAGCGAACTCAATCGATCGAAGGGGAATGTCCGATGTGGATCAAATGTGACGTCTTCATAAATATCAAACTCGCTCGTTCTCCAGTTTCTTCAACTTAGGGATCTTCCCCCAATCCGTCCTTCCATCCCTCCCCTTGTCCGTCGGATTTCTCGGCCTTTCAATAGGCCGTTGGAGATCATGTACATGTAAACAAACCTCATCATACCTAATCCCGTAGGGTTAGCCCCTGTATCTAAGATATCTTCCTAGTATATCCTTAACTATAAGTCAATCGATCCTGGCCATCATTGGCTTGCATAATCCATATACTCGGATTGGCTACTGCGCAGAATGACAGGGCATAACAATATATATCAACCCATCTAGCTTCCTTCCTAACCATCTGAAACGAACTTCTACTCCATGGTGCGACAAGGCATATAACTCAGTTTAAAACTCCGCATCAACAAATTCAACGCTGCTTCCTGAGGAGCTCGACGTTTCAGACTAGAAATCTCGGCTCCTCAATTTTCTTCCAGTGGGGACTGAAGTTACTGTGGACGCTTTTAAGGTGAAGCGGCATGGGGAAAACGAGGGAGCCGATCAGTGCTTTTCGATGTTCGTGTCTGGAACTTATAGCACATTTCTTGGGTTCCTGGCATCCCCTCTCATCGTTCATGGATGTCTGAAAAGTTTTATAGCGGACCTACTAACCTCCAGATGTAGCTACGGTATTTCAATGAGAATGTCCTGTGTCTCATCTTTAGTGTGTCTTTTAAGTTACCCCCTATCATTCCTTTTTGTGGGAAGTTCGCTTGGTGGTGTGGCGTCAATAGTGGTATGGGTACTTACGGATTTGGGTGTGGAAAAAGAGAGACATTTGAGTCACTATGAGAAATATCTGGAACATTCGAGGATGAAGGTAAAAGGGTTAACAAGGTGGACTTTGGTTGCTTTGCTCTATTGACAATCTCTGGGGGCTGGATCATGCTTGTTCCAAGGTTCATAGAATAATCATTCGGGCAATAAGTAGATAGTGCAGAGATAAGGAGTGTCTTGAGTAGCTTGCAATTGACTCTCACACAGGTAAGATACACAGAGTCCTAAGGGGTCTAAAGCATGTATATCACGTCTACTAACACTACACACAATCAAATATCAAGAAACGAACAAATCCAAACGAAGAAATGGGTATCAAATTCTCAAAAAATATTAAACTCATGAAGGAACAGGTATATTCTCGAACCCCTTCTGGCCGGGCTTGCGGTCCTCAACAATAACCTGCAAACCACGACGACCACAGTAACCATCATTACCAGCAATGCGATCAACTGTCTGGAAAGCGCCACCGCCATCCTGAGAAGCGTCAGGAATCCAAACAGTCTCCTGCACACTCTGACCAGGAACTTCAGCCCGACGGGGATTATGCCAAGGCAAACCGACAAAATGGTTGATAAGGTTATGAAGGAACGAGTATAGCCTCTCGAAGCGACGGGTTACACCAAGCCAAGACAGGGTGCGGTGGTCATAGGCTACTCGCACGAATGGGTTCATGTAAATGCCCGTGTCGGTGATTTCGTCGACGTTGGTTTGCGGATCTTGGATATCGGCGTGGATGAGACAGCATTCAGACGCTTCCCAGAACAGATCCTTTCCAGAACGGAAGCGCACTGGGTTTGAGGTTGAAGGTGGTGAGCCGGGCTGGAAGTATTTAGCGTCGAAGGCTACCATTCCGCCCCAGCAGCTGCGTACTCGCACGGCGTCTTTTCCGGCTAATACATCTCGTCGGCTTACGCCTTTGCCGGATGTTGTGAACCATGGGTAAAAGGGTAGACCCATGCTGTAGCCTTCCAAATCGCGTGTTGCGTATGTGTCGTAGAACTTGAACGGGTTGTCGAAGTCCACGGCGCAGGCTGCGCGGTATTGTGATACGCCGTCATCGTTGGCGTTTGTTGAGAATAGAAGTTGGAGGGCGTCGATGGGGTCGAAGAGGATATCGTTCAGATAGAGGAGCTTGTCGAATTTCATCCCGGGTTTATCGGTTAGTGGTTGTAAAGCCTTATTACGGACTTGGGCGAGGTATTCGATGCGCTTGACTCGTTTTGATCCGCCGGGTATAGTCACGGTCGGAAGACTCTTTGGGTCCAGGTGCTGCTCGAAGACAATTGCCTTTTGACATTGCACTTTTTGCTCCAACTCATGTAGTGCACGTTCTCCCTCCTCGCCGCTGTCATTCTCATAGATGCTGAGGAATACATTGTCGTTTCCGAGCAAATGGATCAACTCGAGGAGTTGTTCGCCCCACTGTCCTTTGGCAAGTTCGCCACCACTATCATACAGACTGGCTGCGATAAAGATTTTCTCATTCCGTAGATTTCCTCTACCAGAGTATGACTTCTCGAGTACTGATTTGCGGAGTGTTGCGTAGTGCACCGGCGGGTGTGTATAGGAGGGGAAGAGTATCGACGTGAAGAGACCGAGGACGAAAACAATACCGAAGACAACATGGATATAGCAGAAGCGGCGGAGCAAGAAGCGACGGGAGCAGTTCGGACGTGATGAGCCCGCGAAAGCAGGTCTGGAATTGGACTTTAGGCGGCGATAACCTGCTGACGTCGTTGAAAAGAGCCGGGATAACCAAGGCAGTCGGTGTCTCTTGAACGGGGATGTAGGAGGAACTTGGGATTCAAAATCGGCCTCGTCGAGGTTGAATGTTCCCTGCGAGTCGACCGAGGACCGCGAATTGAGCTCCCATTCATCTGGATGAAGCAAACGGGTAGTCATGGCAGATCACCAGTTGGGTCTCCCCATCCCAAGAATGAGACTCAGCTGTAAAAATGATCTAACAATAGAAGTCAATGGCTGCCACCTGAAAAGGGGCCGCTGTCACTCCAGGTCGAATTGTTTGGCTCTTTACGTCATCACATCACGTGAGCGGTTGGAGTATATGATGCGATGCTCAACGACTCTGGCGTGGAAGATTGTAGTTGAGGTTGCATGTATAGCTAGAATAGTTAATGGCTGATAGTGTCATATCTGTTTAATTTCCGTTTCTTCGGTTCGACATCCAGCATCTCTCTCCGTTGGGGAAACCGTGTAACGCATCCGGATTACGCTCTGTAGTGACGTAGCCGTTGTCGGATACTTCTCCTCATTTATCTTCCTGCTTACTTTCAATGTTCACTGGAATCAATTCTCACATCTCCTCTAGACACACCAGTAATCCGTGGTGTGGCAACTGAACATACATTACCTCCAAATATACCACAGCTTCCCCGCAGCTGCATATATCCTACCATGCCGCAATTCAAATTCGCCAACTCGAACGACAAAGTGCCAGGCGACGGCACCCCTCCCTCCGAATTCACCATTAAAGCCCCAGCCTCAACAGACATTTGGGACAAGCCACCTTCCACCAGCCGCTTCTCAGCCCCAATCCTGTACCAGTCCATCCCGCTGAGCTCGTTCAAGCGGGCCCGCGTGGCCTTCAACGCCCTCTGGGAGAAACAATATGACCAGGGTGGTCTGATCATTGTCCTCAACACTGCCGATGGTAGCAAAAAGTGGGTGAAGACTGGCATTGAGCTCACCCATGGCAGACCCCACCTGAGCACCGTCGCTAAAGATAACTGGGCGGACTGGAGCTTGCTGGCTGTGCCTTCTGGTGGTGGTGCGGCGACCCTTGAGATGGCCAAAGAACAGGACAATAGTTTGTGGATCTATCTGGTTGAGGGTCTGCAGAAGTCGCCTCTCCGGGAGATTACTTGGATCTTTGAGGAGAAGGATGTGAAGGACTGCTGGGTTGGTGTTTATGCTGCTCGGCCTTCTAGTGAGGGTGGAGAGCTCCCCGTTAACTTTGGACATTTGATTATAGACCAGGCATGATTTCGTGGGATGTCGATAGTTAGATGTTTCAGGTGATAGGTGGCGAAGGCTCCTAAAAGTATCAATAGGATCAACGTTTGCCAGGGCTGATAAAAGGTTGCATGCAGGTAGCCAATCTATATTTTTACAGTAAAATGCATATACGAGTAAAAGAACCAGACAGATGGTACACAGTCTTTGGAGTTCTCTGTCTTTGTACTATCTTGCCACTCGGATCCAGATGGCCTGGGCCAGGCAGCTATGTGAAAGCACATGGAATCAAAATAGGCTCGTTTGTGATATGATAAAGATATTGGCTAGCAGTTTGACAGGAGCCCAGCTCCACATGGATATGCCATAGGCGACATACTGTCGATCAGCCGATACACGTATAGACTTCAATGCCATTACAATTGATTGGTAATTTTGTCATGTCGGGTGATCAGAAGCTGCCAGGTGCATTAGTGAAGAGATCAACGGGCTTTAATTTGAACATAAAACGTATAGAGCTGTCATACTATATTAGGCTGAACGCATTTTGCCAAGTGGAGACTAGATTTTTCTCACTCGGACCTTCACAAAATCGAAAGAAATTTACCGGCCAAGGAGGTACTTTCCTCTTTCCTGTGCCAAGTCCGGTCCTTTTGTTTTCTAGGAGTATTCTATATACTCTAGCCCTGATTAAAGTTTATCAGATTTCCCTTTTGACCGTGTAACGGCATAACTCGGCGCAAAGCTACCGAGGTCACACCACTGATATGACTTGATGGAGATTTACTGCTCTACAGTGAATTAGACACTAAATTAGAGGGAAAATGTAATTTCCAGATCAAGTGACCGGCTACATCGGAAACCCTGACATCCAATTCTTTGACGGAGATATTCCGTACCATATTCTCGTATTAAGAGATCGGCAACAGGGTACGGTAGCAATGCATGTTGACGCCAGTCAGTGGATGATTAGATTTACTAGATTTTTTTTGCTTCTTGCTTTATATCCAGTAGAAAAGTGTCAGAATCAGAAAGAACCCACTTCATAACACGCATTCTTTAAAATCTCTCAAGTCAGGCTGGAAGGGATGGAATGGCGGTAAAACCGCCGAACCAAGAATCAGGTTTCCATCTTATCGATCAAATCATATCTGATGGTCTGAACCACAGTGTGACTTGGCAGTACCAAAAGATCAGCCTATGCCACACTCTGAACTGAGGTACCGTGCGGGTACCATTCGGGTACCGCTCGAAACGTAACCCCGTATGGCCGGGAGGTGCCTTGACACGCCACTCCACTTCAATTTTCTTATGACTCTTCTCTCTCTTTCATCCCTTTCACTTTGTTCCGAACATTACGAGAATGACTGTATGACTGATGACTGGCTGACTGACTGGAAAACATGACTCCGACTCGCCTAACTTGGAATGTCTGAGATCGGACCTCAGCCTCTCATCTCACGCTCTGCTGCCACTGACCCATCGACGTGCATAAGTGCGACCGATGATCGGACTCGGTGTCATTACTGCACTTCGACCTATCCAAGGCCTGCTTTCCCCTTACAGCCTGGACGCCCCCCTCCAAAGCGGATCTACCCATCCGCCCCATAGCTGCCTGCCGGATCCTGCTACGTACATAGCCCTCCATGAGTTATCGACCAGGCAAGCGCGCTTCATCTTTTTCTTTCCTGTTGCGCCCGGTATTTCTCGTCTCTTTCGCTTTTCTCCCCCCGACTCGCTCTCCGATTCGCTCTTCGTTGCTTTTTCAAGTGGACCTGGCTGGCTCAGGCTGAACAACCCCAATACTTGCTTAGTAGAGCAGGATTTCATCCCTTTTATGTGATACGTCCTCGACGCCTGATGTTGCATGAACTCTTTTAGATGTTCCATTCTGCCGCTTAGTCGACGCAGTTAAGATCGTCCTTTGTATATGCTTTTAACCAATCCAAGACCGAACTCTTTGTCGAGCTATATCGGTGCGCATCACAGAGATGCCCCTTCTCGATCCGCGGTCAGGACCGTCCTACGGCACTATGGAACAGGAAGACAACCAAGTGGACAATGAGAGGGAGCTGCTGCTGCAGGATGACTACGAGGTTGAGGCTCCGCCCAGTGGAATGTCCACGCCGGACGAAATGCAGGAGGGAGTTGCAAAGATTGAAGCCATCAATTTGACCTGGACGACTCGTTCTCTGATGATTGCCTACGTCAGGTTCGTGTGGCTTGCAGTCCCGTGCCTTTGTTGACCCCTGCTGACTTGGCGCAAAGTATATTCCTCATGGCATTCTGCACGTCGCTAGAAGGTCAGACTGTGATGTCGCTGTCGGCATATGCGACGAGTGCTTTCAGTAAGCACTCGTTAATCTCGACAGTTCTTGTCATTCAGAATGTGGTCAATGGTAGGACTTCACTAACCTGCCTTGAGCCTTGGAAGCGGATGAAAGTTACTAACTTGCAATAGCTGTCATTAAACCTCCGATGGCCAAAATCGCTGATGTATTCGGTCGCTTTGAGGCATTCTGCGTTAGTATCCTCATATACACGCTTGGATACATTCAGATGGCTACCTCTACGAATGTTCAAACCTACGCATCGGCCCAAATCTTCTACTCTGCCGGCTCAACGGGCTTGCAGATCCTCCAGCAAGTGTTCATCGCCGACAGCAGTGACTTGCTGAACCGTGCCTTCCTCGCGCTTCTACCCGAATTCCCATTCTTGGTTACTGTATGGCTTGGGCCCACTATCGCGGGCGCCATACTGCGTACCAGCTCATGGCGGTGGGGATATGGTATGTGGGCTATTATATTGCCTGCATCCTTCCTGCCGCTGGCCTTGTCGCTGCTATTTAACCAGCGTAAGGCTCGAAGGCTGAATTTGATCAAGACACGGTCTAGGCGACACAGGGACTTTTTCAGCACCGTGCGTCGGACCTGGTACGATCTGGATGTAGGCGGTCTGACTCTTTTATCTGCCGCTGTGACATTGCTTCTTGTGCCTTTGACTCTCGCAGCCAATGCGAAGGGTGGGTGGATGAACCCTAGTATCTTGGTAATGATGATCTTCGGTGTCATTTGCTTCGTTGTGCTGCCATTTTGGGAGTCTTCCCATAAACTGGCACCCAAACCCTTGCTCTCTCTACACCTCCTTAAGCAAAAGACTGCTCTTGCAGGCTGTGCATTGGCCTTTTGGTATTTCAGTAAGTGTTATATTTCCACAGCTCTCGAGTGTTGTTACTAATCTTCGTGCAGTGGCCTTCTACTTCTCCGTTCAGCCCTATCTGTACTCCTACCTCCAGGTTGTACAAGGGTACGACGTTGCCACAGCAGGACGCGTCACCCAAACCTTTGCTTTTACTTCAACCATTGCCGCGTTTAGCGTGTCGCTTCTGATCAAATATACCCGTCGCTACCGTATCTACGTGACCATTGGATGTGTCGTCTACATGACCGGTCTGGCCCTCATGCTTTTATACCGAGGCGAAGGGGCATCCCACTTCCAGGTCTTGGGAACCCAAATCATCGTCGGCATCGGTGGTGGTCTGGTCAACGTGCCTGTCCAACTAGGTGTCCAGGCCTCCGCCAGCCACCAAGAAGTCGCCGCAGCAACAGCTATGTTCTTGACCTCCATGGAGATGGGCGGTGCCGTTGGCGCTGCTATATCAGGAGCCGTCTGGTCCTCGGCCATCCCACACAAGCTTCTTCAATACCTCCCTGAGGAAACCAAGGGCCAAGCGGGTGAAATTTTTGGCAAGTTGACCGAGGCCCTGTCGTACCCGATGGGATCTCCAACTCGCATTGCCATCAACCGTGCCTACCAAGAGACCATGAACCGACTCTTGACATTGGCCATCATCGCTACTCTCCCCCTGATCCCGCTAAGTCTTATGATGGTGAACTATAAACTCGATAAGGTGAGTAATACCTCAGCAGCACTTCATTCTGGACCCTTCTGACATCAAGGTAGATGGGCTACGGCAACTCCTCACCCCAGGAGAATCCACAACGAGTTGGGACAGAGCCCGACCACGAGGACGAACACTCCAAACGAACCTAATGCCCACGGGCAATCCTTTCTTCCGTGTGCATCCTCTACCGCACATGACTTAACGATCTTACGACCGAGCCATGTTCTTTTGTGTTATCTTTTTTCCTTTTTGTGGTTTATATTGCTATTGCATCTTGATACAACCCAGCAAGCGGCGTTATTGATTGTTTCAACATGATCTAAGACAGTCTCAACGCATTCTGATCTACATGTACATGTTTGTCTATATGACCCCTGAACCAGATCATCATTTGCATTTGGTGCGACTTCTTTTTATTTTGTGAGTTCTAGACGTTTCAGAGACTGCACCCATTCGATAGATCTGCACAGTGGATTTAAATATGAACCTCTGGACAAATGACCCTCCATCTGTACACGGCCAACTTGGCCCGAGCACTGCATTGTGCTGTAGTGTAGACAACTCATCAACCCTAGGATCATGGACCAAGGCATAGTAGACTCATCTCTTTACCAAATCCCCCAGCCCAGCCTAGACCCTATGCCGCCCTGCACCTCCCAGGATCGACCTGTCCAAGTAGCCAACTTCCGACCGGGACTAAACTCGCATTGCGATATGGCCGGCTTGCCGCTCTGGGCTTTCTCTATACTTGTAACAAGCACGCGCCCTTCAGCCCTGTAGTTATCATCACGATGCTATGTGGGCCCCGTTCATCTCCTTGTAACAACCGTTTTCTATCAGGGGAGAGTTCATCTCGCTAGTTGGCACAGTAACCGCCAGCTCCTACCAGGTAGATATCTGAACACATTCTATGTAAAACAGCTAACCATTACCCCGTAGCTGGAAATTGTACATCACTGACGGACTCTTAACTTACAGTAGCAGACACGAAAGTCCCAGCCCCAATCCAACACAATCCAACCCAACACAATCCAATCTAGTCCAGTCCAGTCCAGCCCTACTGTAAACACCATGCATACCTGCCCTACTCTCCCGTCAACAGAGCAGAGCAAGCGTGACCAACCCATATCCAGACCTCCTTTACCCCTATCACTCTCACTCTTCCCCCTATCCCCTTTCCCGCCCTCTCTCATCTCCATCCCGTATTCAAACACGTATGTAAATAGCCCATGCATGTACCTGCATATGTATGCATGCACATATACCAGAGACACACGTCCGTTCCCAAGGACTTTGGCTTTAATCTATTAGGCATATGCCTAAGCCGGAGGCCGGAGACCGGGAGAGCGGGAAAGGAGTGCATGCAATTTGTTAGCGCTAACGTTAGGTTGGTACCTCCATGTACAGTCAGCACTGTAAGTCGTCCATCACCTCTAGGCTTCTCATGTGTCTCTATGTAACTCATTCTTGCAGTTACCTGTTTAGATTGAGGCGTTTGTGGAGCTGGAGTTGGAACCGGAGCTGGATCGGGCCATTGGTTGGGGCTTGGATTTGGGCTTGGGCTTGGACTTAGGGGTAAGGAGGTGGAGGAGGGAGGGGAGATATATAGGGGATGATACCGTTCAAGCGTAGTTGCCTTATATTAAATCGGTTTAAGTAGCTGCAAGCAATATTACGGGTCCAGAACGCTTTACCGTTGGCTTAAAAACGGCTTGAAAGGAGATGGGGCCGAGGATCCCCGTGAAACGCCTTGGAAATTGTAATTTTCTTTTACGGAGGAGAGAAAGGGGGAATAGCCTCTGAGCAATTAACGTGGAGGTAAAAAAGAGCTCAAAATCGAGAAATAACGTGTAAACCGATGAAAGAGATCTCGCTTGGAGTACAAGCCGTGCCCGTGTCTAGACTCCCATACTCTGCGGGTTGCCCCATTCAATCCAGACCACAGCTTCTTCCTCCCTTTTTGTCTCCCACTTTTCTTTCTCCCCATCCAATATCCAACCACTTCCACAGTTTACAGTGTCAAAATGGTCGTCGCTACCATCAAGTATGTTCCCTTCATCTATCCTTGACCCCTCCCTGCTAACTCCCCCAGGTGTGTCGTGGTGGGGGACGGTGCAGTAGGCAAGACCTGTCTGCTCATCTCATACACAACGAACAAGTTCCCCTCGGAGTATGTGCCCACCGTCTTTGACAACTACGCCGTGACTGTGATGTAAGTGCCGCTATCCCTTTCCCCCGAAACATTCCTACGGCAGCGACAAATCTGACCGTGTGCCGCTGAACAGGATCGGTGATGAACCCTACACCCTTGGACTGTTCGATACCGCCGGTCAAGAGGATTACGACCGCCTGCGCCCGCTCTCCTACCCACAGACTGACGTGTTCCTGGTCTGCTTCTCCGTCACCTCTCCCGCCTCCTTCGAGAACGTCCGCGAAAAGTGGTTCCCCGAAGTCCACCACCACTGCCCCGGTGTCCCCTGCCTCATCGTCGGCACCCAGACCGATTTGCGCGAAGATGCCGGCGTGCGGGAGAAGCTTTCCCGCCAGAAGATGCAACCCATCCGCAAGGAAGACGGTGACCGCATGGCTAAGGAGCTTGGTGCGGTGAAATACGTCGAGTGTTCCGCTCTGACGCAGTACAAGTTGAAGGATGTCTTTGATGAGGTACCCATCTCCTCCACTTTTTGCTGCCCGATATCTTCCCCTCTACACCGCCGAAACTGACCTCCACTTTCTCTCTAGGCTATTGTTGCGGCGCTTGAGCCCGCGCCGAAGAAGAAGTCAAGAGGCTGCCGCTTGCTGTGAATCGCTTCACGGTTAATTTTTTTTGTTTCGGATCAGGTTGGATCCGATTGCGCGGATGAACTGTCGCGCGTCGGGTTGCCTGGTTGACGTGCGCCTCGAAGCAGCTACGATGAAATGAACCTTGTTTATCGCTTTTTTTCTCCGTTTCACGTTTTATTGGGAGGCAAATATTCCTGGCTGGACTGGTTTTCTTGGGATATTGATATGCAGCACCAAAAAAAAGGGGGGATCTTTTGTTCTAGCGATGCTATTTGAAGCGGTTCCATATCTACGTTTCCAGTTGAAATGGCTTGTTCTTTTGACCCCCTTTCTCTTGCGCTTGCGTTTGGCATGCCCGGGATTCCCAGCTCTAGCCTCTCTAACTCGCCATATCTCCCTCTTTTGTCTCTTTCTCTTTGCTTGTTTCTTTTCTGCTTTTGCTTCGCCTGGCTGCGTCTGCTGTCGAAACCCTGATATCGAGGTGCCTCGTGCGTACTCGTCTCTTGACGTTCCATTTGACGTCACTTACCTCTCTCCCTTTCATGACTTCAGCGACAGCAACTTCGACCCTTTCCTCCCCTTTTGTTCGCGTCGCTCCATTACACCCTATTACCCACTTCATGCTTTTACCTCTCTCATCGTCTCTCCGGCGTTGGACGTCAGGGCGTCGTGTTTCTGGCTGACGGTTTTCGTCTTTCCCCCAATGCCCATATCCCCCAGTTTTGCCTTTGCCTTTGATATTTCTACACTTTCTATTTGCAACTGGAATCTGAATTTGATATTGATGTACCTTGCCTAGCAGATTTGGCTTGCTCTGCGTATGTTTTCTATTCTACTTATTTCCTGTCTATTGACATAACTCTTGCGCTTTGATACAAGACTCTGCTTTGGTTGTCTTCTGCGTTGGACTTTTGCAACATTATTCTGGATCTAGAAAGTCGGAGACTGTAGACTCAATCAGACTGGTTCTTTGAAGTGATTCGTTGTAGATAATAGACTGATGGGACACCTGGAGAGGTAGTAGAGTAGATGTATCTCTTGAACAAGGGTGGTTAATTGTAGGTTACTCTGCCATGTGTAGATCAAAGCATGGACCAGCTATCTTTCATACTCCGGTCTACGAACACATCAACACATAGTATAGTCATCAATCTTCACTTCATTCAACGTCATATCATCTATATACACCAAAGACAAACCACTCAAAGCTCATCCTTAGCAACCTTCTCAGCCTCAACACCCTCAAGCTGCTCCTTCCACCCATACCAACCCCCAAGCTCCTCATCAACACCAGCCTTAACAAGACTAGTAATAATCTCAAAAGCAACCTGCGCCGCCGCAAGAGCAGTAGTCTCCCCCTTATTATCATAAGCCGGCGAAACCTCCACAATATCCGCACCAACAACATTCAACTTCTCAAGCCCGCGCAGAATGCGAATAAACTCGCGCGTCGTCCAACCACCAGGCTCAGGCGTCCCCGTTCCAGGAGCAGTAGAAGGATCCAACACATCAATATCAACAGAAAGATAAACAGGCTGCTCCGCATCAATCCCAGTGCGCGCAATAATAGTCTCAACAACTCCCATAGGACCCAGCTCATCGATATCATCCGCATGAATCCGAATAAAGCCCTGCTCAGGTCCCGGGTTCGTATAATCACCAGCATCAACACCAGTCAGCCGCGTCCGCAGACCCGCATGCGCACTTGTCGCATTGCAGATTAGGCCCTCGCGACTAGCCTTGTGGAAGAAGGACCCGTGGTTGAATTGTGTCTGTTCGCTCTGCCAGTAGGCACTATACCGCACGGGGTTCCAGGTATCAAGGTGCGCGTCGAAGTGCAGCACTGTGATGGGCTTCTGGTAGATCTGGTACAGGGCTCGGAGGGCGGGCAGGGCGACGCTGTGGTCGCCGCCGAGGGTTACGAGCTTGGGGTGTGTGGCTCCGATGCCTGTGTTGGCTTTGGGCGCTTTGTTGACGATCTTGCGAGAGCCTAGTTCTAGGAAGGCTTCGTACATTTGCCGTTCAGCGAGCCCGTTGTCGAAGGGTGTAATCGGGATGTCGCCGCAGTCGGTTATCTTTGCCCAGGACTTGTAGGGGTTTATTCCGGCCCGGGTGTTGTAGCTCGTTGCTGCCATCTGGCGGGCGCTGGCGGCGCGGATGGCGCGTGGGCCGAAGCGAGCGCCTGGAGGGGTTTGTTAGTTCATCTGGTTCATCTTGTGGCTTCTTTTGCTTGGAGGGAAGTGGTGTAGTGTAGGTTGGGTTGGGGTATGGGAAGTCATACCAGGGCGGTAGCTGACAGCGGTATCAAACGGCGCACCGATAACAGCAATGTCATAGTGTTCATCCGGCTCGATGAGACACTTGACAGGCTTCAAGTGGGCGAAACTGGCAATTCCAGAGAACGACCATTCCTGATCCCATTTCTTGAGTAGTTCGGCCCGTTCGTGTTCTGGCACGACCTCGCCGTCATTGTGGTGCGAGCAGGCGGCCGCGTAGCTGGCAAGAGCCAGCGTGAGCAAGGTCTTCCAAGACATTGTAGTTGATTGAAGAGCAGAGAAGAAGACGAAGCACCAAGCATTCAGCAGTATCTATATCTCTCCGAACTTCCTAGAGGAAGATAGCGCCACCCGATCGTGCAGACTTTCCTTTCTTGGCTGTGGCCCGCTTTTTCTTTTCCCTCGACACTACACTGCAACTATACCCAAGTGTTATTCAGCTATTCTAAATAGCTATTTACAATGCTATGCGGCGTGTCGTCGTAACGGGTCTTGGAGCGGTAACTCCGCTTGGTGTGGGTGAGTCGCGATCGTTTTCTTTGCAAATAGCTTCTGGAGCTTTGGAGCTCGCGCGCGCACCGTATGACTCGCGATGCATGCAATTTCCCCCCAATTTTCCAAGTCCCCATTCCTCTCAATGCCTCTTATCGCACATCGTCCGGCCCGCGCTTCGTTCGCCGGAGCTGCATGGCATCCCCGGACTCTCCCACGTCTCGAGTCCCCACTCCTCTCCGGAAGGGGAAAGTCTTGCCAATGGCGGACAGAAGCGCAGCGGCTTATAGTCCGCTTGTACATACTGCATGTGCGCATTTGTTGATTGTGCGAGGCTATGATTTGATGATTTGACATATGCATGGAGCTCCGGAGTTTAGCTCCGAGTATGAATGAATTGCTAATATGAGCTGTGACGCGGTATAGGTATTCGGCGCTCCTGGAAGCGTTTGCTGGATGGGCATTGTGGCATTGTGAATGTGAAAGAGCGTGATGAACGTTTTGCTGAGCAGCCTTGTCAGGTTGCTGCTGTGGTGCCCAAGGGGAGTCGGGAGGATGGTGGGTGGACGGCTTCTGAGTGGTTGAGTCGGGGTGTATGTGATATGATTGTTGGATTGCTTTCGTTTGTGATGCTGATGGGTCTTGCAGGAAGAGCGGAAGATGGCTCAGTTTGCGCAATATGCTATGGCTGCTACTGAAGAGGCGCTTCAAGATGCTGACTGGAAGCCTGAGCCTTTTGAACAGAGAGAGGCTACGGTATGTTTGAGAAGTTATAAGCGCTTTGTTTGTGTACTGATTTTATATTATAGGGTGTTTGTCTGGGATCAGGTATTGGGAACTTTGACGAGATCTACAACACAGTTGTAGCTTATGAAAAAGGCGTCAGTTGATCATTGTTCGGAGGGAGACCATGGCTGACTTGTTGTATAGGGCTACAAAAAGGTCAATCCTCTGTTTGTGCCGAAGCTCCTGATCAATCTTGGAGCTGGACACATCTCCATGAAATACAGATTCATGGGCCCGAACCATGCCGTGACAACAGCGTGCACAACCGGTGCACACTCCATCGGTGACGCAGCCCGATTCATTGCCTGCGGCGATGCCGATGTAATGGTTGCCGGAGGAGCCGAGTCCTGCATTCATCCATTAGCTATAGGCGGCTTTGCTCGCGCCAGAAGTCTAGCGACAGCTTTCAACGATACACCAGAAAAGGCATCCCGGCCATTCGATGCTGACCGCGGAGGCTTTGTGGTAGGCGAAGGCGCAGCCGTGATGATCCTCGAAGTATGTGCGATGCGAACACCGACTATACCCAGCTCTATATTAATATCTGATACAGGACCTAGAACACGCCCTTGCGAGAGGAGCACGGATCTACGCCGAACTTAAAGGATACGGCTGCTCCAGTGATGCGCACCACATGACCTCGCCCAAAGAAAACGGCGAAGGCGCATTCATGGCTATGAAGAAGGCGCTTAAACAGGCACAGTTGCGTCCTGCCGCGGTTGACTATGTCAATGCACATGCTACCTCGACTATTGTTGGGGATGCTGCTGAGAATGCTGCTATCAAGTCCCTTTTGCTTGGCTCTCATGGCAAGGACAAGGCTGCTGATGTGAATGTCAGTAGTACCAAGGGTGCGCTTGGTCATCTTCTTGGTGGTGCTGGTGCTATCGAAGCTTTAATTAGTGTGCTTGCGATTCATGAGGTTAGTGGTGCTTTTACATCCTGGGTTATTCGATTTTGCTAACCGGAGACAGAATACTATGCCGCCTACTATCAACCTGGAACGTCTGGCTGACGGGTTTGATTGCAACTATGCGCCGAAGGACCCTCAGTCTAGACAGATTGATGTGGCTTTGACCAATAGCTTTGGATTTGGTGGAACTAACAGCAGTCTTTGCTTTGCAAAGTACTCTTAGTGGCTCTTTTCCGTCTTGTATAACATTCGGTGTGGGCCTCGTCATTGTTTGACAGGAGGTACTCAGTGCCCAAATGGCCTAGATCTGATAGATCATTGATGCGCTGTTGAAAGACAGTAGCAAATAGATATATATAAATTTTTTTTTTTTTTTATGGCTGTCCCTAATAATAGAACTTCAAGCAATAAAGGGCAAATATTACTACAATATATGGCACGTGATCCATCCTAATGCGGAGCCCCAGCCCGACCTTGACTCCAGATGCTGGACGTGTTCCTAGATAACCATCCCCAATCCTTGTACAAAACGCTCGCTGTGAAAACCTGAGAGCGTTTTGTGTTTCAAGTTATTCTCAGTTTGCGCTCACCATGGCGACCAATGGCGACCCTGGTCGAGGTAAGTTGTACCGATTGTGACGAAGGCGCGCCAAACTTGAGCCGCTTTTGATAAAAAATCAATGCAACTGGAATCGACAAAGATCTCCAACTGATAACATGCTGTTCGACAGGAACGGGAAGTCTGGTTGATGCGTCCGGTTATTCCTTCACGGACAAGGACACCAAACCCGGCAAGATCAAAGTGAAGAAGACGTCCAAGGCGTCAACTAAGAAAAAGGCAGATGGTACGGCTCCCCGACCCGGTGCCTCGGACACAACTGACGCTAACAACCTTTCAGATCTCAAAGACGGCCCTGTCGACACTTCTCCTACATCATCCCCTCTCCCTAGCCTCGACGACAAGATCGTCTCCGTATTCCCAACCGGCAAACCGCGCCAGGAAGACCTGATCGAGACTGTCATTTGCAAGCACTGCAAGCGCCCCACTCTTAAGCAGACAGCGGCCGAGCATGTCCGCGGTTGTCTGAAAGCGAAGCAAGAAAAGGCGCGCAAGAAGAAGGAGGCACGCGACGCAGCAAATCGTGCAAAGGCCGGCGACGACAAAGACGACGACCCCCTCGACAAGGCCGACGGAGAAAACTCAATGATGGGCCAGAAAAGTTCCAAGAAGAGCGCCGTCAAGAGCACCGAGGATAGGAAGGGCAAGAAGCGCAAGGCCGATGAGGACGACAAAGGGGAGCCCAAGAAAAAGAAGAAGAAGGACGAGCCCAAGCCGAAGACCGCCAAACCCAAGGGTCCTGTGGATGTCGAGAAACAATGTGGTGTTACTCTACCCAACGGCGCGCAGTGCGCTCGCTCCTTGACTTGCAAGAGTCATTCCATGGGTGCCAAGCGGTCTGTTCCTGGCCGTACCTTGCCTTACGATATGCTACTTCAGCAGTATCAGAAAAAGAATCAGGCTCGCCAGCAGAGTATGTGCTGTCTTTTTTGTTCTGTGCCCCGACGACAGATGACTGACCTATTCGAATCCCAGAGGCCGCAATCGATGCCAATGCCCCTCTACAGGAAGATATCGAGAACAACGGCCCTATTGACTCGGACGAAGAGAGAGATTCTGTTATGGCTGCTATCGCTCGTTCTAAACCCCAGCCTTTGGTCCAACACCCCTTGATCACTACCAAATCGAAGTACAGATACGTTCGCATCAAGGAGCAGATGTCGCATGCAATGGGAGTTCGCGGTGGTGGTGGGCTTTTCTCCGCCGACGACAGCCAGCCTCTCTTTGGTGGCCTTCTTTTCCAGTCTGTCGCTGCTGATATGGACTCCTCGCCCATGGTCCCTAATGCGGAGTCTGATGTCTCTGGTGCGCGCAAGACCCCAGTGACTGCTTCGTAATCCACCTGGCACATTGGATGATGACTTATGACAACTCTCTTTTCGTTTGCGCTTGGTTCTGAGTTCCCTTGGTGTACTGGATATTGGATGCTGGCGTTCATGAGCGCAGGGACTACTTACTAGCGTGATCACCTCCGTTCCTTTCTTGTCATCCTTCTTCTTCTTCGATTTCCCTGGATAGGCCATGGGCACAGGCTGGTTCTGTTTGGTTTGAAAGGTGACGACATGATACCCCGGCTGGCGCGATACATTTGAAGCTTGGAAAGTAGATGCAATTGAATCCTTTTCCACACTGGTCATTAGTCTTTGTTGTGACCATCGTAGTTTTTGACAATAGAACGACAAGAGAACTACAGCAGTTGAAGCTATTCAGATTACGTTATTTGTGGCCTGAGTAATCAGGCCACCACTATTCCGCTCGCCGATCAGTCATTGTCTTTGAAACCTGGAGTCGTGACAATCGCAAGCCATGCCATGATCTTTTGAGATTCCTCTTTATTCGCTTTTCTCACAGCTTCCAGCTGAGAAACACCCAGTTTATCTCGTCGCCATTGCGGGCGAGCGCCCTCTGCAGCTATCACTCCACCTAGCTCTCCGAGTCTTATTGATCGCAACCTGACCCCCCTCTCACTCTTTGAGGGAATCATAAGCCTCCTAGGCATCCTTGCCTAGTTACGTCCGATTTACAGCCTCTCGTACCCCTTGACCCTTCACCATGAGCCACGCTGTTCCCGACCTAGATTCCATAGGAATCAAAGCCGAGCATGACCTGGCCGATCAATTCCGCCGCGAAGTCGCGACTCTCCTCGGGCGCAACAATCTCAACTTTCCCGGCGCACAACCAGTCAGCTTCTCGTCGAAACACCTGGAGGAATTGCAGCGCGAGGACTACTTCGTGTGCGAAAAGACCGACGGCATTCGCTGCCTGATGTACTTTGCGCGCGGAGATCCAGACTCCGACACGCCGGAGATTCATTACCTGATTGATCGCAAGAACGACTACCGCTTCGTACCGGGCCTGCATTTCCCGCTGCCGAACGACGATACTTTCCAGGGATACCACGTTGACACCCTAGTCGACGGCGAGCTCGTCAACGACACGTACGAAGATGGATCACGACAGCTGAAATACCTGGTCTTTGATTGCCTTGTGCTGGACGGGCAGAGCCTAATGCACCGGACTTTGGACAAGCGACTGGCGTACTTCAAGGAGAAGGTCCTCCGGCCATACAATGCCATGTACCGCAAGTTCCCAGAAGAGAAACAACACCGCGCGTTTGCTGTCGAGGACAAGTCTACGCAGTTCAGTTACGGTATTGAGATGATGTTCCGCGAGATCATTCCAAAGGTTAAGAAAATCCACGGCAACGACGGTCTCATTTTTACTTGCCGCAGTACTCCGTACCGCATTGGGACGGACGAGCATATTCTTAAGTGGAAGCCGCCAGCTGAGAATACCATTGATTTCCGTATGCGTCTTGAATTCCCGATGCTTGAGCCTGATACCGAGGATGAGTCTGAGGGTATCACTCAGCCCTACGTGGACTATGACGCTATCCCAATCTTCCATTTGTTTGTCATGCTCAACGCCGGCGAGTACCGTCATTTTGGAGAGATGTTCGTTGATACGAATGAATGGGAGGATCTCAAGGCTATGGGCGTTCCATTAGACAACACTATCGTTGAGTGTGCTAAGGATTCAGAAGGGCGATGGCGCTTCCATCGTCTCCGTGACGACAAGAATGATGCCAACCACATATCCACTGTTGAGAAGGTCCTTGAAAGTATCGAGGATCGCGTCACAGAAGAAGATCTCATCCGCCTTGCGCCGGTTATCAAGACTGCCTGGAAAAAGCGCGCGAACAACATGGCTGCTGGAGATGCAGACAGGCAACGGAGAGCCCAGGCACCGAATCCAAACGGCGTCAAACGCAAGTTCGAAGAGTGACAAGAAAGGTGCATTGAGCATGTCTTTGGCTTCTTTCTCGGGACTCTCTGCATATCTCTAATTTATCTGCAAGGCGCTTGGCGTTGGTTTGGACTGTTCTTTTATCGCTTTGCACAAAAAGACCATGCCACGCATGGCACTATGGAATGGGAAAAAGGAAGCAGATCCAAAAACAAGAGACGGTGTTTCATTACTTTCAAAGCTTTTCATTATGTAGACAGACGAAAATGTATCTGTACACCTCATATCATACCTGTAATTGCCATAGTCGCAGTTGATGATGCATTGTTCCTAAAAGCGGAACGGCTAAACTCGAACTCCGGATTCCTCCCTTTCCCGTAACAATCCATGAGCGCATCAACCAAGTGAGCACTTATCAACGCCATTTCATCAGTTTTCATCTCGGACATTGTTTCGTTCGGTTGTACTGCCAGTCTATCAAGATGGGCGTCCGAGATTCCCATGGGGAGGCGACGGGGACGCCCGACCCTGTCGAGAAGGGCTTCGCCACCCTCAATACTATCCGGTATGTCGCTTTTTATACATGAAAAAATTGTCCTCGAGGTGCCCATGGGTACTTTTCTCGGTCGCAAGTGCTAACTGCTGTCATAGAATCGGTGTGAAGGCCATGGTGCAGAAGGTTGGTTTTGACCCTGTGGCGCAGATTCTGGTGGTCACATCACGTGATTGCTGGGGTCGTCAGACAAGATGAATTGTCTAGCCCTAATACTGACTGACTGATAGGATGGAGAGCTGCGCAAAGCTGAGATTCTGTCAATCAGACAGCGGAAGGACGGCCCTTCTTTCTAGTATGTTTAGCAATTGTTTTTCTTGTCTATGCCCCGAGTCAGTGCTGATATGGATCCCAGCGTACACTATGTTGATTTCAACAAGCGTCTTGATGGTAAGTCGTGCTGCAGCAGTGCACTCACTGTGTTTGTTTTGATCTAACATGTGTTCCAGAATGGGTTTCGTCTTCGCGTATTGATCTCACGCACGAGGTTGAATGGCCCCAGCCTGAAAAGGCTGACAAGAAGAAGACTGCTGCTGCCAACAAGGCACCGAGCAAGAACACTAATAAACGTGCTCGTGCCGATAGTCGTGATGTCTCTCAGACACCCGATGCATTGGGTGGTAAGAATCTGAACGTCGGAAAGGCGTCGCGACCCTCAAAGGCTGGAGGGAAAGAGAACCTCGGTGTTGAGACACCCGGTGATTCATCGCTATTCCCATCAGAGGCTGTGTCGATAGTCGGCACGCCGAAGACCACAGATCCAGAGGATGCAGAGATGCCAGATGCCTCGGCGGAAACCCCATCACTCCAAGAAGATGAAGTCAAAACGGCGTCGGGAGAGGTAATTACCCGTGGCGAAGAGATCGAGCGACTGCGCACAAGCGGTAGTATGACACAAAACCCGACGGAAATCCATCGCGTTCGAAACTTGACCCGACTCCAAATGGGCAAGTATGATGTCGAGCCGTGGTATTTCTCCCCATACCCGGATTCCTTCTCAGACGTGGATCTAGTCTACATCGACGAGTTCTGCCTCAGCTACTTCGACAACAAACGTGCCTTCGAGCGACATCGCGCCAAGTGCACTCTAGTCCACCCGCCCGGAAACGAGATCTACCGCGACGACTATATCTCCTTCTTCGAAGTTGACGGCCGCCGCCAGCGAACCTGGTGCCGCAACCTCTGTCTCCTGAGTAAACTCTTCCTCGACCATAAGACCCTCTACTACGACGTCGACCCATTCCTCTTCTACTGCATGTGCACGCGCGACGAGACAGGCTGCCATCTCGTCGGTTACTTCTCCAAAGAGAAAGACTCCGCAGAAGGATACAACCTGGCGTGTATCATGACACTCCCCCAATACCAACGCCGCGGCTTCGGTCGTCTACTCATCTCTTTCAGCTACGAGCTCAGCAAGCGCGAAGGCAAGCTCGGCTCCCCCGAGAAACCACTCAGTGACCTGGGTCTCCTCGGTTATCGCCAGTACTGGCGTGAGACACTAGTAGATTTACTCATCGAACCGAACCGGGAAGCAATGAGCGAGAACGAGCTGGCTGTGCTTACATCCATGACTGAGAAGGATGTACACGAGACATTGGTTGTGTTCAACATGCTCCGGTACCACGTAAGTTTGAATTCCAGCTATACATGCTATATGTGAATGAAAATGCTAACTCACTTTGCAGAAGGGTAACTGGGTCATCGTTCTAACCGACCACGTCGTCCAGGAACATAACAAGCGTCTCAAGAAGGAGGAGATTAAGGGCGCACGCAAGATCGATCCTTCTCGTCTCCAGTGGAAGCCTCCCGTCTTCACTGCTTCCAGTCGGACCTGGAACTGGTAAGGCGAGCTTCTACCTTCGTCTTGTTTGCCGTTACTTTGATCTTCTGGGAGTTGTTGTTTATCTGACTGATTATCTAATGGGTTCTCGGGTTTGGGTTGGGGCGTTATAACGTCGGTATGACCATGCTGCAGACATGCGGTACAGCACTAAAACGATACTAGCATGTCTGGATAGATTCGGTTGTTTTGACATTGGATCTGGGTCCGGATGGGTGGGCGTACTTTGAGAAAACGGTGTTTATGGGGCCTTGTTTCTTCGTTTGATACCTATTTCTCTCCAGTTTTGTACATTATTCTACTTGTTACCTTCTACACATGCTTGAAAGATTATTGTGGATTCGAGGAAAAATCAACGACTTTGAACTCGCGTCTTTGTCTACCCTGTAACTCGCTTTTTAAAGCTAGTTTCCCCTTCTCGTCGACATTGCCTGAGCCTTGATTTAGGCCCGGGAGGATGGTTGTCGTTTTCTCGCGGATTTCATCGTACACCTCTGTTCGTCGAAGTCTCTTCACTGCTCTGAACGGCGTCATCTGCCTCGCTAATTGGTGGTCTATCCATATAGGCCGGTGGCAATGTTGAATCGCGTGTCGGTCTGAGATGAGCAGAACGCGCATCAGACGTCCCATTGAGTCCCTCGAGACCCTGCTTTTCTACTCCCACCTAACTTCATGTGCCGAAAGCGAGACTCACCTGCTTGTCGCTTGGCACTGGTTTGATGGGCGTCTTCTTGCTCACACCCGGCTCAGTCGTAGCCGGTCTTCGTTTGTCTTCGCTCTCATCGCAGAGGCGTTGCGGTAACGATTCCCCATTCTGGAGTTATTCAAGGGTCCCACGGCACAACAATGACCCGAGTTCTTCGAGTCCTCTTCCTGTAGACAGTGTATATTAGCATACGTTGTACAGTTAGCCAAGAGGCAGGGTTAAATCATACTTCCCGATCACCTGAAACATGATTCCGGGTCCAAACTTACACCTAGCGTCCACTAGATAACTGTATCGCATAATGGGTTATTGAGAGATAAAGTAACGGTCAAACAGCGTTACTCACAGCTCGAATATGCGTATCCTCTTTGACATAATGAGTGTACCTTGTTTGGTACAAGAGATGTGTACCATATAAAGATACGAGTCGGGAAAGCTCATGGACTTCCCAGGGGAGGGTGTTGAGTGGGAGAGGATGGAGATGAAGAAGGTAATTTCAAACGCGTTGAGGAACGCTTAATGTAAGAAGCCATCCCGCATAGGATCCAGCCCTAACCCGGCCAAACCGAACCGTAAACCGAACGTAAGGGCGATTTTCAAATTTGTGTGTAAGAACAATAGAAATCTATATGCGCATTTCATTATGTCTATTGAATCAATAAATACGAAGGGCTTGAGCCTACGGGATTACCTCAACCCATCACAGCACGGTATAGTGGACCAGTGATCTTATACAAGGCCGAGAACGACACCGAAGACCCTGGTCTCGCATTGTATTACCCTCAGAAGTCGAGTAATCTCGCGGTTCCTTGGCCACCATGGTAATGGAGTCGGTCGTGGCCCATACAGCAGTCTTGTCCTCTCCTGTAGTCGCATCGAAAGCCAGTATCCCATCCATGCAAAGCAGGCATCTTGTTCCATTCCCGAAGAGCAATCCAACAGCACCTAACCCATTTATTATATTCCTCGGTTATTCGACTGCTCCTTTCGACTGGCTGTTACTGAGCCCTTGATGTTGTGATCTGCCTCCAAGCATGGCGGCGAGGATATCAGTGCTTCGGTGAAAGGTATTCGTATACGATGGACTGGAGGGCTTAGAGAACGTCAGGTGTAGATCAGGGGCAGTGTCTGGTGCCAGCTAGCTGTTTCAAGTGGATTTCGTAATTTGCGAAACCTCCAGGTCGTATGAGACAGGGACCGTCTTGGCAGTTCAGGACATTGGCATGGAGTTCCAACAATATTTCGGAAGAGAGAATGTTGCTTGGGGTTGGCAGACGTGTTGAGGAGAAAATCAACACCAGGTCTTTCGGCCTGCAGAAGAATGGACAATACCTACAGAGCAACGAATCTAGCGTATTACAATGCTATGAATTTGCACAACACGTGAAATTTGCTTAATGATGAATTGATAGTGCTGGGAAAGTCACGTCAAGACTATTTCGCGACCGACTAGCTCGCAACAGAAATTGTGACCTGGAAAACTGCTTGTTCAAAAAGCAGACGCCTTCACAGCGAGTGGGGTAACGTACACAGGACGTCCGGAATAAGCAGCCAGGCATCCCCACATCGCGGAGATGTGTGGAGATTCTAAAGGCTGGAGTCCTGAGTAGAATTGCGGATGAGCATTGGGGATTGGGAAAGTACATAACACGGAAGAAACGTGAGGGTATGGAATGAAAAGCCGACTCTGAGCAAAAGCAAAGAGGGCAATCACTAGAAGTTGTTGCTGATTGTAAGACATTGAACTGGGCAAGACTGATCAAATCTTGCTGCAGGGGCATGACACAGCTCTCAGAGGTGAAAAGAAGCACCGAAAATTCTCTGGTCAAGCGTGCCATTGCAATGCTGAGTCCTCCTATTTGGGCTCGGGACTCCAAGCTCGGTACCGTGATCCAGATGGGCCTTGAGAAGAACCTTGAGCAGGGCCAGATTTCTTGGCACCACCGCCAGCAGCATCTCGGGACTTGTTATTGGTCTTGCGAGGTTTGTTGTGGTTGGCGGAATTGCGGTGACGGGCAGGGGTTCCAGCCTTCCTAGGAAGCGAGACTTGAGTAGGCGTGCCACCAGGAACACAAACGGTGACGCGAGTATTCCCATGCTGGTCAATATCATTGGCTCCGACTTGGAAGGCCCGAATACTCTGAGCCTGTGCCGGCTTTGTGTGCTTATAACGGGGCTTCACTGGGGCCCATGCCATGGGGGGTGCCATAGGAGGCACACGAACAGCAGGCAGGGAGCCTGGCTCGCGGTCTTCAAACATTTCATCTTGCTCTTCAACCTGGCGGACAGCGAGATCGCCATCTCCAGGCTGCAAATCGATAACAACCCGAGGCAAAGAGACAGCGGCTCCGGAAACGTGAACAGGGAGGGGCTCCTTGGAAGCAGAAGTCACAGCCAAGACACTCTTCCTGTCAGGCGGCGTGCTCTTGCCGAAGAGATCATCAAATTTGGCTTGCCACGAGACAGCATTCGAAGCGGAAGGAGCAGAGGGAGCAGCCTTTCGTGGTGGGGCTGCTGCCATGGAAGCGAACGAAGGAGGAGCCGGGGCTGCGGCAGCGGTAGCTGGAGCGGCGACGGTAGCAGCAGCTGTAGCTGTAGCCTTAGGGGGCAACTTTACAACAGGCTTGGGAGGCTTCGGGGTGGGCAGGTGGACAAGGGGTCGTTCCGAGTCTCCAAAGTAAACTGGGTGACTAGACACTTCCTCCGGTGGAGGCGGGGAAGGGCTGCGCTCCTTCTCAGAAACTTGGCGCTTCTGCTGTTCGGTAGCGTGAGGGAAAAAGCGCGAGCTGCGAGTAGGCGCGGCACGTGCATTGGACTCAGTAGTGACAAGGCCATCCGCAGGAGTATCAAGATCTGTCAGCGGGTTTGATGGTGCAGCAGTATCCTTGACATTGGAATGGGTTCTCTCAGTGGTCTTAATGACCTTGCGCGAGCCGTCCTCGTTAACTCGAACCTGATTCCAAGTTTCGTTGAGGATGATGGGCCTCGTGATTCCCTTCTCGCGTTTTTCCTTAAATTGAGCCATAAAGTTGCGGGCATTCTCGGCCTCTTGTTTAGCGGCAACCTCATGGAAATTGTTCCAAGCCTTCAAAGCTGCTGCGTGGTTCTGCTGCTGTGAGCTCGGGGGTCCGATAGGGCGAGGGCGGCCAATAGGAGTCATCTTGTCAAGAGAGGGGTGTTTGGTCTCAGGCGATGGAAGAGTGGGAGCGTTTGGCTCTTGAGGGCCAGCAAAGTTCGGGGCGGGCATCGTTGCTTGGTCTAACCCCAGTTGACTGCGTAGAGGGACTTCGCGTGATGCAAAGCCCAAGGGTTGATCGAAAATACCGTTGCCGAGAGTGAGAGTGCGGTCACTTCCCAAAGGTTTCCATGGATTGTTGACAGAAGGAGGATTCACCCCAATGGTAGGGTTTGTGGACCAAGGTGAGTGAGAAACGTTCAGATTGGCACGCCACTGGGGACCGTGCTGCTCTTCAGGCTTCGTGTCAGTTTTGTTCTGAACCGGGGACTGAGGCTCGGTTTGATCTTGAGCTCCAGGTGCAGAGGGAGGGTCACGCTTCTGTTGGTTGGGTGACGGGACGCGTCGTGGATGATGTTTCTCAGAAGTCCGATCACGATCATGTGAAGCCACAAGTTTCTTGACAGAATCTGGATGATGCACTTTCATCATACCATACTGCTTGGGTTCGCCGGATGGCTCAGGGACTGGGGGCTTCGGAGGAGAAGATATGGTGGGGGCAAGGTGATGAGGAAGTTGGGAGGGGGATGGTGGGGGAGGATGGTGAAGAGGAAGAGGTTGGTGGTGAGAGTGAGAATAAGAGTTGCGATTTTCCGGGATCTTCTTCTCTGGCGCAGGACCCATCGCTTCGAGTCGCTGTCTTATCCTCTCCTTTTTAGCTGCATCCTCCTTCTCCTCTTGCTCGATTCTGCGCTGCCGCGCCTCTAGACGCTTCTCCTTCATGATACGCTCTTGCATGGCAACAGGATCCTCCTGAGGTGCTTGAGGAACCGGTACCTGTGCCTCCACAGGAGAGTCACCTACATCAACAACTGAACGTGCTGTCCCGTTTGGCCCGTATGGGAGCATCTCATTTTTGCCGTGGGGCTGCTCCCGATCAATTAAGGCTGGATCAACCATTCCATTCACCTGCGAGCCTCTTCGAGCATCGTTAAATCTCGGGGGTGCATCAGGTCGGCCAAAAGACATCCTACGACCATACCCTCCGCTTCCGCCGCTCACATTTGACGATGTTCGACGACGACCCCAACCCGGACCATCCTGGTGGCTAGATCTGTGCGTTTGGAATGCAGCAGATGGCTCGGCGGGCCCGCCTGGGTGCTCATTCGCTCTCTGCAATACAGCAGGAGCTCGAGGATGCTGGTCAGGACGCCAAGATGGTCTCCGGGTGTCTGCCACTGGCTCGTACCGGCCAGATCGAGAATTGTAAAGCTCCCGAGGAGCACCTGACTGGGTATCTTTCCATGTGCGGTTGAAATCGTCCGCTGCAATCTCCTTTGGTGGAAATTGGCCGTGATAACCCTCGTCTCTCGGACCCTGAGAATGGCTAATAGGCATGCGCGGCTGGTGGGGAGGAGCCTGCATCGGAGCACTGACTGGAGAAACTCTTTCGACGGGTGGTAAGGTGGCCCATGGCGACTTGGAGGGTGGTGCTGGGCTTGTGGAGCTCGATGGGGCTTTGTCATTTGTCCCCTTAGACGAAGCACTTGCAGTTCTTGCCTGACGTTCAGCATTTGCCCCCAATTTGAGAATGGTGGGGTTTGGCCCGATTGAGGTGGTTGGCTTCGGTGCAAACTTAGGAGGCTCTTTCGTGGCAGGCGGTTGTTCTGCGGATGGCAACTCCTTGGACTCTGGCTGATTGGGAGCTGGTGGATGGTCAGTGTGAGTAAGAGTGACCTTCGTTCCATCTGTCCACTCGATCGTCTCGGGGGCCCAATCATCTTCGTCGTCATCGATATCCGCCCATTTCGCTTCAGAGCTTACGGCGCCATCTTCTTGGATACGCGAAGTCATATGAATACCGTATTGCTGCTTCAACTCTTCGTCGGTCAAATGCTTCGGTGGAGGAGGCTGGACAGCTATACAGATATCAACGTCAGCTCAAGTGTCTCCCGCTCGGTCGAGAAAGAACATACGCCGATTTTTGTTCCAGACCTGGTTGGGATCAGGCCCCGATCCACCAGTATTGGCTCCGCCTGCTCCAGTCTTTGAAAACGAATCACGCATCCCGCCGGTAGTCTTTGCGACAAGTCGTGGTCGAGAGCTTGGCTGCGGGGTACCGAGTGGTGTAGTTGAAGCTGAGGGCACTAAACAGGTCAGTGATAGTCATGAGACGATCCTTGACAAAGAACATACCTTTCTCAGGTACCTTAGGAGGTGTTGGAGCTCCCGCAACCTTGGGTACCGAGAACTTGGCGAAGGAAACAGGCTTAAAGGATCCTGGCTTTTTGACCGAGCCACTTCGCGCATGGTTTCTGCTATCCGTCCGACTCGCATCAGATTCTGAACCACCTTGTGACGCTGTATCATCGCCGCCATCCGATGCAGATGCAATTCCGTTTAGTTCAAGGACCCTTGTCGCAACAACTCCGGCGCCCTGTTTGCTATTATCCTGCGCCCAAGTCAGTAATCGCTTCGAGGTGTTTCCAACAGCAAAGCTCACCGTCGCAGAGCCCACAGCATCTTTGTCACTTCCAGTCCGTTCCCCTCGCGGATCAAGTATGTCGGTCGTCTCGTGGTTCTGCTGGTCACGCAAGCGTGAATTGTCTGATGTAGCGGTGTTCATTGCGATATGTTCGGTCTTCCCTGCGTCCCCTCCAGCAGATAGATTGTCGTTGGTGTTCGCAGGAACGTCGGAAGGCGAGGGCTCGCCGCCCGACAGGGTCTGATCTACCACATCGCGGCTGCTCTGCTCTGCCATAACAATACTCGAATCTATTCAAAGCAGCAATTGCGATAAAATTAGCAAAGCGCCCTTGGCGATGAGAACATGGGTTCCGGGGGTGCTTAAAAGGCAGCTGCGGATCGGCCATGCGGGTGTCCCAAGCAGACATACCTATCGTCAGATATCAAGGATCGCCACGGTTGCACTGCTAGCTCGACTGGTTGCACCCTGAAGAAGTGGGATTCTACAACCAGATATAAGTCGGCCAACAATCTTCGAGGGCTGATGGGGTAGCCGTGTCAAGTCGGTGGAGAGTACGGCGGAATCGGAAGGCGCGTGCGTAGTGAGAATCCGCAGCGCAAAGAAGTCCCAGAGACGGGAGGAGGTCGAAGAGGGCGACTTTCTGAGTGAGGAGGGTTGATGGTACAAGAATAGGGAGGATGATACAAGATTCAAGTGTCAACTCGGGTTGAAGCTGAGGGTCGCTGTTTTCGGTTAGCGTGGCCCGGCCGAAAGTTGTGAGGTGTATCTGCCCACACACCTTGCTTGACCTCGTCGGCCCTATTTGCGACTAATCGGAGGTATGAATAGTTTGATATCGTTGCCTGCAGAAGGTTCGTAAGAGAGAATACTTTCGGCATGAGGCCGCACCCCGTTTTAACAATAAGTGAAGAAAGAGCCCGCCAGCTACGTTTCACCAGATTTAATACTCTACCTCTAGAACTACGACAAAACAAAGCGTTGTAAATCAAATATTGAAACACAGTGAGATTCTAAGGTTCTCGCTAAAACCAAGACATTCCCTTGCACTGAAACTGAGGATCCAGTATATACATCAGTCCTCCATGGGTTGGATCAAAGGGAAAGCTTAGTGGGGGTGGTTCTTGTGGTGGCCTGTTGCGAAGAAAGTCAGATATAAGTCAGGGCTCATAGATAGAGAGCATATATAGATGACTGGGAGAGCTTACGCAGGTGGAAGTAGTACTCCATGCTGTAACCCAGGATCAGGATACCACCAATGGCGTGGACAAGAGCTGTGCCGATCAGTATTTATGCGAGTATCAAGTGACGATTGGATAGTACGTACGGACACCGGAGGCGTTCTTTCCGCTGAAGTAGCGGGCCTGGTAGCGGCCGATGAGACCGGTGGGCTTGACGGTAGGGGCAGGGCCACGAGGAAGGCCAGCGTAGAAGTTCACAACGCGCTCCATGCGGGCGGCATCCTGGGCGGCACCGATAGCCTTAAAAATGTCAGTTATGAAGGCGAGAAAAGATTGGGATTGAACGATGTCGATGGCTCGCACGAAAACGACTTCGGGGCGGGACGGGTGCGGACGGGGTGCGCAAAGTCAACGATGACGGCGGATGGGTAACTCACGTTGGGGGAGGCGACCTAGAGTAACGATTAGCATCATTTGCCGAGGTGTATGGCCCAAATAGTCATCAATGAGGGTGTCCTTACCTTGGGGGGGATCAAGGTCGAGAGACCTCGGCGGGCGATGTAGCTCATCTTGTCTGAACCGGAGGGTGTCAGAAATTTGTCGCAAGGAATAAAGGAACTCTCAGTGAGTATGCGGAAAGGGAAAAGACGTGGACTTACATTGATTTGCAGCGCAAGTGAACCAAAGAAAGCTGATGGAAGAGGAAGGAGGAACAAACCGAGCCCTGCGGGTGGTCGGAAGGCCAAGACCCGCTAAACCATATTCGGTGGTGTCGTGACTTGCGAATTGCAGGCAAACCACACCTTCAAGTGTATCCCTCTTTGGCAACGACCAATCCCCACATCCAAGAAGACATAATGTCGCTTTTTAGAATTGGGGGTGCCGCTACCCTTCGCGCTAGCAGAATTGCTGCGCCTGTCAATGCGCGCTTCGTCTCCAATGGCGCCAAGGGCGTTCGCTCCGTGAAGACCACCCCGTCGGAGGCTCCCACCACGACTCACTCAGGCAGCTCCTTGATCAACAAGGAGAGTCCCTCCGAGGCTATGGCCCGTCACCAGCCAGATTATGACGCCACCATCGACCACGGCACTTCGTACGGCATCCCCTTTTGGTTCCGTCACAGATCCTTCCACTAACCTTTTGGCGTCAATCCAGGCAATTCTCTCCGGTGCCCAAGCGTGTCATGGATGGCAGCGAGCCGGGCGACTCCCTCCCCGCCGCCGTTCTCTCCGGGGCCCCTACCGATCTCCAGGCCCGTACTGTGCGGTATGTTCTACAAATTTCGAACCACATTACCAAGCGCTCACATACTAACTCTTAACAACAGCATCTACCGCCCCACAAAGGCCGCAACTCAGTCTGGTACTTGGCACCAGCACCATTGGCGCATGGATTGGGATATCTTGCAGCGGGGTCACCGCTGGGAGAACCCTCTCATGGGCTGGCAATCGTCCGCCGACGGAATGCAGGGAACCAACATCAAGTTCAAGTCCAAGGAAGACGCCATTGCTTTTGCCCAGAAGCAGGGCTACGAATACTTTGTCCAGGAGCCAAACGAGCGCCGTTTCGTGCCCAAGGCCTATGCCAACAACTTCCTTCACGAACCCAAGAAGATCAAGCACATCAAGACCAAATGATTTGACCTTCGTGCTGTATAATGTACATATTTGTCAGTTTTCTCTATTGAATTCAATTTCAAGCTTTTCAATTTCAAAGCAAAGAACCCAAACTTATCAAACGACATTCCGATTAGAAAGCTATAGGCGGGCAAGGAGAAAAGAACGAAGGGGTGAAGTCAGTTCTTCTATAAAATGGCTTCGATACCAGTATTTGTTTTTGGGGGAGCCGGGGGGAGGTTGTGTTTGTTGTTGTTTGCGTGAATACCGTCTGTCATTCCGATATTTAAATCCAGTATGCTATTGAGGGCTGCGTTTATCTGATTTAGATGATTGTTCCTTTGCTAGTTACCCGCTATCTATATGCTAGTCAGCTTTGGTATGGCACTTTCTGTCTAATACAAACATAATCAAGCATATCAAGACCACGGGATTATAGAGCAATAAGACACTTGAGGTATAAATCCATCGATAGAGCTTGCTATCAACTGACTACTAATGATAAATCGTTAACTGTACTGTGAGCATGGAATGAGGTGCCTAAAGCTTCTGAACGGCCCTAGCCAGTCTTCTGGGCTCTGATGTTCCTGTCGAACACACCAGGGCGAGTTGCTCGAGTGACCAAACATCCAATATTGTTCAGCATACAAGAGTGCTGGAATCATTACATTATTAGGGGTACCTAGGTACGCCGTGCCATCATGGATGCTTTGACACGGCAATGGTCATTGATTAGGGCAAGCTCGATCTATAGATTTAGGGCAGTTGTGCCTTGGGCTCTCTCTGGGCTTACAGCCTCGGTCTCAAATGACACATAACGTATGTTCGGTAATAGTGTAGATACTTCTCTTGAATTGAAACATATCCTGTTAGACTTTTTATTCAATATCTTATGGAGGTGAGATATATTCAGATATGTTGCTACTGCGGATATGCGGAAACGTGACCACAATATATATCTGCAAACAACGGAGCTCTCAAACGGCAATCCAGAATATTTCAAAACAAGATCCCTCAACTTAATTAAATGTGTAATTGGCACGTAAGCATGCCACCGGGACCTGGGAGAACAGGAACGTACGACCAAAAAAGTATGCGCAGCTAAAGCCTAAATCGGCCCCGCCACCCCCCACTCTAAAAATTGATAAGATCAAAAAGATTAACAACTTTTTTCATTTCCACCTCAGACCCTCCTTGTTCACCACACCTGCAAAATGGCCGCCGAAACAGATACAACCGTCGCTACCCTCCGCAAGGTTCTTGTCTCTGAATCTGAGCCGCTTGCGCGCCGATTTCGTGCTCTCTTCTCCCTCAAGCACCTGGCGTGCCTGCAGCCTCCCACCGAGCAGACCCTCCCCGCCATCGAAGCAATTGCCGCTGGCTTCTCCTCGCCCTCAGCCTTGCTTAAGCACGAGCTTGCTTACTGCCTCGGTCAAACTAAGAACACCGGCTCTGTCGCATACTTGCAGCATGTGGTGAAGGATACCGAGGAGGATGCGATGTGCCGTCACGAGGCCGCAGAGGCGCTGGGCGCTCTCGGCTACGAGGACAGCTTGGACATCCTCAAGAGGCTTAGAGATGATGAAAATGAATTGGACATCATCCGGGAGACTTGCGACATTGCCGTCGACCGCATTCTGTGGGAGAACTCCGAGGAGCGGAAGGCCGAGAAATTAAAGCCTAGGTACGATTTGCGCGTCATCCTGCATATTGCGAAGATTTTGCTGACATTATCATCTTGGATCTACAGTGACTTCACATCTATCGACCCTGCTCCTCCCATGCCCTTGGAGACCAGCGAACCCAACATCCCTGACCTGGAAAAAACACTGCTTGACACCAAGCTTCCCCTGTTCCAAAGATACCGTGCGATGTTCGGTCTGCGTGACCTTGCCTCGCCCCCAGACCTCCCCACCGCAGTTGATGCTGTCAATGCACTCGCCAAGGGCCTCAAGGACCCTTCTGCCCTCTTCCGTCACGAAGTTGCCTTTGTCTTCGGACAACTCTGCCACCCCGCCTCCATCCCCAGTCTCACAGCCTCGCTGAGCGACCTGTCAGAGGCCGGCATGGTGCGACACGAAGCGGCGGAGGCCCTGGGCAGCCTTGGCGAGGAAGAGGGTGTGGAGGAGACCTTGAAGAGGTTCTTGAATGACCCCGATCAGGTCGTCAGAGATAGTGTCATTGTGGCTCTTGACATGGCAGAGTTTGAGAAGAACGGCGAGACTGAATATGCGCTGGTGCCAGGAAGTCCTGAGCCCGTTGCGACTGCATGATGGATATGCCAAAAAAATTGTTTCGTGACGTCGTGATTTTGATACTCTTGTCCCGCTAGTTATACAGCCTTTCTCCAAAAATAGACCAATTTCCACATCGTTTGTACAATCCGGAATATCCAAACTAGTTGTTTGAAGTTTCCCTGTTGAGAGGTCAGTCAGTATTAGCGAAAAAACATATTGAGAGGATTCGAAGTGGGTTGGCATACTTGAAACCGCAGACACATCTGTAGAACACAGTACTTCCTTCATCAGCACTGCGCAGCTGCACTGTAGTCCAGAACATCTCCTTCCGCCCACAATCAGGACAATCACGCTCGATGATAGCTTCGGTCATGCGGTCTGCTGCTGACAGGGTCTGGACTGCCGATCGTTTGGCTCTCAGTGCGGATGGGAATGCGGAAGGTTTGGACTCGGAAACGGTAGTTTGGGGAATTGTATCTGTAAATTGAGGTTAGACACAAGTTCCAGATTGGAAGTACAATCTACTCACCTTTGTTCCGAGTGCCGCAGACATCACAGTGAAGAATCGCATCTGCATTGCCGGTAGACTCTCGTAGGAGATTACCGCAATCTGTGCAGAAAATCAAAGAACCAATGACAGACATGTTGATAAAAGCAAGGAAAAGCAATCCAAAATATGCAGTAATAAAAAGAAAAAGAGCAAAGTGACGAACTAGACAGGCCTTAAGCGCAACGACTGAACATGCAACTTTTTTTTGGGTGCACGAGCCTCTGGCAGGCGGTCACGCGTGGCAGTAGATGTGCCGTCACCCATATGGAATTCGTGAACGCTCTCGACCGTAGCTAGAACAGCTATCTTAATTTTTCAATTTTGTTTATGTTTGAATGACCCTGGGATGTCATAAGGAGTGTGTACTATCTGACATGTCTCTCTCAGGAGCATGTCAACCTTCTTATGACCAGCGCCTACCTCTTTTGACCTAACCGCGACCATGGACCAGAATGGACGCCCGGCCGTCCAGGTGGTTATCAACGGCTATGACCAGACGCAGGCCTACGGATCCAACATGCACCTCCAGAATCAGCCGCGGCCACTGTCCGTAGACGAGGCATTAAAGTACTCGTCCATGTCCAGCGCGCCTGTATTTGGCCTCGGTCTGTCTACTCGAATCCTTCTCCTCAATGGCAGCCAACTAACCGATGGCTTTTTCGCGCAGACTGTATCATTCGCCCTGACGTTGGGCGACCCTCGAACACCACCTCGATCAACCACGTACTACAAGAGGGCCGTAAGACGTTGGTCGGATTGGATGCGGAGATACAGTCCGGACAGGATGAATCCAGTCGTTTAGAGACGTCCCGGGAATACCTACAACAGTTGCTGGATGGAAATGAATTGACAGAATTGTGAGAATCATTCGTATCTTTAAAACCGTCTCTCGCTCATCATCCTCAAGCAAGTTCAAGCTCCCCCGTGCCCCCGCTCGCAGTCAACAGTTACGACCAAACGCACCCGATGGAGCTCTTTCTGGCCGCAGCAGTCTAGGCTCTTTTGCCCGGATGATGCTCGATTCTACCGACATTGCATTTAGATGTAAGATCTAGCCCAGTACAGCTGTCTGGACTTGACCAATTGACAGTTCGATCTCAGATCCCGAAGCATCACCAACGATCAATCTCGAGAAGAAAGACTCCAATCCGAAGACAGCTGCTTCCCTGAACCAGCGTGCTCATCTTACGAACAAATCGGTCTCAGCCTCCTTTGAGCCAACACGTGCTCCATCTTCAAGCCAAGTATCCGTGGTCATCCCAGTCAAACCCTTACCACCTCATAATGGTCAGATGAGTGCGGAAAAGTTCAAACCGAAGACAGAAGGTGAAGACGCAACGGCGGGGGTGCGAATGAAAGACCAAAAAGCGGAGGCAGATGCAGCTCTGCTAAACCTGCAAGACTTCCTCCATGAAATTTTCGAAGCAGAAGACCAAATGGAATCTAATACTTCAACTCACACGACTATCGACAATCCAAACCCCTTATTCGTGCAAACAAGATCATTGGAGGTGCACGGAGAGGTGCTGTCTTCAGATGCCCACAGTCGCCTCCAGAAAGTTATTCGAAAAGTCACGGGATTCGACCGACTCCAGGACATACCATCTGATTATCTTAATCGAATCCAAAAATTGTGCGAAAAGCCCATCATTGCTGCACAACAACCTGATTTGAGCTTGAATGATACGTCAAGTGAGATTGAATCTCAGGAGTGGCAAGGGAAGGTCGAAGATGTTTTCAATGCGCTTCTTGCAATCGGCACGTTGTTGCAGACGATGTCTGGACGCCAGACGGAGCGCGACCTCTGTCCTGAGGATCTCATCGAGGCCATTCCGAACGTTCTCAATCAAGTCTTTGACCACTGCATCATTCCTGCTGTGGAATCACGTCCTGGTGGCAAAGATACCCAACACTTCCACTTCTTCTCAACCCAAAAGCGGATCATAGGAAGCCTTGTTTATCAGAGCAAGAAGGTTTTAACCCTCTTCGCAGACTTCCTATCTCGAATTGATGTCTCCGAAGGCACGATCACGGCCGCTGAGTTCTTCGCCTCAAAATTAATCTTCGTGGAAAACGCGCACAATGACAAGGACTCGGCTTTGGGCCATCAAAAGTACGAACCCGCAAGACGCGGTGCGATGGAGGTGCTTGCGAAGGTGTTTGCCAAATATCCCGAACAACGACCCTTCATTCTGGATGAGATCCTGGTCTCATTGGAGAAACTTCCGACCACACGCCAAAACGCAAGGCAATTCAAGGTTGCAGATGGAAAGAACATTCAACTTCTTACTGCACTTGTTTTGCAACTTGTTCAGACAACGGCGTTGGAAACACCCTCGCGACCAAAAACCAAACGCCAGGTCAAGGCTCAAACTGACGATGACCATGACGAGCTCATGGGCGATGGTGAAGATAACACGAAAAATGAGTCAGATGACGACGAGTCGGACGTGTCGTTGGAACGCCTCGCAACCAAAGCTAACAGACTTTATGACAACGCCATGCGCTCTGCGCAATACATCGTGAAGTTCATCGTTCAGCGAGCTATGAACTCAACGAAGACCGGTGATCAGCCATACAGGAACATTCTCGATCTTTTCACTCAGGACCTGATCAATGTACTTGGATCTGCTGATTGGCCGGCTGCAGAATTACTTCTGCGGATCTTAGCATCTCACATGGTTGGCCTCGCTGATCAAGACAAGAGTCCAGCGACCGCCAAGAGCATGGCACTTGAGCTCCTGGGCTGGATGGGATCTGCCATTTCAGACCTGATAGCAACCGCTCAGCACATGCTCCCGGCGCTGGAAGATTCCGATTCAGAACTCACCGACTATCTCAAACAACAATTTGAGGAATTCAATTCCCGAGCATTGCACCCGCAAGATCTCATCGTGCCGACTGGTCCATATAGAATGGCGCTCGAACACCTTTTGCAGGACAAAAATTCCGATAACTGGCAACTGATTAGCGCACGAGGCTACTACTTGGCTCAATGGGCCAAAACTGTTTGCACTCTTTACTACAACTCCGAGGACCAGGAGGAAATGGCACATGATGATGTGACCTATGACTTGATTGTTCTTTTGACGAGATCCTTTTCAGACCCTCGCTGGCTAGAGACCCACAAGGAATTCGATAACATTACCAATGCCCATGGGAAATTCGCCTACATTCTGACAGTCCTTAACTCGGGCTTTGGAAAAGCCTTTGACACTATCCTCAAAGTTCTCTTAAACTCTTTCACCGGTGATTCGGCCAAGGTGCGCAGCCGCAGTCTGAAAAGTGTTATCTACATGCTCGAGAAAGACCCGAACCTTCTTGATCGAGATGCTTCTGTCCTGCGCGTGATTTTGCGATGTACCACAGATGCCTCGCCCATGGTCCGGGACTCTGCCCTTCAATTGATCGGGCAATGTATTGCCTTGAAGCCCAAGCTCGAAGAAGAAGGTTGTCGAAGCATTCTCGCCTGTGCAGCGGATACTACGGCTGGTGTCCGGAAACGCTGCATTGGGCTGTTGAAAGATCTATACCACAAAACATCTCGACGGGAGTTGAAATTGGTCATCCTCGACAGCTTTCTTCAACGTACAGGTGACACTGAAGAGAGCGTGGCATCGTTGGCCCGACAAACCTTCGAGGAAATATGGCTTGTTCCATTCCACGACTCCATTGATTCATCTGATGGCCCGAAACTCAAGATTGCTCTTGGCGAACAAGTGGCCCTCATTGTCGGCCTGGCCGAACGCAGTGACACTGCACTGGATTCTCTTAGCATCTGCTTACAAGCTGTGCTTTCAGATAAATCCAAGTCCACTGCATTGAACTTCAAAGTTTGCAAGGCTATGGTTGCTACCATGTTCCAGAAACTTGTAGAAGAATCAGATTCCAGCAAAGAGTCCCAACAAGCTCTTTTACAGACAATCACTGTTTTCGCCAAGGCAAACGCAAAGCTATTCAGCCCAGATCAGTTGGAAGCTCTCCACCCCTATATCGGAAATCTTTCTACCACAGATGATCTTTTCATCTTCCGATCAGTTGTGGTTATTTATCGTTGCATTCTTCCGTATTTATCCTCATCACACAACACTCTCCTGAAGGAAGTACAGAATGATCTCTTCAAAATCATCGCCAAGCTTCCTCGTGGTGAGCTCAATGAAGTCATGGGCTGTTTGTGGACCATCAACGGTGTTTTACTAAACACCATTCGACTGGTAAAGTTGACACTCTCATTGCTGAGACCTCTGAAGCGGTACAAGGATATGGATCTTTCTTCGAGTGGGTATGCTGCGGATCTGAACCGTGCCACTAGTTATATTCGCATTGCAGGCTGTGTTGGGGGCCATTGCGACCTTGACAAGTTTGCATCGCATTTCAAGAACGACTTTCCGACATGGTCTGGTAAATCTGTGGCAGGGTTGATGGTTGATCTCATCATCCCTTTTTCTACAAAAGCTCAGCCCTTGGAACTTAGAGTCAACGCGCTCGAAAGCCTAGGATCTATCTGCCAATCATGGCCTGGCCAATTTGGCCGAGAGTGTACCCGGCAGACCTTCGCTCAAACTTTCAAGGAAGACGCTCCAAACTTGCAAAACCTTGTGCTCAAATCATTTGCAGCTTTCTTTGCCATCCACGAAGGCAAGTCTGAAAAAGCTGTCATTCCAACGGCAGACGCCGCTGCCCAGGAAGATACAACTCGATTGGGCGGTTCTTTAAGAGCCAGTGACAATGACGGTGCCGCTGCTTTGATTGCCCAGCACTTCCTCTCCAACATGATACAGGTGGCACAATCGCGCCAGGATACTTACTCTTTGACTGCCATTCAACTTATTGCAAGTATCAATCGACAAGGGTTGGTGCATCCGAAGCAGTGCGCGGGTGTTCTTGTTTCCCTGGAGACGTCGACGGTGTCTGATATCGCGAAAGTTGCGTTTGATACTCACAAGGCGCAGCACCAGCAGTATGAAACCATGTTTGAGCGGGAATACATGCGAGCTGTGCAAGAGGCATTCTATTACCAGCGTGATATTGTTGGCGATTCTAATGGGGCTCGGCACCGACCTTACATTTCGAAGCTTGCACCGTTATTCGAGATCGTCAAAATCAGCAACAGTCGGTACCAAAAGAAATTCCTTTCAAACCTTTGCGCCAAGGTCAACTTCGAACTGAAGAAGCTTGATGTGACTGGAAACCCCCGCAGCACCTCTTACTGTCACGTTTCATATCACAGAACCTGGCATTTTTCGAATACGGCCAATTGGCCGAACTTGTGCCAACCATTTCGTGCATTGAACGCATTGTTTCCTCAACGGGCACCGTCGTTGCACACGCTATCGAGACCGAGATCTCTCCTGCCCCGATTGGCGCGCCCCAGTTAGATACCTCAAACGGAATGATGCCAGGATTTGCGCCTGAGATGCAGTTATCGACGTTCATGCCGCGACCAACCAATCCTGCAACCTTGAAATTGCTGGCGACTGCAGCCGCGTCATTGTCAATGCTTTGGGAAGCCCGAACCTACCTTCGCCGTGTTTACGGACTGAATGCCCATAGCAAGACTAACGGAAAACCTGCCGCAAAGGATCTCAACAAAACCGCAACCAAGGTGCATGGAGTGACCGGCGATAAGGTCTGGGAAGCTATCGCCAGGAATATGACCGCTTTAGACAGTGAAGAAGCGATGCACCACAAGTGCCGCGAGTTTGCAACCTTGCTCTCCATCGACGATGAGTTCAGGGTGGATGCGGACGAGGACGCAGAAGGGGATAGTCTCGACGCCATTGGAGAAGACGACACGGGAACTGCCCTGACCGGCTCTCGGCCCATGAAGCGCAAGAACTCCGTCTCTAGCTCGAACCTCAACAAGCGGCCCAAGAGCCGCAAGGGTTCCACCGGAAGAAAGAAATCTAGTGAGCCGGAAGACGAACTTGCTTGGGATTAATTTGCATGCTTTGTCCACATCATCATACAGGATCCTTTTTTATTTGCATGTCAAGCGAGGTCGGCGTTTATTTATTTTCATCTGGTCATGGTGAATTCCACAAGGAGTTGCGTTTCTTTGTGTACTTTCTCTACCCTCGACCGGAATAGGGTGGGTGGATACCCTTACTTGCTTTCATACATAGCCTGAGCTTGGCATGATATCCCGATATCCTTAGTTAAGAGTATATAATAGAAACCCATGGATTCAATTCAATTGGCACAAGATGAAGGTGGCGTCTTCTATAAAAAGTGGTCGGTGAATATAGAACGGGAGCTCGGCTTGTCGTATGAGAACTGATTCTGGATGCCGGCTTCCCGATCAGGCACGTGACTCCCTACTAGATGACGTCGCTGTAGCATCACATCCTGTCTTGGTAAGTTTCTCAGTTTATTTTATTGAGCTTTTAGTTCTAGGTTTTGCCAGGTCGCTCCTTCATTCAGAGCACAGAGACGGGCCATGAGCTGCTTCGTCTCTGTTTACCATCGCTGATCACTTCTTCCCTTCCTGTCTGACAATGCTGAACGCGATGCTCCGGAGCCGTGCAGAGGGCACCGCACTGAAATCAATGGGGTCATTACCAGCTCGAATTCGTATCTCAAAGGCATTCCCGACTCCCCGACTGTCGCTATCCCGCTCGATACACACCCCTCGTCACCGACCAGCCCCCCAATGGCGCGCCTTGGCACAGGTACCGACGGTCTCGGTGCCAATCCGATACAAGTCTGAACTCGCAGCCAAGCTGGGGTCTGCACGGAGATCGGCCATCGTGGGCGCTACGTACAAAGTTTTTACCTGGTGTGGCTTTCTGATCTTCTCTGGTGGTGCTATGGTACTTGCCTTCTTTATCTATGATGCTAGTACATATCGCGAATCGTCAACTGCAGCCGACATCCCTGTTTCAGAGTTGGCGCTTAATCCTCGGATTGGAGGCCCGAAGAACTTGCCTATTGCCGATTACCTTGTTGGTGACTATGACTCGGAAACAATGCTGGAGCAGAAGGACAAGCCGCGTCTGGTCATCCTGGGCACGGGTTGGGGTAGTATTGCGCTCCTAAAGAACTTGAACCCTGCAGATTACCACGTTACTGTCGTTTCCCCGACCAACTATTTCTTGTTTACTCCTATGCTGCCCTCTGCTACTGTAGGCACCCTGGGTCTTCGTTCGCTGGTGGAGCCCGTTCGGCGCATTATTGATCGAGTCAATGGGCACTTCCTCAAGGCATCGGCTACTGATGTCGACTTCTCTGCAAAGTTGGTGGAGGTTTCTCAGGTTGACAATGACGGGGTTAGAAAGAACTTCTATCTTCCCTACGACAAGCTTGTTATTGGTGTCGGTGAGTTATCTCGAGAACAAACAGTGTTCATCGCAAAAGTACTAACCTTATCATATCTAGGCTGTGTGACGAACCCCCATGGTGTCAAGGGCCTCGAGAATTGTAATTTCTTGAAGACAATTGACGATGCTCGTCGCATCAAAAACCAGGTGTTGGAAAACATGGAGCAGGCCTGTCTTCCTACCACCACCGATGAAGAGCGCAGACGCCTGCTTTCCTTTGTCATTTGTGGCGGTGGTCCAACCGGTGTTGAATTTGCTGCTGAGCTGTTCGATCTTCTCAATGAAGACTTACTCCTCTCTTTCCCTCGCATTGTCCGCAACGAGATCTCTGTTCACATCATCCAGAGCCGAACCCACATTTTGAACACGTACGACGAGGCACTCTCCAAGTATGCTGAGGTATGCTTTTCTATACTCCAGAGACTTTCTGATAACCGTTCTAACATTGTTTCCTAGGGTCGATTCACTCGTGATGGTGTCGAGGTGTTGACCAACGCCCGTGTCAAGGAAGTTCGCAGTGACCGGGTCCTTTTCAGTCAGGTGGAAGACGGCAAGACTATTGTCAAGGAGATCCCAACTGCATTCTGCCTGTGGTCCACTGGCGTGGGTAAGTGCACTACCATCATACATCAATCTACAACCATGGCTTGCAATAACTAACACGATGTAGCCCGAGCTGAAATCTGCGAAACCCTCTCCAACAAGCTGGAGGGTCAGAACAACAAGCATGCCCTTGAGACGGATTCTCATCTCCGTCTGATTGGTGCTCCCCTAGGTGACGTCTACGCCATTGGTGACTGCTCGACAGTCCAGAATAACGTGGCAGACAACATTATCCGGTTCCTTCGCACTATCGCCTGGGAAAAGGGTCGCGATCCCGAGAAGGTCCACCTCACCTTCTCCGAATGGACAGAAGTTGCCAACCGAGTAAAGAAACGTTTCCCTCAAGCCACTAACCATCTCCGCCGCCTGGACCTACTCTTCGAACAGTACGACAAGGACCACTCCGGTACACTCGACTACGGCGAATTGTCCGAGCTCCTGCACCAGATCGACACCAAGCTCACTTCCCTGCCTGCCACCGCCCAGCGTGCCAACCAGCAGGGTGTCTACCTCGGCCGCAAGCTTACCAAGATTGCCGCCGCCCTTCCTGGCCTCAAGGCCAATGAGATCGACTATGGTGACCTCGACGAGGCCGTCTACAAGGCCTTCCGTTACAGACATCTTGGAAGCTTAGCGTACATCAGTAACGCTGCCATTTTCGACTTTGGCGGTATGAGCTTCAGCGGTGGTGTCATTGCCATGTACCTCTGGCGTAGTATCTACTTCGCCGAGAGCGTGAGCTTCCGCACGAGGTGTATGTTGGCCATGGACTGGGCCAAGAGAGCTCTTTTCGGAAGAGGTATGTCTTCATTATGTCCTGATTGATCTGCAAGCATTGCTAATATGTTCCGTAATTCTAGATCTCATGAGCTTCTAAGCAGCTCGATATACTCCCCACCCATAGCCTGTCGCTGGCCGATGATGAGATATCAATAGTGTTTATTTGCTGATACAGTTTCGAGCGGGTCAGAGAGAGATTGGGAACCATTTGTCCTATGACTCCTGTTTATTTCCGAAAATACCTACGCCTTCGACCTTTTTGCTTGTTCTTTTGGGTTTATCCTGTTGAACTTCATGCATACCAGCGGCTGTATGGATTTGTTGCGTTCATTAGCTAGCTTTTTTCTTGTGTTCTGATGCTTGCTGCATAAACGCATTGACTGTAATCTAGAAAGACGTCAGTTAAGAAATTTAGGCCGACGATCAAGCTTGTTCTGCTTTTACTAGACTTAGGCATTGGTGCCCCGAGGAGCGAAAAGAAGGTGGAGTCATTCAAGTAAAAGGAAAATATTCATTGTGTTGTAACAAGGCTCAAAAGGCCGAACTGAAAAAACAGCGATAGACATCGCAGGAACGAAACGCCTAAGAATGAGGCACCAAGACGCCGCGCTAGAAAAATCAAACGTTACGGGCAGAAGTGGTCAGAGCCAGCACTTAGAAACCAGGCTAGACAAAGACCAGATCAGGAGATCATTGGGTCAACATCACTGTTGTGAGATATCAAGGTGTCGGAAATGTTAGTAGCAAGATCATTACTGGATTTTTTGTGAGAATCGCCGACTAAGCCAATGTCCAGGGTGTCTGGAATGTCTCTCTTGGCGTCTCGGGCCTTCCTTTCGGCAAACGCCCGAAGCTTCACAAGATTGCGCAGACGGGCCTCTTTACGAGCGCCCTGACTCTGCAGAATGGCCTCGTTGACTTGGGTAGCGATATCTTTACGAAGCGCGGGGTCCAGAAGACATGCAAGGGACGGGTCCAAGTTGTCACTGGGGAAGATCAATAGGGCAAGTGTGCGCTCGAGGTCCTCCAGAAACTGGGGATTCGTGGGAGCACGAGGTGCAAGCTGCGAGGTCGCGAAGTCCAGGGCTGGGCTGATGTCGCTGCCTGGGATGGCCATGCAGGTGCGGATCAACTCAACCAACTGCAAGCGCAGCAGGGCAAAGTGCAGAGATGGGTCCTCATCAAGAATCTATTGAAGTCTTGTTAGCAATGGCACTTTGCAAGTGTGTTGGTGTTGATAAGATCCAATTTTGGCAATTTGCTCATACTGAGGACTGAAGATGTTTGTTTTTCTGCAAAACCCCGGAGGGGATTTAAGAGTGGTGCATGAAACTTGGTATAATCATAGCAAGAATAGGGGCTAGGAAATGTGGAGTCGACTAGTGGGGAAAAAATTTCTTACCTGAGGGTTGAGCTCGTTGATTTTTTCAACAGCCGACTGGATATCACCCGAGTAAATCGCAGTCCGGATCTCAACTCGCTCCTGGATAGATTCCAGGTCTGTTCTGAGTTGGATATTGGCCTCAACTGCGAATTTGTTCGCAGCGGCAGGATAGCCATTTGTGATGAGGTAATCCATGACCAAATAGTTGATATCACTGTGATATGACAGTTAGCGAATCGCTCGGACCCAACTGTTGAATGCAATATTTGCAGAGGTGACGTGAATCAGATAGACAAGTCAATTGTTTCTCCTCACATGTTTTCAGAGAGATTCCCAACTTGATTTTCAAGAACATCATGTCACGGGGCGGAGGGGGATGGCATCGGAGGTAACTCACGTCTTGGAAGGCTTGACCTCCTCGAGCTTCCGCTCGAAGTGATGCCACGTAGGCGTCGCAGTCGAGGGAGTTCGGGACATCTGCATTGTGTTAAAAGGCCAGCGACCACGGGTTTCACACCGAGAAGCATACAAGATTAGCCGACATTATGAGCGGGATGCCCAGTCTTGAATCTGGTCCGAAGCTATCCTCAAAGCTGAATGGTGACCCAAGAAACGACGGCCATGGGAAGAGGCAGTCGCTGTGTGGGAGAAGACCAGTTGGATGGAGGGAAGAGGAAGAGAAGGGCGAGAAGAAAAAGCTCGGAATAAGAGGAGCTTAAGCGAAGGTAACGCGCTAAGCCTAAGTCAGCGGATGACGAAGGCATGAGTCAGCAACATGTGACCAATAAGAGGCGTTGGCAGAAAGATGTGTCTGGCTAACCTGGCTTGGGCAAGTGTATTACATAATTATGCCAAGCCCTCCAGTGCTCTTATCGAGGAATTGCATTTCAATCCGAGTCGTATTGTACAGTGGGGTACAGTCTTAAGTGACAGTTTTTTTGACATGGAGTCAATCTCGCCTTTTATTTCCTCAAGCCCCGCGCCGCGGTATGCTCCACCATGGCAGGACTTGAGCATCATCGGCATCGCTGGTAGTTCAGGCTCTGGCAAGACCTCTGTGGCCATGGAGATTGTCAAGTCGTTGAACCTACCCTGGGTGGTGATCCTTGTAATGGTAAAGCTTCTAAAAATGGATGGTCTCGATCTTGTTGCGGCTCTAACCTTCATTTGTTTAGGATTCATTTTACAAGTCATTATCATCCAAGGAGCACCTCAAAGCTCATGCGAACGAGTATGATTTTGACTGCCCGGATTCGATTGACTTTGATCTTCTCGTACAGACCCTGCGGGATCTCAAGAAAGGGTAACTCTCTTTTCTACTGTCTAGGCTCTTTGTTTTGCCTGACCAGATTGTACTACAGAAAGAAAGCCAACATCCCGGTGTACTCATTCGCTGATCACCAGCGGCAGTCCAACACGACCACTCTTTACTCGCCTCGAGTGATTATTCTGGAGGGCATTCTGGCGCTTCACGATCCTAGAATCGTGGAGATGTTGGATGTGAAGGTATGTGCTTTCTTCTCCGCCTCTCAAACAGAGCTAACTCCTCAATCCAGATCTTCGTTGAAGCCGACATGGATGTGTGCTTAGGACGCCGAGGTGGGTGATGTTGAATCTTATTCATGCAAAAGGTCACTGACAGAGATATTAATAGTCCTTCGGGATGTCCGCGAGCGCGGCCGAGACATTGAAGGAATCATCAAACAGTGGTTCGCTTTCGTGAAGCCATCTTATACCCGATATGTGGAACCCCAACGCCCCATTTCAGGTTGGTAGTCGTGTGACTGTGCAATGGATTCAGGGAGTTTCCTAACCCTGATTTTCAGACATTATAATTCCACGTGGCATTGAGAACACGACCGCCATTGGTATGCATTCCTCGCGCCGCTAACCCTGATGACTTGAGGCTAATTCAATCTAGACATGGTGGTGAAACACATCCAACGCAAGCTGCAAGATAAATCCGACAGGCACACTGAAGAACTTGACAGGCTCGGTCTGATTGCAGCGGAAGTTGAGCTGCCTTCGAATGTGCATGTTTTGCCCTCCACGCCGCAGCTCATCGGAATGAATACTATTTTGCAAAACCCAGCGACTGAGCAGGAGGATTTCATCTTCTACTTTGATCGACTGGCTTCGATCTTGATTGAGAAGTATGACACCCACATCCCGAACTTGAATTTTCTTTTACTCAACTAATACCGTTGCCAGATCCTTGGACATGACATTGTATGTCTCCGCGAATGTGGAAACACCACAAGGAAAACCATACATTGGTTTGCATCCCAAGGGTACTGTATCGGCTGTCGCTATCCTACGAGGAGGTTCGTGTATAGAGACTGCCCTCAAGCGATCGATTCCTGACTGTGTCACTGGTCGCGTGCTCATTCAAACCAATGAGTGCAGCGGAGAGCCGGAGTTGCATTACCTGAAACTCCCAGCGCAGCTCGAAGAACATGCCACAGTTATCCTCATGGACTCGCAAATGTCCAGTGGAGGTGCTGCACTTATGGCCGTTCGCGTCCTTCTTGACCACGGAGTGGAGCAGGACAGAATTGTTTTCGTGACCTGCGCAGCAGGCGAGCGAGGTCTCAAACGACTGACTGCTGTATTCCCCAAGATCAACGTGATTGTTGGGCGGATTGAGGAAGAGGGAGAACCACGATGGATTGAGAAGCGGTACTTTGGATGCTAAAGTTATCCAATCGCTGCTATATATCGAGACCTAGTACATACGCTGATCACGACATATTCCGTGACTACGGACGCATTGCATTATTAGGAGTGATATTGAACAATGACAATACTTTACTTGCATATACTTTAAACTTCTCACCACCACGATAATGTATGCTGACTGAAAATCCTCGGATCGTAGCAGACTTTCCGTTTTGAGAACTAGACACATGCGTCTGACCGCCTGGCCGACCGCCGCGGCAGAAAAAAGAAATAATCTGCCGGTCGAGTATTTTCACTTGTTGAATTTGACGATCTCTTATCGATGCCCAGGTCTTGAAAAAAATTGCCAGGTTCTCGGTGATATATCACAGAGCTTAAAATGGCAGGCCCTGACAAGAAAAAATCCAAGGCCGGAAAGGCCAAAGGCGAAACCGGCCCGTTGATCAGTACGTACAACCGAAGCTTGAGATACGTCCTAAAGGGCCCTATGGACCAGCATTACTGACTTTTTTTCTATTACAGCGGACCCTCGTTTTGCCAGCATCCAATCTGACCCTCGCTACCGTCTACCAAGCAAACGCCAGACTCATGTCAAGCTTGACAAGCGCTTTGCGCACGTGCTAGATGATAAGGATTTCTCCCGCAACGCTGCTGTCGATCGCTATGGACGCAAGCTGGCAAAGGACGACACCAAGAAGCAATTGAAGAAGTTCTACCGCCTTGAGGACGATGACGAGGACGAGGAAAGCGGCTCCGACGACGAAGAAGTAGTCAAGAAGGAGCTGAAGCGCATCGATTCTGCCTCATATGATCCTGCACGCGATGGTGGCTTTGAATCCTCGTCATCCGAGGAAAGCTCCAGCGAGGAGGAAGACGACGAGGAGGAGATCGAAGACGAGGTCGAATTCCCAGATCAACACCAGTCCAATGTGCCGCTAGGAGAAGTATCGAATCGGATAGCAGTCGTCAACCTCGACTGGGACAATATTCGCGCTGAAGATTTGATGGCTGTTTTCTCGAGCTTCCTTCCTCCTGGTGGTCGTGTGTCGAACGTCACAGTCTACCCTAGCGAGTTTGGAAAGGAGCGTATGGAGAGGGAGGAGGTTGAAGGTCCCCCGAAAGAGATCTTCGCGCCGACCAAGAAAAACGCTGGTGGCGAGGATGACTCTGACGTAGACTCGGATGATGAGGAGGAAGAAATCAAAAAATCGATGATGAAGGGTGATGACGGCGAAGAGTTCAACTCTACACAATTACGGCGTTACCAACTCGACCGACTGCGGTATTACTATGCCATCCTCAAGTTCTCATCTAAGGATGTCGCCAAACATGTCTACGATCTGGTTGATGGCGCCGAATACCTCTCCAGTGCCAATTTCTTCGATCTTCGCTTCGTGCCTGATGACACAGACTTCTCGGATGACAAGCCTCGCGACGAGTGCTCTCGAATTCCTGATAACTACAAGCCTACCGAATTTGTTACTGATGCTCTGCAGCACAGCAAGGTAAAATTGACATGGGATGCGGATGACAAGTCAAGGAAAGAAGCACAGGCACGTGCGTTCCGCGGCTCGCGAAAGGATGTTGACGAGAACGACCTGAAAGCCTATCTCGGGTCTGACAGTTCTGACAATGAAGATTCAGATAACGAGGATGGCGGCGTGGAAGTTGTTGATAACACTGCCGGAGAAGCTTCAATTACGAAGCTATCCAAGAAGGAGGCTGAGAGGCAGCGCATGCGTGCTTTGCTGGGCCTGAGCGCCGAGCCTACCCGCACCAAGGCCGACGGTCCTGTTGGTGAGATGGAGGTCACTTTCACATCGGGTCTGGCTGGCGGTCACGGCAAGGATACCATCTTCGAGAATGAACCAGTGGTCGAAGAAAGCACAATCGACAAGTACGTGCGAAAGGAGCGTGAGCGCAAGAAGCGCCGAAAGGAGAAGCTCAAGGCTACCAAGCAAGGAGACGAAGAGGGTGCCGACGCAGTGGACAGTGAAGACAACGAACCTGCTCCAGCCGAGGTACAGGAGGAAGTGCAAGAAGATGCAGGCTTCAACGATCCATTCTTCGACGACCCTACTGGCAAGGTCACCTCCGCTGCCCGGCGCAAGGAGGAGAAGCGCAAGAAGCGTGAGGAGCGTGCCGCCGAAGAAGCGGCATCAGCTGCTCAGCGGGCTGAGCTTGAGCTTCTCATGGTAGACGACGAGAAGGCTCACATCAAGCACTTCGACATGACCGAGATCGAGAAGGCCGAGAAACTGTCACGGAAGAAGAAGGGCAAGGGCAAGAAGGGCAAGTCCCAGGAAATTGCTCCGGCAGATGACTTCCAGGTCAACGTCAGCGATCCCCGTTTCTCCCGCCTGTTCGACAGCCATGATTTCGCTATCGATCCCACCAACCCCCGCTTCAAGTCCACCTCTGGCATGAAGGCCATGCTGGAAGAGGGCCGTAAGCGCAGACGCACTGGTGATGACGCTGAAGCAGAGGTTGTGCCCGAGACGAAGGAACGCCAAAAGAAGCAGAAGAAGGCACCAAAGGAGTCTGGCTCGGAGGATCTGAAGCGTCTGGTGGATAAGGTCAAGCGCCAGTCGAAGGCATGAACATAAGTGGAACTGTAATGAATTCGGAGCTATTGCACTGGGAATCGGTGTATTGAATTGGATTGTGTGCATATATCTGTGGCACATTGCCAACGGTGACTTAAGGTATTTCTTAGTTATATGTGCTTGTAGCCACGGAAACGGTGTAGTGCGCCTCTTAAATCTTTTCTCACGTTGATTCCCTCCTATCATTCTCCGTATAACCGTGAAATTCCTCTCAAAGGTATAGGGCTACAGGGCTGTGCGCGAATTCATTGGCTATCTAACAGGACAGAATCCTGTCATAATGGTTCGATGCCAAGGGGCTGCATGCGACTATGATAGTCAACTTCGGCACCAATAAATAATGCATGGATAATATATCAGCAGCTAAGATAGGCCACACTGTGGCGGGTTCAATTGGAAGAAAATAATATACCATGTCTGATATTCAGCTGAACCCCGCATAAAACGTAGGCAGAAGCGACAGGCCGCCTGATATAGTGAAAATAATGTGTGTCTGATATATGATCGACACTTCATTCGGTCCCAGGCACAGAACGCTACAGGCATGATGCTTGTCCTACACGACGTGTGATTCACGGTGTAGAGCTGTCATGCGGTCGGTATGGGTAATACGTTGGAAAGAAATATTCTCCTCCAATCCCAAGTTCATATCCGTCTCAAATAACAGCCACCGACTAACACCATTCCTTGCAATCCCAGCTATGCGGTGACACGGGGACGGTCGAGGATAGTGACATGGTAGTCAATAGAGCTTCGTATGACTTGATTGTAAAAATTAAAATTGAGTCATCGCTGGTATCTTCGTTATAAGAAGAATTCAAAGATCGGAATTTCATTCAACAGACTAGATGAGTATTTGGGAAGATCTGATAAGAAGATACCCGGACATTTGTAGTTGACCTGTAGTTGGAGTTGATTAAAGCCCAGATGTCACTATTCCTGACTGTGCCTTCAGACCACGTGACGGCACTCACCGCCTCTTCCGGCTTCTATCCACAGTTCCCCAGGCCGTCTCTGATCAATGTCCTGAGTCCCTTAAGAAGCTGGGGAATTATTTTATCTAACCTGTTTCCTCAACTCTGAAAAGACTGTGGAGACTTGGTGAGAGCCAATTCCCAATTGCTGAGAGCCCCACTGCTGCAGCTCATCCCACTTTCCTTTCCACTCCCCTCTTCGGCCATTCTCAATTCCCTCATCGCTTGATGATGGTTTCTGCTTCGTTGAATTAAGCTATGGGTGGATGCAGCCTGGTTTCCCTAGCTGTCTGCTACCCATCGTTACACTGCGTTATTTGATCAGTCCATTTTCTTCATCCGTTCTCCCACATTCCTGCAGGTTTCCCCGGCTATATTCATCATGCTGGGCCGACTCTTGAGTACCGCCGCGTCGACTCTAAACCCCGCGGCGTACTCAACACGCAACAATGGAACACCTCTTGAGTCCGTCACCGAAGAGGAACATACCTCCGGCCTTCTTTTCCCCGATGCCAGCCTCCTCCGACGTTCCAATACACATGCCTACCCATTGCAAACAACGTTTAATTCCCCGAACGCCTCGACCGCCGGGGCCTACGATGATCGTGGTGGAATGGAATTGGATCCTATCAAGGATTTCCGGGTGATCGTTGCACAGAATGCATTAGGCGACCGTGATGCGTGCGTCTTACTTGACACTCGTGCATCCGACTCCCCAACCGGCCTCGGAATCGATCCACAAGGCAATGATCAGTCCGGCCCTAGACATACGCGTGCAGTCTCTAGTCTCTCCCGTGGGACACGCCGCAATATTCTCAACCAATCGTCTGTCGTCGAATCGAGCCCTCTCTCCGTTGCTGCAGATGCACGCAGGTCATCACCAGCAAGTGCCGGTGCTTTCTCTCGGGCCCGAGGTCGGAGCTCAACGCTGGCACCATCGGCCACCTTGCACGAAACAGGCCATTCTCGACATTCTGCCGACTCAAACGACACCGGTCTCCTGAATTGCATCTTCGGCAGCAGTGCGTTCAGTTACCGGGGATCGTCTACAAAAATGCACATCATCTCCGCTGATGACGATACGGGACCAGGCACTAATGCATCATCACCTGCTTCCCGCAGTCCACTCTCTCGTGCCTATACCACAGGCAGTCCATCAGGCTTAATGGGAGCAGGTAGAGGAGTGGACAGCAAACCACCTTCCAAAGTCACAGTCCTCTTGACTCGCATGTTTAGCGTGAATCTTCCCGAAGGAGCCGAGGCATCCGCTGAGCGACATGACTATGCCAGCGCTCTTTACCAGGAATCTTTGCCTGAGATGGGCGGCTTCCCCTTCCCGGATGTCTCCAAGCGCAAGAAAATAAAGGAAAAGAAAACGCCGATGTACGCTGTTGCCATAACAATTCAGATTCCTTTGCTCGCACGCAATCCTGGACGACCTGTTTCAAGATTCAGCACGCTTGGCCCCGATTCGCCTCGGCCTGGTTTCTCAAGCTCGCTGGACTCAGATCACCGCTGGCCAGGCGGATTCTTTGACGATAGCTTGTCTGCAGCATCCCCACCTGCTAGTCTGGATGAGCGCCTGGACTTACTCGTTGATCATTGGGATGTCATCACTCGTACACTCTCTCATCTTGAAAGACTTGCTCGGAACGAAATTCTTTTCCTTCTGAAGAAGGTAGACTCCTTGTTGGGGCCGCACCCGAAGCCTGCTAAACCTCCTAATATGCAGCGGACTAACCAGACTATTGTGCATCTCCCCGCCAACATTCTATCTGTCAATTCGAAACTCAAGGAGGAGGCTATCCGCAGTTCTCGTCGGATTAGCTTGGCCCTTCAAACTCCATACGTGGTCACTGGACAAAGTCGCTGGGGCGTCTGGCGGGAGGAAGGCCGTTCGATTGTCCGTGGGTTAGGCGACAAAGAGCAGAATTTCTTCTTTTTGGTGATTCTCACGGCATTCTTGGGGAACCACACCGAATGGCTCAACACTCTTGGCCCCGAGTGGTATCGCCGGCGCCATAATCTGCAGCAGAAGTCCCAGCAAGATGGCGAACCTATACTTGCAAACAGAACAGTCATTGTCTGCCCAGACAAGATGACTGCTCGCCGCCTTGTCTTCTTGCTCGCCGCCTTTTTGCCATCTAAACAGCGTCTGGAGCCGTTACCTTCGCCGCTTAGACCTGGTACATCAATTTCAATGCGTGCTATCTCCCACAGTCCACCTACAGTTCCTGTACTCCGCCAGGAGTCCCTTCGCCGAGCGATTGAAAGACGAGCTCGTGCCAATCGATTAAACATGGGCGAAAACGATTACCATCGACGATCAGTGAGTGTTTCATCACAAGATACAGCGCAGCGGTCGTCGGATGGCGCCGACATAACTCCGCCGGCGGAACCTTCTACGGCCTCAGCCCGCAGAGGTTCCGATGCTCGGTCGATCAGAACCCTCGGCGTAAAGAATCCTCCGAAGGATCGAGCTAAGAACACCAGCGGTGCAACTACCTCTATGATTACTCAAAGCAGCACCGTCCCTGTGCCCCATTTCACTTCTCAGCCAAGCAGCTCACACCAAACTGCCGCAGCTGAAGGCAACGATAGTCTCGCGTCAGAGACCTTGCTGAAGAACCTCCAACGAAGTGACAGCTCTGTCTTGACCCCAAACGGCAGTTTTCCGTCAGCCGGGGGTCGCTGGGGAGGTATCTTCTCCGGTCTTTGGAGCTCTCGGCAGGAGTCATCCGCTGAAAGCAGTGAGCCCTATTCTCCAACTGATACTCGCAAGAGATCTGTCTCTACAATTGTTGGCCCTGCTGTGCGTGGTCCCACTACTTTAAGTCAAATGGTCAAAGAAGTCACGGAGGTTGAAGATGAACAACGGCGCAAAAACGCCCCCAGTGGAAATATCTCCATCCCCGCTGCTGCTGCTCACAGCGATGAGGCTGGTTCGCCCGAACCGTCATCACTAACCAGCCAAGTCCGTGAATCACCTTTGAAGATGTCAGTCCGCGCAGAGGAAGGTGTGGTAGACGTTGATCTTCCCCTTCCAGGATTCATGTCACTTTCTTCCTCCGGTGATTCTACTGTTGCCTCGCCGAAGAAAACTCGTACGTCCGTCACCAGCATGGATGCAATCGCTTCCACTCACAGCAGTGGCTCTGGGTTCCACGGTGTTGGGAAAGATAACGATGGCCCTACTGCCCATGTAGCTGGCTGGTTGAAGTCATTCCATGAAGATTTCTCGCTTCAAGCAGTCCGGCCTTACGCCTCCCTTGAAACAGAGATCAAGCAGGCCATGCGGGCCGAACCCTCTCCATATATCCCCTCCGCATCCGATGTGGATGGATCAGAGAGATGGGTCGATGTCGCCACAACCTTGATCGCGGACACTAGGGCCTCAACCGTGAAACGAATTCGATTGAGACGCAAGGTCACAGTGGGTCATGACTCGCCCACTCATACCCCAGCTTCACCAGCCAATGGCCTTCACTTGGGCGGCGCCCGCCACACCGGTGGGTCTCGTTCTTCACAGTTCTCTGGCTTCTTCAACGGACCAGACAAGATACCCGAAAGCTCTACCGCCGAAGAACAAGACCAAAGCTTTGTGGAAGAACGCTTCATCGAGGAACCCGTGATGGACCTCGACGGTGTTCTCGTTGATGCCGTTGAGCGTGTCTTGGGCCAAAGCGGTAACTCGTCTTTGGCACACTCGCGTGCTCCATCTCCTACTCGCGCCCGCAAAGCTGAAGACAACAAAGCTCCTCCTCCACGCACCGATGAAGCCCCTCCTCTCGAAGTGCCTCGTGGTGAATGCCGCAAAATGGTACTTGGGGCCTTGGAAGAAGTCGTCCGCATCGTTACTGCCGAGCATTGCCGTGAAGATGTGGATAGCACATTAGCTCTTGCTGATCGTGAACGAAGGAGAGCACTTGCAGGTGCTGACAATACATTGCGTGAAGGAATTCGGAAATGGCTCCTCGACGTCGAAGAAGCCTGGTGATACGCTTTGCCTGGCTTCGAAAATTTCTATCTTTTTTTCTTTTCTTTTTGCATGGTACTTTTCTCGCACATTTTTGCACACCCCTTTCTTCTTTTTTTCTGCCAATGTTTGTGACTCGGTCCTTCTCTGATCCCGGTCCTGGGGCCTTTGGTTTTCGATTTGCTTTTCTGTGCTTTTTTTTTGGTTTTCCGATGCTTGCTGCATTGCGACCTTTCTCAACTATGATACCCACTTCTCGCTGAAGTCTAGTTCTGTTTGTGAAGGCTCATCCTTTACATTTTAATATGACACTTGATAATTTGACTCCAATGACATTGTGTTTCTGCAATCTTCTCTTACAGAGGAATTAAGCAACATAGACCAATTTCACAGGATGGCCACTGGCTTCGACCTTCCCATGCGCAGCAGGAGAAAGCTGAACGGTCTTCAAGACCTCATCCGTCTGAGCTGAATTGACAATCTCGATCTTGATCTCTCCCTGCAAACGACCATTGATCAGCAACTCAACTCCTGACAACGCATCATCTTCAGGAGCCTTGATCGTGGGATTGACAACAGTCACCGACCCCGGGCGAATCAAGATAGGCAAAGTATCAAAGTCATGAGTCTCAGTGTACCAACAACCAGACTCATAAGACTTTGAATGATCAAACCACGAAACCCACTTCCCAGCCTCATCATCCTCAGACCTGGGCACATAGAAAGTAACCTCACCCTCCTCCGAAAATACCGGCGCAACCAATAAATTCGGACCAAACATATATTGCGTATCAACAGCATAAGTGTTCAGATCCTCAGGGAACTCCAAGAAAAGCGGCCTCATAAGCGGCGTTCCATCCCGATGCCCCCTCAACGCCTCCTGCAGAATATACGGCGTAAGCAAGATCTTGCGCTTGACACAATCCCGCAACACATCCGAACAATCTTCGCCATAGATCCATGGCACACGGAACGAAGAAGATCCATGCAAACGCGAGTGCGATGACAACAGCCCAAACTGCACCCATCGCTTATACAGCGCCGGCGGCGGCGTCCCCTCAAACCCGCCAATATCAGATGCCCAGAATATATACCCGGACAGCATCAGGCTCAGTCCACCACGCAGTGACTCAGCCATTGCTTCGAATGTGCTCTCGCAATCGCCGCCCCAGTGCACAGGGTATGCCTGTCCGCCTGGTGCGGTACTGCGCGCGAAGAGGAGACCCTGGCTGCGTCCGACACGGGTGCTGAGAGTCTCGTATACGATCTTGTTGTAGAGGAGGGCGTAGTAGTTGTGCATACGCTCTGGGTCCGCGCCGTTGTGGTATTGGACGCCTTTGACTGGGATGCGCTCTGCGAAGTCGGTCTTGAAACTGTCCACGCCCATTTCAATTAGGCGTTCTAGGTGGCTGTTATACCATTTGCAGGCTGCTGGGTTGGTGAAGTCTACTACTGCCATTCCGGCTTGCCAGAAGTCCCATTGCCAGACAGAGCCGTCGGTACGCTGGTATGTGTCAGTCATATTTTCCTTCCTGCTTTGCTTTTGCTGGCCTGGACTGCGTACCTTGATGAAGTAGCCGTTCTTCTTACCCTCCTCGAACAGCGGTGATGCCTGCCCTACATATGGGTTGATCCAGACACTAATGCGCAGCCCACGCTCTTTCAACCGCTTGAGGTATCCCACAGCATCGGGGAACATGTCCGAGTCAAAGTTGAAATCACACCAATGGTACGACTTCATCCAGAAACAGTCAAAGTGGAAGACGCCCAGTGGGATATCACGATCTCGAAACCCATCAAGGAACCCAGTGACAGTTTCCTCGTCGTAGTTGGTAGTAAAGCCTTGAGAGCGTCAGCATATACTTCCCCAAACCCCCCAAAAGCAAAGAGAAATCACAACTCACTGGTAGTCAACCAAAGATTATAACTCCACGACGGAACAAGGCTCGGCCTTCCAGTGAGAGAAGTATACCGATTAAGGATCTCCTTCGGCGTAGCCCCATAAACAACAAAATACTCAATCTCCTCCCCAGCAACAGAGATATTTACCCGAGTAGTGCGCTCAGACTGCACCTCCAAACTGACCTTTCCAGGATGATTAACAAAAACACCATATCCCCTCGAACTAATATAGAATGGAATATTCTTGTACGCAAGCTCAGAAGAGGTGCCACCATCTTCATTCCACATATCAACCACCTGCCCGTTCTTGACAAGAGGTCCGAATCGCTCTCCTAGGCCGTAGACCTTCTCGCCAACGCCCAGGTCTAGTCCTGCAAGCATGTATCCCTGCTTCTCGGCGTAGATGCCATCTTCATAGCAGTGCTTTTCGCTTCGTTGGTCGCGCACATAGCCGATCGAGCGGAAGGATTGGCCGGTTAGTTTCTTGCCGGTTGGGGAGCGGAAGATTAGGTCTAGTTCGTTGGCGGCGGTATTGATGTCTAGATCTAGTGGTCCACTTTTGTAGTTTAGTTTGTTTTCTTCTTTGTTGTGCTGGATGGCGATGTGGTCTTTGCTGGTGTTGAGGTGATAGTGAGGGCCGTTGTCGTTTTGACCAACCCTGGTTGAAAGAATAAGTATATATTCTATTCTAAGAGCTAGATGACTTGTTCATATCTTACCAATGCACAAGCTTTACACCGACGATTCCCTCCGATGGAGAGGTGATTTGGGCGGAGACAGTTGCTATAGATCTCTATTAGCTAACTCTTCTGAAATAATGATATCGGATACATACGCGAGTTAAGGGTATCTCCTCGGTGTCTCTGAAACTTGTTCAACAGCAGATTGACCGACTCGTCTTCGACGGAGAACCTCTCTACATTGCTCATCCACTCAATAGCAACTCCCTCCTATAGTTCCCAGGTATTAGCAGATATCACATGGTACGCACCTCGATAAAAAAGCAACACGATTTACCTGCAAACACCACATCCCCGCGGTGAACTTCATCTTGACAAAAATATATTCTGATAATCCCAATTGAAGGGCGAGTATTGAGTCAAATGTTCAGAGGCTCTGGATGGCTACTAGATCAGCGAAAACCCAGTCTCTCAGCTTTACAGATAACAAGAAAAGCAAAAGAGAGAAAAAAAAAAAGAAAGATGAACAAGAGGGGAAACGACTAGAGCTCTATTTGTTTCACCAGGAACCCATCGGCTATAGCTTGAAATACCTCATTAGACACGGACGTTCGTCCGTGGCCTGATTCCGAATCAGAGCCCAGCAAGCACCTGGAAAAATCCGCTATTTCGCTCTGGAGCTTGGGGTAGAACATAAGGCGGGGCAGTTGTTCGGGACTTTTGATGTATTCTTGGCTGGTATATCCACCAACCAGCAGTCAGGGTTGGGATCTCGGCTGAAATAGAGAGAGATCCGGCTAAAAAGCGTTGTGGCTTGGTATTAGTGCTGGGAGGGGTGTGCTGTACCGGGATGGGGTTGGATATGGGGGTTTTTTCTTCTTTTTACTATTCTCGTTAAGATCTGGACAGGGACTTGGGATCAGTCTATAGGTCATCTAGATTCTACGTTGGAGGTTGTATCATTATATGAATATCTATCTCATGACTAGACTTGCATTTCATTTGTGAACAAATCTATCAGAACAAAATTGGGTATCTTTCATTACATCAAAGGTCGCAGACTCCCACTTCTAGGACTATCCTTATAGCTAAGACTTTCAGCACGAGCCCTAGCCCGCGTGATTTCCGGCGACTTCAATCCCTCACGCGAATCATGCGTCACACGAGACGGCAATCCCGGCGGCGGCGAGATATGATGACTGACCACACTAGCCGGAAGCTCCAGTGACGGGATCGACGCATCCATCAGGTTCGTAGTAGCAGGCTCCACCTTTGTCGAAGCGGGACGAACATGCGACTCCGAGTAGAACTGCTTCAGCTGTGCTTCATCGCTGCAGAACTCAACCAGGCCGTTGAGGATATACTCTGGGGCGCGATAGAGGTTTGCAGAGTCGATGCTCAAGGATCCGGATGCGGTCATCGGACTGCCAATGTCGTGGACAGGTCGTGTAACCGGGGACAGGCGAGGCGAGACACGATCGAGGTTATCATGGGTTGTCGTTGCGCGGCCTCGAAAGTCGGGTCGACTGTGGTCGAAGCGGCCTGGATCCCGACCTGCTGTTCCGCGCGTGCTCACGAGTCGGTTGGCTAACAGGAGAAAGTTGCCTTCGTTGGTGATCTGGGCTAGGATGCTGCCTGTTCGGTGGATGAATTGCGGGTACAGATAGTCTGGCTTTCCCCATGAGTAGGAGACTTCCACGTCTGCTGGGAATGCGGAGCATGCTTCGAAATCTAGGACGAAGTCGAATTTACGCAATATTGCCTTCTGGTAGTAATTAGGGTCGGGGGGACCCGGTTGCGCGAATGACGCGTTGTTGAATACCGTGTGGAGGGGCGCCTTTGGAGGTGGGAGCTTCAGCTTGATCTCGTAGGGTTTGCGGAATGGTTGGGTTTTGTCGATGGCGCAGCCTTCGGCGATCGGTACTTGGACTAGCTTGAGACCGAATTTCTCGGCTGTCGAGGCCCATGAGAGTACCGTGTCTTCGATCAGCTTCGGGGTCGTGCTCATCCAGCTGAGCTCGATGTGGAAGCAGTTCTCGGGATTGTGCAGTCGGTCATAGTGGAGGTCGATGACTTCTGGTCGGTTGGACCGTTTGCGCGGATCGACATCATATTTCATCGATTTGGACAACATGATGGCGACTTTGTTCTTGGCTTTGGAGGGAGTACTGGGTGTTTGCGGTATGCGCTCATCGATGCTGTCTGATCGCGCATGAAGGCTAGTAGGAGAGTCTTTTGCAGTTCCAATCGCTGGCGTTGATGGCATCGATTTATCTGCTCTGAGCTGAGGGAACCAACTCCCTCGAGACTCTGGACGAGTGACGCGGTAATCGGCACAGACCTGGTAGAAGTAATTGCCATCTCGGAAGTTGTGTCTCTTCTCTACATGCTGGAACAGACCATGCTTCATCAACTCGTTTCCAAACTCGACTGCTTCTTCGCGGGTATCAATATCACGCAAGTTTTGCAAAAGCCAGGTGGTGAATTCAAAGCCAATGAAACAGTTGTAGTGCAGTCTCCAATGCCACCGTCGATCCATCATCCGCACACCTTTCTCGCCTTGAATGATTTGCGCTAGCGATGAAAGACTGATGCTTGATCTCTCCAGCAGTTCCGACTCTGGTAAGAGCTGAGCTGGGGCATTGTCAAGACCTGGATCAGTGAGAAGCAATCGATCCAATTCTGCTGTAACAATCTCTGATGGATTGCGTGTTTGGTACATGATGTTGAGGGGGTTTTGATCTGTCTTGGGATTCGATGTCTCGAAAAGCTTTTCTTCCGGCGACACATACTTGTACCGTTGCCAGATGTGTGTCAGCTGGCTGATACCAAGCAAATGAATTTCTTCTTCGTTGTCCTCATTGAAAGACTGCAGACGGCGCCGCGAACTGGGATAAAGTTGGAGCGGAATGAGCACATAACGAACTCGCCAGAAATGCAGTTGCTGTGCCGGATTCTGGAGGTAGTCTCGGTGACCAGCCACGTAGTTGTCGGCATAGTTCCAATTGTACTCTTCGGCGGTTGGATCCAGTTTAATGTCTTTGTTTTCGTATTCCGGGCTTAGAATTGTCTTCATGGCCGGTTGGTAGAGAGTGAAGGTGGTCTTCTTAGGGCATATGAGCATAGCAGAGTTTTGATGGGTGAATCGTGTCACTTCCACCTCTCCTCCTTGAACGCAGACAAGTCGGTGAATAGTGTTGCCCTTAGATAGGAACACGGTCAGGCCGTCTCGTTCTAGTCCCCGAGAGTCGAAAACGTTCAATGACTCAAGGGCTGGCTGTCCTGATACTTCGGCCACATTCTTTCCAACAACGATCTGGAACCCGTGAGAGAGTCGCAGTGAGATCATTTCCCGTATAAGAACACCCCGTGTCTTAGGTGCCTCTATGCCCTCCGAGTCTTCATTTGGAAAGACACGATATGGAGTTTGCAGATAATCCGAAGCAAGCACACTGGCTGTCGGTAGTTCCTCGGTCGTCAATGGAAGCACTGCAGGGGATTTCAAACTTTTCCACTTGACGACAGCCACATGCGGTGGCCGTGGATAGGCGTGTTGCCAACGGCCAAACCAGCTAGTATCTCGCAGTACATCCTTGGGAGTGTTACAAGGGTTGACCGAGCGAACCCAAGGAGATAAAGCTTTGCTTGGTGAGTTGCGCGCAGATGGCTCGCGTGGACTGTGGTTGAGTTTGATCTCAACCTTGTGATCCCGGTACGAGCCTTCCTTTTGATTACGACCAACTTCGTGAGCTGGTATCTCTGCTGCAGACGTCGATAATGATCCATGGGTTCCTACGCGCTCTGGTTGCTCTATTTCCTTTGGCGGATTTTTCGGGGGGATCTTGATGGAAATTGGCTTGGAGTGAGGCTGTGAAGTCTTTCCGGGCGAAGGAGGTCTTGAAGGCACATCAATGGCAGTTTGAGTGGACGTTGTTTCTGAAGGACTTAGAGAAGTAATACTCCTTGAATCAGAGATTGACCCAGCTGGAGTTCTGGATACCACAGCGGGCAACGCACTCGCATGCTCCACATTGATTCCTGTGCTTGCTTGGGCTCTTGGGGAGTGGCACTTAGACCTCGAAGCGCGAAACTAATGGTCTTGGAAATCCGCGAGGTCTTTGCCGCCGGCGTCTTCTTCAATGCTGGCTTCTTGGGAGACATGCTCTTGATCGAGCCCGGGCCTTTGGGTGTTATCGTTGTCATGGAGTCAATCCTTCGAGGCCCGGGGAGCGAAGACTCATCGTCCTCTGCTGGATTTGTTTCATGATCACGGAGTCGCATAATTGAGCGGGCAGAAAGCCGTTCATGCACTCCAGCACCGGCGGCCTGGACTTCCGTTTCACTAGGTCGCTTTTGCCTGGTGGTTCTGTGAATTTGACGCTTTTTCGGGGAGAGAGTAAAGATGTTTTCATCGTATTGGTCCATCCAAGCCATCACGGACTTACGTGAGTTCTGGGGTTCTTGGGTTTGCGAGTCTGCTGAGTTTGAAGAAGCATTTTGAATGAACGACCCTGGTCGTAGACTGTCACTGTATGGCGCCTTCAAAGACGAAGAATTGGCGAAACGGGTCTTAGGGGAAGGACGGCTTAACTGGCCGTATCCTGGCCAGGATGCACGAGGCCTCGCTCCACCACGTCCTTCGGCAAGATATGGGATCGAGATATTTGACTGTTCACTCTCCATGACCCCCATCATTTGAATCTCATACATGCGTACTCGTGGTGTAAATGCCTTGGATGGTCGAGTGACAGTTGACGAAATTGGGGCATTGGGGTCTTTCTTCAGGATTCTTCGAGCCTCTCGGTAGGTTTCAGGGTTCCAGTAGGAAATATCAAGCCAATGTGGAATACCGAAGCTCCACCCTTTGGCCTGAGGAGCCGCACGTTCCCTCATTCTTGTTGCAGACAGATATGAGCTGGGGGAGAGGTAAGATGATCTGCTAACAACACTTGATAGGGAATGATGTATCTCAGGTGAAGGAATGTTTCTTCGAATGTCACCAGGACTAGGTTCTCCTGTTACACCCGATGGCTGCTCCACCGGTTCCTTGTATTTAAACAACGGCACGGAGTGAAGAGGCATGGGACTCAGACAGACCAGATCAATGGCTATGCCACGATTTGCAAGTGCCTCCGTTGTAGAGGCCAAGGACTCGTACGAGACCTCGAAAACGCCACTACCAGGCGTAATGACGATGATTGAAGTACCAGTGTGAACCATGTCCCGATCGATGTGATCGAAAGCTAAATGAGCAGAGGCAAGGTGGATGGCCTCTAAAATATTTCCTCGTAAGGCTGTGCTGGGATGTCCGGCAATGGTTGCCATGTGTGGTTTAGAAGGTATCTTAATGCCACTTCCAGATGCAGCCTCAACGTCATCCGATTTCAGGATTGAGACATCTCGCAAGAAGGTTCTAAATTCTCTTTTGAGCTCGTCAAGAATGGTTGTCCAGTGACCACTTGCCATATCATTGACTACCACGCGATAGAAGTCTCGGGTCGGGCTTTTGTTCGGTCCAGATTTGGTGCTGAGATTCCCAGTGCTGAGTTTAGCTTGGCTGGTGTGAGTGGGCGCATCGTATTCGACTCGAGTGAATAATACAATAGTCACCAGGTGCTTTGCATCAGAATTGGCCCATCTCTTGAAGAGCTCTGGCAAGAAGCCGTTGATAACTCGACTGAACAAGATATCTCCGGTGCCTTCGGAATCGAAATCCCACATTTCCCTTGACATCTGAATGAACAGGACATATTTGGCAGACTCGCTTCGGAAAACCGGGATAGTACTTGGAGCAAAGTATCCCGAGAGGCACTTCTTCTCCCGAATGAAGATATTCTTGACAGTGGCTTTGATGCTTCCCATGAACATGATCTTCTGTCCCTTGTAGACAATTTTATCTGCCAGTTCCGACATGACGAGTCTCCACATGTCAGAGCGGACCAAGTACTGGTCGCGAAATGCGATATCAACATGAGACGCCGCGCATTGTTCGCGGTCTACAATCGACAGGAGAACTTGCGTCCTGTTCTTGAAGCCAAAGATATTGGCGACATTGTTGGTCACAGAAATCTCCAGCTGTGGGTGACGAGCCTTAATTTCGGGCGGGAGGGCTTTCACCACGAATAGACACCGGCTCTGCAAGGGAGTCTTGAATTTCGAGCTGCTGTCCGTCTGAGATGACGAGTTCATGTCGGCGTGACTCTCACGTGTGGATTTTGAAACAGCCTCGGACTTCAAAGAGTAATTGTTCATGTCGCCAGATGCTCGAACGGGCAGAATCTCGACAACATCCCCAACTTGGACTCCGGATTCGCCGAAAGCCGAGGGGTTTAACAAAACCTCTTCACGGGAGAACATTTCATCGTGTACCCACAGCGCACATTGGTGCCGAACCAAACTTGTTGAAGACAGCCTGACAGTTCTCTCGTCCGTGGTTGCATCATGATCATGGTCACGGTGATGAGATGCCTCCAGTGAATGGGTGGAGCTGCTCTCCAAGCTCGCCGCGCTCACCTGCCGCAGATGCGACCGCCGCATGGGGCCGCGCAAGGACATATTAACTATGCTTGCATATCATTGGTTTTGGGCTCAGATATTTCGAATGCTTCTATGATGTCGATCTCAAGGGGAGGTTATCATGAGGCTTGCGGAGATAAATCCAGTCACATGACTTTTATGCCTGAGGCACTACATACATCGGACAACGACCCTTCGCATATTACATATCTTCATTAAATCAACACAAGCATGGGACGATATTGCATCACTGTCATTCAATACATAAGACTGGGGATAGCGATAATGGCGTTCTACAGAAATGAAGCGATCACGTACTATTTGTATCCCAACCCAGGTAGGTGGAAGACGTGGGAGAATTATTTAATCTCATGTTAGCCCACAAAACTAGCCTTCTGAATAGACGCCGATGTGTGAGTTTGTGAATGCTTTTCGAGTATATTGATAGCTCGCATGAAACCCAAAGGCGGCCCATAGCTCGTGCCAATGCGATGGGTCAACAAGATCACCTCCAGTGATGTACTACGCTCAAGCGTCCAGTCTGTTCAAGACTCAATCCCTTGGCTATCGCCTCACTTAACAAACTTTGCTGAATTTGGCCTCAGGTGTCGAACCCAGGCGTGTCATGAAAGCATCATGATTTCATGCGTGGTTGACCCAAATATTTCGGCAAGATGAGACAGGGGAGGAAGGGTGGCGAACATTGTAGGAAAGCCTAATACTAGAAGCAGTACGCCAGACATCATGGACATTATTCGCAACAGTTCAGCGAATTTGCGTTGAAACCTCCCATATTATGGCCTTCTCAGAGAAGGTCTACCCTGTCGAATCTGTGATCAAATCTCTCTAAATCAAATGATAGGGGCGAAATGCCAACTTGACAAAAGCAAAGAGGCGAATTCCCTGTCCAAAACAATCTGTGCGGAAGATCCATGGAGGAAACGAAGACTTTGAGAGGAACTGCAACGCTTTAAGCCAGTTAGTTTCTCCGAAATCTTGGAACAGGCGAATAGGTCAAACATAATGGGATCTGGCCAAATCCTACAGAGACCTTGGAAAGCTCCGAAAGGCGAGACCTGCCCATGCGGAATAGAACCCCGTAGAGACCCCAGTAAGATTGAGTATGTTGGCTCGCATAACCCCCTGTTCTCTCTAGTCTGGAATCTTTCCAAAAATCCCTTTAAAACCCAAGACTATTTGCATAACCCCATGAATGTTTGGCGGAAAGAAGAAAGTTCTCAAGGCCGGACTGGGGCCACCATCGTGTATTATTGGTCAAAACACCACCGGAATCGATCTCCGATAGTAACACCCACTCTCGCCTTTGCCCCGTCAACCCTTTCTTGGATTTTCTCTTCTCCTGCTAGGATGTCCATCGCTTTGCTGCCACAATATGACTGGGTAGTGAAGCTGGAACATGGAATACCCATAAAAGGCAACAGAGGCCGGTCGGGGTCCTCATCTCTCCCCTTTGCTAACCTTCAGTGGCTACTCATCAGGATCTCAAGCCACACTAGCCTGCCATCATCGAGGATGACCCGTCATTTCGATGAACCAGAGCTGACTGATGAAGATATTTGAAGATTGTGAAAGATGGGCGAAGCCCTAGGCTTCTGGATTGTCGCGCGGACTGATAGACCAGCGGGTCGTGTCATCCTGGAGAACCCTGGAGAACTCAAGCGTATCATGGACGGCTGAAACTGCCAACCATGAGATGGAACTACGCCATCTTACTCAGGTGAGACCCCTTTGCCTTGTCCCCTTTTCCTTGTCCGGGTTTGTCGTCGATGCTGATCGTGCTCATTGTGCTGCAGTGCCAACCCTCTCGATGCAATGCAACCAGGTGGCGCGTCAAGCTTTTTTCTTCATAATTGCACAGGCCCCCATCTTCCCGACAAGAGCACCCCGGATCTTTATAGCTCACTCTCATGGCCCCGTGGCAGGACTCTATTAGCTCATGCCATATACGCCATGCTCCTAGGTCAACATCGCAGCTTGCACTGACTTAAACAGCAACAGCACCCTTCACGATTTGGCACCGATTTCTGGACTTTCACTTCCAAGACGATACAAATACCGAGTCCTTTGATGAAGTTTTCCTTAGCCATGGGGCCTGTTAAGATATTGTGGACTTGTTTCTCAACATCTTGCAGGTCACAGGGTAAGGCGAGCAACGCCACCCTTGATGCATCACTGAACCCTGGACCCCTGAGGTTAAGCTAAGCCTAGGCCTGAGATCAGACTTGTGTGTGCTAGACTGTCCAGCCATAAAAGAGACCAGTTATCAGAATATGCGCCACATTTCGCCACTGGATCTCAATAGACCGTCAACGGCGCAACATGTCCCTTGATATCCCAAAGCCAGGCGTCCTCTAGGTCTTATGTGAATATTATGTCCGGGGCTTTGGTTGCACTTCTCGTCGCAGATACCCAGTTGCGTTGTGTCGACAGAACCAAAAGCATCACATCAAACATTTTTCGCGCCCAGGATTTGAACAACTCCAACGAATTGAAATTCTTGGACGGACAGTGGCTAGTTTTCTGCGAAAAAACTAGTCGTGTCTGATGATATGGATGATGATCATGATGCCATGACAGATCCGTCCCGCGCGTGTCAGTTGACAAAGTACGAGGTCTTGCTCGTCAATTGACAACTTTTCAATTTGAACCATCTCATCGAGATAAATTCCACTGCAGACTCTTGTGCTTCATCTGTGCCGTGTTGCGTCCGTGTCGAGGGTGGGATAGGTGTTCGTGTGGGAGTGGCAGGTCATGACCTCGTGAAGATGACCAAGCGTCAAAAGCTGCGCTGTTGCCGAGATTCATCAGTATTATCGATGTCTCTATGGGAAACGAACTAACTTACTATCACGCCTTTATGTCAAGGTGGCGTTGCGGGACCTCCTGACAACCCTGACGATTCTGCAGTTTCAACTTCGGTATGGTCGTCCAGTGGTCGAAAGTCATCAAAATATTCTCAATCAGGGCAACGGCAAGACACTCCCAACAGTTGAAACATAGATGGGACTGGGTCAGACTTCAGACCCAGAAAGAAGACTTACCACCCTTTTCAACTGAAGAATTCAACTGTAATGTTGAGCGAAGATACACAGCATCAGAGCCAGCTCCGAGTAATCTGGGAACTGTCTGGCATTGTGAAAACAGCAATTCACATTGAAGCGATGCCCGAAGGATGGAAAGGTCTGGGGAGGGTGAGCGAATAACGAGGCTTCGCGATGAGGCAAACTGAGTGCAAGAAGAACGACGCTATCGAAAATCATTGGGTATTCGGCCCAGCCGTGCTCTGCTTACTTCAAGGATCAGTATTTCCGTGGAGCTGAAAGCACAGCAACGACTTTCAAGATCCTTCAAGGGAGAGGAGACCTAAAACATCAATCTTACCTGACTACGATCCAACATTGACCACTCAAAACAGTGTGTTCGGCGGGAATGGTTCATCATATCCCTTACCAGACCTTCACGCGGTCGAAAAGAGATGGGAGAAGAGAAAATCGCAAGTTGAAAAACACGATGTCATGGTTGAAATTCCAGAACACAGCACGAAAGAGGGCTAAGACGAGACGGAACGTGCAATGTCACGGCGACCTCGTCCCCTAATACGAGGACGACTGTTCCGCTACTTTTGCCCGCTTGCAGGTACGCTATTGAACGGATAAACTATCCGATTCTAAATGCCTTCGACCCAGTCGAATCCCCCAACAAGCTGTAAGATAGCCTTGGGACGCCACTAGGTATAGACTACACACTTACGTGCAACTCACCTTGCATCCATTCCAGTATGGGCGGAAAACCCAAGAGAAAACACCAAGAATTTCAGTCAAAAAAATTGAAATGATTTCTTTTGCCTTTTGTGAATATCCTCACCGCAGATACTCACATGGGAGCTCTTGATGGGGTGGTGGCAAATATGGACGGGAAAGACATCCACCACATCACAGACAAGCACTTCAACCAAACAATCAGAGATGATTCGAGTGTGAAGTATGAGGCCATATTGGCTATACTGTATTTTTCACAGTACAAGGGGCAAACCCCCCGCTCGCATTCTCTTAGCGCCCACTGAATTTCCCCTTCCTTATAGCCTCTACCCTGACAATGAATGCCAACTTCGGCGCCCCGTCCTATTCCGAACACCCCGAACTGGTGGACGAGTCGGCGTTATTTAATATTGACTGGGCCGTGCCCAATTATGCTGTGCCTTCTTCCAGGGCGACTATCCCTGAAGATTCATTAACAGCCCCAGGCGATCGAGTAAATGCCAAAGTTGCCATCCCCCGAAATGCTCAACGCACCAACTGGACCGCCAGTGGTCGGGTCAGTCGAGCCTGTGAAAACTGTCGCGATCAAAAGGCCAAATGCAGCGGACATCGCCCAGTTTGCCATCGGTGTCGGGATGCCGGCGTTGGGTGTTCTTATGGCGATCGAAAGAAGGAGAAGATGGCAAAGTGCGTGACACCTTGGCCACAGCTCAGGACGCTTCTAATAGAAATAGGCAGTTGAATGATCTGACTTCGCAGGTTAACACGCTCGAATCCTTGCTGCGTGATATCTATCCCAGGCTCGATGTTTCGTCATCCCAGCTAGTGGATCAGACATTGAAGGAAATGGGCTCCCGGACTCCGCTCCCCCAAACCAATCCTTTTGCTCCTAATTTGTCTACCCTCCTGCCAAGCCATACCCAGCAGGTGAACCCTCACTTGTCCTTTACAGATACTAGCCCGGCCTTTCCGTTCGGTATTGCAGACTACACAGAAGAAGACTATAACCGCGATGACAAGGTACAGGCCATGGGGTTCGTTGGCGAACACTCGGAGATGGCATGGTTGTACAGACTCAAACGCGACCTCGATCAAGATAGCTCCTCGCCAATCAAGGAGAGCGCTGAACGCCCTACGATTTCCTCCGTGAACTACTTCCAAGACGATTCAGACTTTCCAGTGCTCGATTCTGTCGACCTCACACGCTGGCCTCCGCAACACCTTGCCGACACCCTCGTTGACGCTTACTTTCACGCCGTG